CTTAGGGGACGTGGCGGCCTTGTCTGAACTGGGCAGTCCAGCCGGCAGGGGAGCCGTGCTGAGGCAGACGGCGCACAATAAAGCCAGACACTAAGTCACAATTTGCACCCAGTGCAGCTTCTTCCTGCTTGGAGCCAGGCTCAGTTGTGTGGCTTTGCCTGTCTGCGCTTGGGTTCACGCTGACCGGAAGACAACGAATCCTCCGTGCAGGCAAAGCCTGGGTGAAGGCATGAGAATAGCTCAGATCCATTCTCTTGGGCACAGGGTTCTGGTCCGGGTTTGTCCCTGCAAATGTCCCAGATTAAACAGCTTCAAGCCAAGGAGGCGACATGCAATTCCCTCAGCATTGAGAGCAGGGCTGGGAGTGCAGGCCTCTGCAGCCCGAGATGTCCCTCTGGCTATGGAATTGCCAAGTCCTGGTATATGATAATACTGTGCTCTTCTGTTCAGCCTCTTGGCTGGGGCTCTCCTTTTCCTTTAAAACATCCTGTTTATTCAGGCTCGCCTCTCCCCGGCAAGGAAGCTGTGTGATCACCCTTCCCCCCATTTACAGGTTGGGAAACTGAGGCACAGAGCAGTGAAATGAATTGTCTGAGGTGATAAAGGGAGTCTGATCCAGGCACCAGAGCTGAACCCAGATATCCTGAGTCCTAGCTGTATCCACCAGGCCAGCCTTCCTCTAGAACCATGATTCTTATCTCCTTCCAGTCCACTCCCTCCCAGCTGCCGACCTCTGTTCCAGTCATTACAAATCTTCCCCTTTTCCTCCTGTCGGTTTTCCTCCTCCATGCCCCCAGAATGTTTCACTCCTTCTGCTGTTCGGCACTGACATAAATATAAAGGGAAGGGTAACCACCTTTCTGTATATAGTGCTATAAAATCCCTCCTGGCCAGAGGCAAAACCCTTTCACCTGTAAAGGGTTAAGAAGCTAAAGTAACCTTGCTGGCACCTGACCCAAAATGACCAAAGAGGGGACAAGATACTTTCAAATCTGGAGTGGGGGGGAACAAAGGGTCGGTCTGTCTGTCTGTGTGATGCTTTTGCCGGGAACAGATCAGAAATGCAAGCCTTCCAACTCCTGTTAAATTAGTAAGTAATCTAGCTAGAAAATGCATTAGATTTTCTTTTGTTTAATGGCTGGTAAAATAAGCTGTGCTGGAGGGAATGTATATTCCTGTTTTTGTGTCTTTTTGTAACTTAAGGTTTTGCCTAGAGGGATTCTCTATGAATCTGATTACCCTGTAAGGCATTTACCATCCTGATTTTACAGAGGTGATTCTTTTACCTTTTCTTTAATTAAAATGCTTCTTTTAAGAACCTGATTGATTTTTCATTGTTCTTAAGATCCAAGGGTTTGGGTCTGTGTTCACCTGTACCAATTGGTGAGGATTCTTATCAAGCCTTCCCCAGGAAAGGGGGTGTAGGGCTTGGGGGGATATTTTGGGGAAAGACGTCTCCAAGTGGTCTCTTTCCCTGTTCTTTGTTTAACACGCTTGGTGGTGGCAGCATACGGTTCAAGGACAAGGCAAAGTTTGTACCTTGCGGAAGTTTTTAACCTAAGCTGGTAAGAATAAGCTTAGGGGGTCTTTCATGCAGGTCCCCACATCTGTACCCTAGAGTTCAGAGTGGGGAAGGAACCTTGACAGGCATCGATCCCATTTTGCTGCTACATTCGGACATATCCTGCGACATGGCTTAAGCCTGTCAGCCGGGTCTAACAGACCCGAGTCCCCGCCGGCCTCCTGCTTGTGCAGCCGTTCGCACCAGGGCAAATTTGCACTCCCTTTGCACAGGTTTAACAACAAAAACAATACTGCCTAGCTCTTACATAACACTGTACGAAGGAGGGCAGAATCCTTATCCCTGTTTTACAGATGGGGACACTGAGGCATAGGGCGTTGTCGTGACATAGCCAGGACTATAGCCAGTCTAACTCTTCTGAGTCCTAGTCCAGTGCTCAATCCACTAGGCCCCACAGGCCAGTGGAGAATGGGCCCAGTGTGCAGGGCACCGCGGACTTGGGCCCCAGGAGGAAACTTTTAAAAAGCACCCAATTGACTAAGCAGCCGAAGTCTCATTTTCCAAAGGGATTTAGGAGCCTGAGACTTGTCTGTGCAGGAAAGTGATTCTGAATCAGGTAGGGCGTGAACTGAAAACACTACAGCTATTCTAGAATAAGTGCATCCATGTAGGATGTTATTCCACAATAGCTTTGCTGGTCGATTTCCCTGTGCAGACAAGCCCCAAGCTTTCCCATTGAAAGTCAATGGGAGGGAGGCTCCTAAATCACTTAGGGAGCTTTATGATAATTTTATCCCATCTCTTTATTTTGTGCGTGTCTCTCTTAGGGGCTGGGGGAAGAGCAATAAAATCATCTCGCAGATGGAAAAGGGGAACGAGGCAGGAGTGGAATTATTGCCACGTTTATCTGTCTCACAAACCCTGCCAATACATATTTCATAACCAGAACAATCACATCACCCGGTTCTCCTTGCTAGAGCTCAGAGCACATCACCACCTGTAATGGATTTATCTTCATGACCCCCCAGGGTGGCAGGGCAGTGCTGTTGTCCCCACTTTCTCTGTGCCTCGGTTTCCCTACCTGTGAAATGGGGTAAATGCTACTGATCTCCTTTGTGAAGTGCTTTGAGATCTACTGATGAAAAGCACTTAGAAAGAGTCAGGGTTTATTATTCATTGTAAGAGGCAAGGGCGGGGAGCTAATATATTTTATTGGACCAACTTCTGCTGGGGGAAGGGACAGGCTTTTGAGGGACACGGAGCTCTTCCTCGGGTCTGGAGAAGATAACCAGAGCATCCAAGCTAAATGTAAGGTAGGACAGATTTAAGTATGTGGGGTTCACGCACATGCTGTAGGAGACCCCTTAAAATGGAGTGGTCAATTATGTGTTAGCAGGCAGCCGGGTGTGTTACCTGGTATGATGAGCCAGAAAACCAGAGTCTCTGTTGAGTCCGTGGTTTTGAGTTGCTGGAGGAGTTATGAATTGACATTTTCTGGCAGCCCCAGGACACTTACAAGGCCCTGAAGCAGCTGTTGGGCCTCTGTGCCCGTTGGCGCATGCAGGTGGGAGATTTCAGTGGCCCGTCATATTGTCCGCAGTTGGAAATGGGCTTGGAGTGTTCTGGTTTATTCCAGTCCTGCAGAGCTCCCAGTCAGGTCCCGTGAATGGGTTGCAGGATTGGGCCTGTCATTGGAACAGCTTTGTGGGGACGGGAGGGTTGGGAAGAGGCCTCCCCCGTAGGAGGGATCCATTGGCCAACGGCCACAAATGCCGCAGGGACGGGTATGCCCTGTAATCTTGATGAGCCAGCCACGTGACGTGCGGCGAGGCACCATAGAACCAAAAGAGCCTGGGTCCAAGCTGGGGCCCAAAGGTGAAGCATGTCTCTAAAGTACAGCGTGTTGTGTTGCAAAGCTTGGGGAGCAGGAAGGCGGGGCAGCTGGCAGGGAGCCCCAGGGCCTGCAGATTACACACACTCCGCATTCCTTTGGTTGGCTGATTGAACAGGGCAGCTCCAGCTGGGCTGCGGCATGTCTGTGTCCCACACCCTGCCGGGGAGACGGTGCCATGAGACTTGGTGTTCGGTCTGCCACAGGCAGCCAGGCTGCGCTCTGCCTTCTCAGTGGCTCAGATGTCCAACCGATAGAGCGTCTCCCTGCGTGTCCGGTGACCCAGCTGAAAATCCGGCAGCCACCAGCTGGGAGCCGCTGATTGTCCAATCTGGGCGTCGTTCAGAATCTGCCCGCTGCCGTCAGGCGATAGCACTGTGTAGCGCCTGCAGGGGAGGCCCCTGCCCCGTGGCTTTATTGGGGAGGTGGCCAGGAGGAGGTGGCTGCAGAGGACAGAAGGAGGTGGCTGTTGGCCTGCAGGAAGGGAAGGAGGAGCTGGGGACTGCTGAGCCCCAGGCCCTGGGAAGTGAGATCTGCTGCAGAAAGTGTTGCATGCCAGTGCCCACAGTGATGCCCGCCCCCTGCCCCCTCTTTTCACGCCCTCCAGCCAAGTGCCTCCCAGAGAGGCCTCGTCCCTGCTCCACCCACGCTCCAGTTATCACCAGGGATGTAATTGGAAGGGGCTTTTTTTTTCATGCTGCCCCTGCCCTGGCAGTTCCCAACCCTGCGGCCTTCCCGGACTCCAGCCTGCTGCCTTTGGCCTTCCCCAGCCGCATCCCCCTCCTCAGGCTGCCCTGGCGGTTCCCCATTCGCTCCGGGATCCAGTTCAAAAGCCCCTGCCTTGTTTGACACTCGGTCCAGCCAGCCACGCAGCACTAGTCTCGCTCTCTCCCCCCGCTCCCTCAATCTCCGCTCGCTGGCCTCATCTCCTTCCAGCTTCACACAAGCTCCTGGCAGCAGGTGCAAGAGCCTTCTCCAATGCAGCTCCTGCCAGCTGGGAACGTGTGTACACGCCAGTTGGGTCACTTCAGAGATACCGGTCTCGTTACCATGGTAGACCCCTGCCTACGGTAGATCCCTTTGTTGATCAAGGTCCTTCTGCCGGTGTAGCTATTCCTGTGTGGGAAGGGGAATGAACAAATTTACAGATAGGAATTTCTATTGGGACATGGAAACTTTTTAACTGTGCCCAGGAGCAGTTCAGGGTAGGAAATGTAGATGGGTTTCCTGGGACAGGGACAGTCGTTTTGCTCTCGGCCTGTGTAGTGCCTGGCACAACGAGGCCCTGATCTTGGATTGGTGTTACCTTAACGCCAACATGCATCACAGTAATGAATGAGCCTTTGCCTTCCGTAGCCCCCAGAGGCCCAGCTGCGATCGGGGCCCCGCAGTGTCAGGCGCTGCAGATAGAGGTGAAATGAATTAACCCAGATCACCCAGCAGGCTGGTGACCTGAGTACCAGCCCAGAGCCGTAACCACCAGCCTGTCCTTCCTTTCGCTGGGGCTGGCAGGGAGGGCTAGGAGGGAAGTACACAATAATCCAAGTGGAGATCTGCCTTAACCCCTTTCTTCTTGCCCCCCGACAGCCGACGCTGGGCCGGAGAGATGGGACCTCTCCGAATGACAACGCCCCTCTGGAGGAGCCCTTCCCCTGGGTGGGGCCGAAGACGGTGCTGCTGCGGAAGAGCTCGCAGGGGGGGTTCGGCTTCACCCTCCGACATTTCATCGTCTACCCCCAGAGTCGGCGGTCCATTCCGATGTCAAGGTAGCACGGCCTGCCTCTCCTCCCTGGCTCCGTCAGCCTGGGGGGGCGTGTCCATTTGGCAGGGGCTGGTCCTCTGGGAGGAGGACCCCTCCCTCTGCTGAGTTCAGTGATAGCGTTATTTGAGGGGGGGTTGGGAGGAGTGGGGGGAGGGCAGCTGTTTTGGGTCCCCAGGACAGCCTGGATGTTGATCCCTATGGGGTCCCGGGGTCCCCAAAGGGGAAACAACCCAAAGAAGCCAATTTCCCTGGCTCCCTCCCAGCTGTTATATGGTAGTGACCTCCCTTCAAATTCTCCCTGCTTAAGAAGTCACTGGTTCCCTCCCTCCCCCAAGCCTGTGCTGGGCCGGGGTCTGACTACCTGACCGTGATCCCTCCTGGAAATCTCTGAGTCTCTGCAATCCGACGCACTCAGCTCATTGCGGTCTCTGGATCCGGTGTGAACGGTCCACAGTGCTGCCTTCCCTCTGACCCATGGAGCGTCCTGACTCTCTTGCTCAGACTGTCCATTGCCTTGGCTTGCATCTCTGCCCTGTGCTTTGAATTCTGCATATTTCCACTGGGGACAGGTGCCCCATTTTCCCCCAGTTTCTTTGCCCTTCCACCCCTCTTAAAACAAAACCCTTGAAATTCCATCCCTCTCTGTCCCAGGCACCATCACTCCAGAGTGGCTGGTTCCCCCTTCTCTCCCATGGTTCAGTCACCCACCCCGCACTGCCCTCCATGGACGCTCGCCAGCATTGCCCCCGGTTTAAATACATGCAGCGGCCTTGCATCATGGTGACCTCCCTCTGGCCAAGGTGGGCACTGGATGAGCCTGGCCTTGGCTGTAGGCAGACACGCCTCCTCCCTGGGGCTCCCACCGGCAGGATGCTCTTCTCTGGCTACAGCCAGCTGGTGGCAGAGAAGATGGCCCCTGACGGTCCAGGGAAGGAAAGCTGGCTTAGATTTCCCCGTACTGTTTGTTCTTTGGTTGTGGAGAGGAAGGGCAAATGGAGGCGAATGAATCCGCTCCAGGCCTGGCGAGAACCGTGGTGTCTGGCCAGTGAATGGGGCCACAGCTGAAGGAGAAGCCCCCCACCGCAGCTCTCCACCACTAAACGCTACCGTCTTAACGAGAAACCGACGGCTCTGAGCAGCCTCCAGCCCTGCAAACCCACCCCTGCCCGGCGCCTGTGCCCAGATGCTCTGCGGGTTTTGCCATAGAATGGAGTGAAATAAATTCCTTAGCTGCTGAAGTTGCTACGGTGGAGCCCATGCCAGATACACAGTCGGTTGCCTCAGGACCATTGAACCAGAGGATTTGCCTCCTACCTGACTGGGGCGTTGGCCCATCGGGTCTGGTATCTTTCCTCCAAGAGAGGCCAATGCATGTTGCTTTTGCAGTATCCCGTACTGTGTAATGCCAAGTAGGGGGGAATTCCTTCCTGTTCACTGCCGCCGGCAGATGCCTCCCTGAAGCCTGGCATTGCCTACCCGTGTCAGAGAGAATAACCACACGACCGTCTCCAGCGCGGCTGTTTGACTCCCTGACCCGCTACGGCCTGGAATTGCTTTGTGTTTGCTCCTCTCTGAGCAGAGCAGCACCTGGCTGGGGTACTGCTTGTTGGCCTGGCACCTGCGGCAGCACGGATGTGGATGGGGGCCTTTGCTTACCTCCCCAGATGTACCACGGCCAAACGCCTGGTATGTGGGGCGATCCCAGAGACGGGGGCTGGCTTGCTCTTGCGATTGGTATCAAGAAGGCTGCTGCAGAGCTGGGTGTGCGGGAGCCCGGGGGAGGCTGCGTTTCCATAACTGGGGAGTGTCGCATAGCCCAGCTGGGGAGCCTGGTGTAGGAAGTGCAGCCTTGGGGCTGCCCCCATCAGCTTCCTCATTCAGGGTTCTGGACCCTCTCCCATAGCTGTGCAGCTCGCCCCCAGGGATGCGTCCCAGAATCCTGTGCTCCTGTCCCCAGAACGGGGAGTTGTGGTAGGGCTTTGACTCTGCTTGTAACTCAGCTGTATGGAGAGGTAGGGATCCGGGGAGCATCCCAGCCCCCTACAGCCCACCCAGCTGCTGGAGCCCCCCGGGTTCAGGCTGAGAACTGCACCTTCGGCACACAGTTTAACCCCTTCACCGCTGAACAGCAGGCTAGACAGGCGCAGCCGATGGGCTCCCTTGAAACGGTCCGAGGGACGTGGCCCGCCCTGATGTTCCCTAGCAGGACGCATACGCTGCAGCAAGTGGTGATTAAAGCAACCAGCTGGGGCAGGTGATCTGGACTCTTCGCCCGACACAATTCTTGCAGAATAACCCCCGAGTTTCAGGGGAATATTAGTTCGGTTGGGGCCCAATGAGTTCTGCCCATGGAGCGTGGCGGTGTCTGAAACCGTACGGTGGGGAGAGCAGGAGTATCCAGCCCCCTGCCTTGGAAGGGATCCCCTGCTTGATTCCTAGATTTGCCCTCTTGGTCCCTGGGGGGACAGAGCGGGGGGATGGCGGTGCCGCTGATTGCTGCAGGCTCGTGGCTTGGGGAGGAAGAAGAGGTTTCAGTGGCAGAAAGTCACAGCAATGCAGGTGCTGCCAAAGCAAAAGCTCCCGAGTCTGCTCTGGTGCCCAGGGCCTGCTGGCTCAAGGGACGCTGTCGCCCCTTTTCAGTTGCGCAACGCATCCGTGAGAGAAACGATTCCTTTCGAACCTGGCGCCCCCTGCGTTCCTCCCCTCCCTCCCCAAGCAGGGAGCAGCTTCTGCCCTGCAGCAGGAGGATTTGTTGGAACATTTTTTGACCTGACTCCTTAGCTTTGTACAGCTGCCTCTGTTTGTTGGTGGGTGCCCGTAAATCCCCCTGTGCAAATCCCGCTGTACTGTTTGCTTTGCTGAGCGCCGGTGGCGACGAATTCCACAGGTTTGCTACATGCTGCCTCCGGCAGATTGACTGGTAGCAAATTTACAGCTTTTCAAATTTACTGCCTGTCAGGTGGAGGAGCTCCTTGCTTTGCTGTGGCAGGATCAAGAGAAATGGCGGCTGGTTTCTTAGTTAACCAGTCGTTATCTATAAATCATCTCCCACCCAGCTCCTCTCTAACCGAACTAGTACAAGCCTTTTTTATCTCCCCTCTGGGACCTCTTAACAATCCAACCTGTAAAACCCCAGGGACCACTCAATTCTACTTGGACTGCTCCTGAAAGGTATTTGTGTAAAGAGGAAGGATGATCTTATGGGTCAAGACCCTTGGCTGGTACTCAGGAAACCTGGGGGGGGGGGTCAGTTCCTGCCTCTGCCACTGACTCCCTGGTGACCATGGGTAAGTCATTTAATCTCAGCCTGCATTCTCCAGCCAGTACCACGGCGAAAGGAAAGATTATTTCCCACCTTCTCTCTTGCCTGCTTAGATGATAAGCTCTCATTGGAAGGAGCTGTCTCTTGCTGCACGTGTGGACCCTCTTCCGCCCCTGCCCTGAGCTCGGTTGGGGCCACTAGCCTCCGCTATAGTTAATAACATGTAGAATACATGCCTAGCTTGCGCATGAAGGTATTTACAGCTTTGGCGTGCAAGCCAGGAGGCCGCATGGCCATGGGCATGTGCCCAGTTGCACGTAGGGCATGCTGTGGTTTTCACACATAGTTTTGCAGCCACTCCAGGTCCTGGAGTTCATTTTGTGTTCTACACAGGACCTGGCTCAGATTGCCCCTCTCTGCTCTGTCCTCGGTTCGACGGCCACCCTCTGCCCCGCAGTGGCTGCGTTTCGCTGGCGCAGTAGGGTAGGTACATGCCCTGAAATCTGCCCGAAGAACCCGCTCCAACGGCTGACCTGATTGGGTGGAGGTGGAGGTGGGACGGTACCACCCTGTGTTTGGGGCAGTCCCTTAGAACTGGAGATTGCCTTACAAGGGCAGCTGGTAAAATACTCCAGGATCTTTCAGGGTGAACATGTGCCAAGTGGGAATTTCATTGGCTGGAGACGTGAAACCCTTTGGGGTGAAGAGCATTTAATGACAGGGCTCATCTGGGGAAGGGGAGGTACACACGGGGCTTCATCATGGCTGCTCAGGACCAGTTCCTTCGCTAAGTCATTTCCTCCCCCTGGCCGCCCGACTTGTTTTGGGAATCAAACAGCATCTTGTCTCCAGGTGGCCTTTGATCTTTCCACCACGTGTTTGTAGACGTTTAAACATCTGACAATAGCACCCAGCTGTTAGCCCCTTTCCCCGTCCTGGCTCATGATGGATGAGGGGAGCCCTGACGGCAGCATCTGGAGTCGTCTGACATTGAGACGTGTCAATGTCTGGCTGCATCGTAGCATCTGGGAACGTGTGGCAGCAAGACAGGACTGCAGTACCTCAGCACCAAATCCTGGAGCCTCCAGCATGGAGACCTGGCTCTCCAGCCTCTGCTGTGCGCAGGACTGTGACACGGCTGCCCAAAGCACAGGGCCCAGGAACCCCCTCGGCTGTATCCCAGCCCAGGACCTCTGCTCGGGCACGCAGCATCCAGAAACTCTGACGCCGAGCCCTGGCTGCATTCTCTGTGCTGCATCCCGGGAGCTGTTCAGAAATCCCTTCCCCGGACACAGGCCTGCTTTTCTCCTGCTGCATGACAGGGCTCCAACGTGGGCCTGACTCCTGTCTGCCTTTCCCCGGGGCAGCCTGGTGCAGGGCTGGCAACATAAGTGTGATGAGACCACCCGATAACTCCCTTCCGCGTGGGACTGTGGCCCGGCTGCTTTCCCCTCCAGCCCCTTTCCCAGCACCGCCAAGCTGTCCCAGAGAGCGGTGGGGATGCCAGGCACTGAGGTGCCTGTTCTGAGCAACCCCCAACCCCAGCACTGTTTGCTGGCCGCAGTTTCTTTCGGATTCAGCGTCTGGCCTGGAACTGCTGACCAGGCGGGACTCAGCATCACGGCCGGAGCCAGCGCTCTTGGGTTCCACCAGCTGAGCCTTTGTCTGGGTCACTTTGGAAAGGAAAAGCAGGTTTCTGCCAGGCCCGTTCAAAGGCTGCCTGGGGTCTGGAATTGCTTGGATTCTCTCCCCGTCTCTTCTGTGCAGTGTCCTTCAGACAAAGGGGGACCTGTCTTGGAGGGTCCAGCGGCCCCTGGGGCACTCCGTCCTTAGAGCTTTTTAAGGCCCGGCTTGACAAAGCCCTGGCTGGGACGATTTAGTTGGGGTTGGTCCTGTTTTGAGCAGGGGTTGGACTAGATGAACTCCTGAGGTCCCTTCCAACCCTGATCTTCTATGATTCCATGCAGCCCCTCTGCCTGACTCTGTAGTGCTCCCAAGGTTCCCCCACCCCCTTCAAGCCTCCCCCATCTCTGGGGGGGCTTATCCGGCTCTCTGAGCACCTCTGAGTCGCTAGTGGGGTTATCCTCGCCGTGCCCTGTGCTAGCCTCATTGTCGAGCTGAGGGAGTGAGCCACAGGGTAGACTAAGTGACTTGCCCAGGAACAGAACTCAGGTCTCCTGAGTCCCTGCCCAGTGCCTGGTCCACTCGATCATCCTCCCTACTTTTTGCACAACCCTGGAGATCTCACTTTTGCCTCCCCTCCCACACGCGGGTGCCATGGAGCCCCCCTGCCCTGCCACTTTCCTGCCCACACTAAAAATATAAGTGGCCCCAACTGTGCAAAATAGGCCTGGAAATTTAGCAGCCCAAGCACCCAATCTCCTTGCCCACCACCCCGGGTGCCAATCGGTGCAAAAGGGTGGGTGTTTTACTCTCCCGTAAGTAACACCAACAACACCTCTCCTACTCTCCCTGGGTGAGCAATCCTTTTCTAGGCTGCTGTAACCTGCTCCCACCCATCCAGAAACCTCCATCCGGCCTCCTTTCTGCCTCTGCATTTCTTGAAGCATTACAGGGCTCCCCGGCCTTGCTGTATAGCTTCCCACAAGCTCCCGGGAGGGAGGCGTGATCCTGTCTAGGGCAGATGCAGAACAATGCCAGAGGATGTTGTGAAGGCCAAGAGTATAACAGGGTTCAAAAAAGAACTAGATAAGTTCCTGGAGGATAGGTCCCTCAATGGCTATTAGCCAGGATAGGCAGGGATGGTGTCCCTAGCCTCTGTTTGCCAGGAGCTGGGAATGGGCGATGGGATGGATCACTTGATGATTCCCTCTTCTGTTCATTCCCTCTGGGGCACCTGGCATTGGCCACTGTTGGGAGACTGGGCTAGATGGCCCTTTGGTCTGACCCAGTCTGGCCGTTCTTATGTAATGAGTGAAGGGCCAAGTGATGAGCCAGGATCGGGAAGCACCCAAGATCCCCGGGCAGGGGAGCCTGAGTTAGCCCTGCAAAGAGCAGGAGGGAGCTTTGCACCCTGGGATCAAGGCCATGAATTGGGGGCTGGTGCTTGGCAGAGGGACCGGTGAATTGATCAGGGATGCTCCAGGCGTAGGGTCCCCCCAGTGGTGATCGGAACAAAGGGCAGTTATTCCTGGGATCAGAACAGGTTTGGAAAGCAGCAAGGCAGGGAGTGGAAGTGCAGCGTGGGAGCCGGGCCCCAGGCCAGATCTCGGGGGGCAAGTTTCGGTGGAGCTGACTCAGCTGGGAGTCAGACAGGAGCTCTGCATTCCACGTAGTGCTGGGGTCACACCTTTCCGTGCCGTGGGGGAACCAAACCCACACACCCCCTGGGTTGCCTTGCCTGGCACAGGAGCCAGGGCAGGCTGGAGGGGAGGGGAGAAGCAGGGTGGGGCTGCGGAGGAGGAAGCCTTGGGCTTAAGGGAACTTCCCCATCCCACTCCCTTCCTGTGGCCCCACCGTAGCTGCGGGTGTTTGTATCCTGCCCCACTCGCCAGCTTCGCTACTTTGGCTGTGCAATTCGGGGAAGGAGCCGCCACCTCAGTGACCCCATCCAGCGGGGCTTGGAAAAACTCCTCCCCCGCGGGTTCAAGGGGGCTGCTCCTCCTTCCTGCTCCCCACCCATGTGCAATCGTAGGTCTCTCCTAGCGCCGAGAGTCCTCCGGGGTGTGTCCAGGCTCCCCTGCCTGGAGGCTGAGCAGTCTGTGCCACCCCCAGCCGAGCGGGGATCCCAAAGGGGGACCTACCTGCCCTGGTCGCAGGCTGCATGTCCTGATGGGGCCCTGCCCCCCACTTCCCTGCTTTCCATTGGCCTGGAGCAGCGGGTTAACCTGGGGAATCCTGGCGTGTGACCCCAGCTCATCCCTCCAGGCAACCTCGAAAGTGACATTCAGGGGAGCCGAGCCAAGCTGGAGTCTAAGAAGTCTCGGGCGTACCTTGGAGCATCCCCCCAGTGACCGGGACCAGCTGGGGTCAAGCCATGATCAGAAACATCACCTCTGAGTTTGGAGGTATCCCCACGTCAGTCCCCCATGGGGGACAGGAACTCTCCCAAAATCCAGACGCCTCCTTCGCTCCCCCTCCCAGCTCCAGATCTTGTCAGCTTGCATCGTGCCATAAATAATGCAGCACCGTGAAGAAGGCCCCTCCGGCCGAAACCAGCATGTGGCCTCCCACGATTCGCTCTGGATAATAATGACAGTGCTAAATATAGCCACGCTCGTGGCTCGGGACCGCCCTCCTGAGAGCATCACCGGAGCGGCGCTTCCATAGTGGGGAGACTTTCAGCCCCCCGCGGTGGGGTGCCCCCCTTCCCTCTGCCAGCCCCTCTGTTGGCGTGGATGCTGTGCCTGGTGATTAGAGTGGCACCATCAACTTTCTTCTGAGCCGCGCAGCAAGGTTTTGGCCCTGGTAACCAGGGTCGCTGCCTCCAGATCGCCCCCTTATGGCATGGGGCGGCCCTGCAGCACCCAGCCCTCAGTTTCCCTTCTCGGGTCATCACAAGAACTCCTCAACCCAAACAAGGTTCCACTTCTGGCGTTTTGAGTCCTGGCAACAATGTCTCTCCCCGCTGCACGTTGGAAAAAATAACCCCAGCTATACATACAGTATTTAGCTACAAGTAGTCAGGAGAAAGATCTTGGAGTCATGGTGGATAGTTCTGTGAAGACGTCCACGCAGTGCGCAGCGGCCGTCAAAAAAGCAAACGGGACGTTAGGAATCATTAAAAAAGGGATAGAGAATAAGACGGAGAATATCTTATTGCCCTTATACAAATCCATGGTACGCCCACATCTTGAATACTGCGTACAGATGTGGTCCCCTCATCTCAAAAAAGATACACTGGCATTAGAAAAGGTTCAGAAAAGGGCAACTAAAATTATTAGGGGTTTGGAACGGGTCCCATATGAGGAGAGATTAAAGAGGCTAGGACTTTTCAGCTTGGAAAAGAGGAGACTAAGGGGGGGATATGATAAAGGTCTATAAAATCATGAGTGGTATGGAGAAAGTGAAAAAGGAAAAGTTATTTACTTGTTCCCGTAATATAAGAACTAGGGGCCACCAAATGAAATTAATGGGCAGCAGGTTTCAAACAAATAAAAGGAAGTTCTTCTTCACTCAGCGCACAGTCAATCTGTGGAACTCCTTGCCTGAGGAGGTTGTGAAGGTTAGGACTATAACAGGGTTTAAAAGAGAACTGGATAAATTCATGGAGGCTAAGTCCATTAATGGCTATTAGTCAGGATGGGTAAGGAATGGTGTCCCTAGCGTCTGTTTGTCAGAGGGTGGAGATGGATGGCAGGAGAGAGATCACTGATCGTTACCTGTTAGGTTCACTCCCTCTGGGGCACCTGGCATTGGCCACTGTCAGCAGACAGGACACTGGGCTGGATGGACCTTTGGTCTGACCCAGTCTGGCCGCTCTTGTGTTCTTATGTGAGCCTGAGTCAGGTGGTCCATGCAGCCGTGTAGACGTAGACGTAGTCTTGGGGTCTCCTGCAGGAGCCGTCTTGCTTTCTGCCGCCATCTGCTGCCTTCCTCCTGGTCCTTCCCAGCCCACGACGGTGCCTTGATTGGCCCGGGCGGCTGTGTCCCCCATTGCCTCTGCTCCAGACCCAGCCAATCCTGGGGGGGTTTGAATTGGCAGCTTCTGTTTCCCTCCAGCAGTGCCAGCTGCCCTTGGCATCCCACAGCGATTGCCCCAATCGCCCCTCCTGACACAGGCTCCTGTTGTGAGTGAGAGGATTTACCCTTGGGGTTGGGGGGCAGCTTTACGTTCCACCCAGGGGCCAGCAGAGGCTGCTCAAGGGATGCCTGATCATGGTGCCCCACCCCACAACTCCTGGAGCTGCGCTGACCCCTATGGGAGAGAGGAGGTTGCAGCTTCATTCTCCAGCCAGGGCCCTGGGTGAGTGGAGCCCACCGCCCGGTGGCCCCAGGGGGCTGTGATTGTTTCTTCTGGGGAGCAGGCTTGTGGGAGCCGAGATTTGCCCCCCCCCCCACTGTATGACTGCATCAGGGTTTCCTCTGAAGCGTTGATGCTCTCCCCTTGGCTAATCCCCCATGGCAGGAAGCTGGGATGGCCATTATACAGTTACTGAGAGGGAGAATAAACCCCTCCTCTCCCCTCCCCTGTTGAGCTGGATGTGCTGACAACTCAGGGAGATCCTGTGTCAAGAGTTCTCTGGGCAGTCCGGGCGGCAGAGGGAGGATAAGAAGGCGCCGGGTCACTTTGCTGGCGTTTCGGTGCCCCAAAGGTTACCCATGTTCCCTGCCCGCTGAGCTGATGCCGGGTTCCCCCCCTTCTCGTTAATCAACCGTCACGGGGATCGGTCCCTCTCCCGACTCCTCCAAAGCCTCCGTGGCTCAGCTGTGACGCTGTGTCTCTCTCTTCCCTGTGCAGGAGGAAGAGAATGGAAACCGAGGAGGTAAGCACTCATCTCTGGCACGCGGCCGCTTGTATCGCCTGTGCGTGTGTGTGTGCGCCCGTGTGGCCAGACACTGTCTGGGTGTCCGGGTGTGAAAGGGAGCTGATTGGTGCTCTGGCCTGCTTCACAGCCCAGCCCAGACTCAGTACCTCCCTGCCAGGGAAGTGATTGCAGACGATGGTGGTTTGTGAAATGCACCAAGCTGCCGAGCAGCAGATCAGTGTAGCAGCAGGCCAGCCGGGCAGGGAGGGGGGATCTTTCCATCACAGATGAAGTTACCCAGCTCCCCTAGGCGTGAATGGCCACTCGGCTGAAATAAGAGCCCGAAACCTAGGCCTGAGGTAAACCGGCTCAGCGACACTCGGAGATGGGCAAGCTGGGTGCCCCCAACGCCAAGGGGGGGCTGCGCTGCCTGGTGGGGCGATCTCAGGCCGTGCAGGAGGAAGCGCGTGTAGAGATGCTGTGGTACGATTCCCCCTAACATCCCAGCCATCCGGGGGTATCTGTCCCCTTCCCCCGCTGGCTAGCGGTTGGTTGCATTATTCATCCCTAAATCCATTAGCTGATGCCCCATTGGCAATACCTAGATCTGCAGCTTGGGCACTTCCCCGTGTCTCCGCCCCTAGCTAGGACCTTCCCGACTAGATCCCAGAACCAGCTGGTTCTCCCACCTCTTCCTGTCCACTTGGTTGGCTCCGGCTGTGTGCCGGCCGCAGACCAGGTGCTCCTGGGAAGGGATAAAGCTTGCCACCTGGCAGGTTTCGGTGCTGTTCATCCCTCCCAGGCTGGGAACTGTGACTTGACCTAGGTTTACAGCGAAGGAGCGTTTCCCCACAGGGAGGCTGTGCTAATGCACAGCTCAGGACAAGGCGGGCAGCAGCGTTTTGGTTTGGGGGGATCAGAGGGCGCAAAGCGACTCCCTCAGCCTGCCGGCGGGTGCTTTGGGTGCACATCACGAGCTTTCGCCTTGTTTGTATCTGGATTCAGGCTGCGGTTTCTTGGTGTCTTTCCCTAGCCCAGAGCCCGGCAGCTGCCCTGGGGGTTACAGTGCAAGACAGGCCCTCTGGCTCCCAGCCCCCATTGGGTCTTGTCTGAGACAAGCTCAGTGTCCGAGCAGCGGGTTAGCAGCAGAGAGTCAAGCGCTGCCCTCCCTGGCCACAGCTCTCCGATGTGACCAGCAGCCCCTCCTCCAGCCCATCTGCAGCTCCGCTGGTGCTCCCCAGTCGCGGCCTGTGGTCTCCCCTGCTATTCCACTCCTGGGCTCCCCCCATGCACAGCTCTGCAAATACTTCCCAGTCCCAACACCCCAGCTCCCTTCTGCTATTCCTATTCCGGGCACCCCCGAACCCCCACAGCTCTGTCCTCAATCCCAACCCGCAGCCCCTTCTGCTGCTCTGCTCCTGGGTCTCCCTTGTGTCTCTCCCAAGGCACCTCAATTCTGTTCCTGTCCCGGGATCTCCCCGTCCTAACCCCTAGCTCTGGGGATGATCCACCTCCATCCTGGCCTACAGGGATGCCCAGCCTGGCAGTGCCCCCCAGCCTGTCCCGCAGCACGCACACTGTGAGGCCTCTCCCCTGCACAGGGATCGCCGGACCTGCAGAGTCACAGGAGGGGGGGTTGTCCTTGTAGACAGATCCCAGACCAAGCTCCGATCAGGGCCCTAGAGGTGTACAAGTGTCCATGCTTGAGTGGGGTCTGCTGAGGCACAGGGCGGGAGTGGGCGCTCCTGGGAGGGCACCTGGACGCGGGGGGAAGCCGTGACTTCTGCGACCATGCTTTTGGAAATGGCCCGCGCACGGTTACCGAAGCTGCTCTTGGGTTGGCTTTGTGCAGAGGACAGGTCTGAAGCCCAGCACCCGCCTGCGTCTCCAGGCTGGAGTTGAGTTAACCGGATCTGATGCAGTCAGAACGGATAGCCACGTGTCGGGCTTGACGGAGAACTTCCAGTTCTGGCCCCTCACTCGGCTCCAGCCCTGCGGGGAGGGGACCAGTTGCAGATGAAGCATGTCTGGAAGCTGGGGCGGGGTGTGGGGGGTGCCAGGCGATGGAAGCCTGATGCCCTTTGGACCAGGGCCCACACAGGCTACTCCTCAGACACATCCCCTGCCCCTTCCTGCTGTGCCATTCCCTGCCCAGAACCCTGAATCACCCACAGCTTCTTGCTGTGACCCCAATCCCTTGTGGCCAAAGGATTGTGGGATGGGGGGGGGTCACGGCAAGAAATCAGTGCCGGTGGTTTTGGTCCCAGGTGGGGAGAGGCTGAGAACCGCCAATTGAAAAGGGGCTGAAACCTTCCTTCCCTCCTGCCCAGGAGGACCTTGTCCCACCAGGGGTCCAGTGAGGGGAGCACGTGCTTCCCGCTCTCAGATAATGTATGTCACCCTAGGACCAGATTGTTCCTCTGGGTCGTGACGGGACGTGGCCTTCGAAGTCTGTGTTTGCTGGTGTGGAGCGCAGTGCCAGATCATGCTGGTTGTTTTAATTGTGGTGTGTGTTCTGTGTAGCCAGGGTGTATGCACGGGAGTGTCCTGTGTGTGTATGACTAGTGTGTGTGTGTCCTGTGTGTACGTGTGTGTGCGTGCACTCAAGCACATGATACTGTGTGTATGTATCCAGTGCACATGAGTGTGTGTGCGTTCATGCATGTAGTTCTCCGTGTGTAGCCAGTACATACAAGCGTGTGTGTGTATCTAGTGTGTGTGTGTGCTCATGCATGTAGTTCTCTGTGTGTCCAGTGAGCACAAGTGTGCGTGTGTATCCAGTGCGTGTGTATCCAGTGCGTGTGTGCACTCATGCACGTAGTTCTCTGTGTGTGTGTGTATCCAGTGTGCAGGCGTGAGTGTGTGAGTATACAGCATGTACCCGTCTTTCCTGTGAGGGACCCCCCGGTTCCGAACTCTGGTGTCTGACGCCCTTTCCCTTCCCTTCCCTTTCCCGGCGCAGGTCCCCAGCGGAGCCGCCTGGAGCCCATGGACACCATCTTTGTGAAGAACGTGAGGGCAGACGGGCCTGCGCACCAGGCCGGCCTCCGCACAGGTGGGGGAGCCCCCCACTGGGTACCACGCACCCCACTGGGTGGGGGCGACCTGAGGGACTGTACTGGGAAAGCCAGTGGCAAAGTGCTCCCGGAGGGGACTGAAATCCAGTGGATGAGGGCTAACATGGGAAACAGACCTGAAAACCCTTCCAGTTAATTCAAATGCTTGGTAAACAGCTGGGGAAGAACAGGGCTTTGTTAAAGATTCAAACACACGTTCTGGACTGGGGTCTCTAGGGTTACACCCCTTGACATTGCTGGGGTCTCTAGGGTTACAAACAAGCTGGCAGAAAGCAGTCTTTAGGCCCAGTCAAGGCACAAATTCAGTGCCTGCCCTGTCTGTCTGCCGGGGCCGTTCCTCCTCAAGGGACAAATCTGGCAGGCGCCTGTCTGCAGAGCGCAGGGCATGAGCCGAACCCCACTGAATACCAGGGGAGGCACGGATGGATGGGGGAGCAGAGAGGGAAAGAGACTGGCACTCCGTGTATTAGCAGCGAAGCCATTTCACGCAGAGGGGCTGGAGAAGAGCTTTGATTCCTCCTAACTCCAGCGAGCCCTGCCAGCCTCCCTCCTGCTTGTTGGCCCTGTCTCCGGAGCGCGTCTCGGTGCCGTTCAGCTGGGGGGTGGGAACTGGTGGTGGATCCAGGGCCAGAGCCAGAATCGCTTCTCAAGCGGTAATTAACTAAGGGGGAGCGTCCTGGGTGCATGGGACGTGGCTGGGGCTTTCGCTGCAGATCCCCTAACGAGTCCGTAGCGCCTGGCTCAACCCAGATGTCACCTTCTCAGTCCCTTCCTGGTGGGGTTGGTGCCTGCCCCTGGGCTGCTCGTCTGTGGCGTGTGCCAGCCGCGTAGCCATCCTGTGGTGCCCGGGGGCATGGCCCTGCCAGCTGCCGTCTGGGGGCGGGCTGAAAGGGGAAGCTAACTGTGCCACGTTAGGGTGAAAATCTCCCCCTCCGCCGAGGGAGTTGGGGGAGAAAGGGTCTCTCCAGGCCTCTCGGCTCTGAGCGAGCTCGCTGCCTGGAAAGAAGGGGAGTCACCATAGCCTGGTTGCAGCAGAGCCTAGGAAACCCCATAAGAGAGCCCCACTGGACAGGCCTTGCTTCAGAGCTCACAGCCGGGGGGAAAACGGCCTTGTCCTTGGGTGACGTTTGTCCTTACGACGTCCTGTCCGCCCGAGTGGCTCATTCGCTCCAGGCTGTGGCTGGGGCAGAGGGAAGGGGCTCTCTCTCCCCCCCTTGCCCGTTGTTCTCTACTACGACCTCTGAAAGCCGTTGTCTGCTGCCCCCATCAGCTGGTGCCCACACGGGGCAGCGCGGGGGTTGCCACTTTGGGCCCCCAGGTGTCAGTGGCGACAGCAGTAACTGTTCTGCCAGTGCTCAGGGTGGGGATGGCGTGTGCCCGGCTAAAATGGTCAGGCAGTAAACCGGAAGGAAGGCGCTGTGTGTTGTATCCTCTGGGCCAGACGTCAGCGGGCACGAACCTGGGGCGCTTCCTTGTCTTTGAGGGAGCAGTGCTGAGAGAGGCCAGCCGAGGGTCCCGCCCTGCCGTGGCCCCCTGGACCAGCCGCTGAGCGCTCGTTAACAGCACCAAGGCGTAGGGACAGGGCTGCAAGGGGGACAGTGGGCCGAGGCGGGAGAGCAGCCAGAGAACAAGCCAGCTCTGTGTGCGCAAAGGCTCCCTTCCCGAATGATTTCCAGCGCCATTGCTGGGGACAGCCCCACAGCCCCTCCTCCTGCGAGGTGCCGAGTGCCCCCAGCTCCCACCGACGTCCCGCTTGCTTGGGCCCTTCTTCGGCGGGTAGCGGCAGGCTGGGGGCGATATCGCACGTTGCTGTGGTTACCGCCAGCTGTACTCGCTCCTGCTTGGCTAGCTGCGCCCCCATTCACGCGTGGGCCCCCGGTTATTTTCCCTCTGCAGGAGACCGGCTTGTCAAGGTGAACGGCGAGAGCATCATCGGGAAAACCTACTCCCAGGTCATAGCGCTGATCCAGAACAGGTGAGAGCTGGGATACTCCCCGGATATTGGATCCTCCCCGGGGCGAGACTCCTGGCTGAGACGAAGTGCCCTCCTGGGGTTCAGGCCAAAATGTTCATACTCAAATCCGCCATCCAGGCCCAGATCCTCAAAGGTGCGTGGGCGCCTAACTCCCAATGGTGCCAGTGCTAATCAGGTGCCTAAATACCTTGGAAGAGCGGGGCCCTAGGCCAAGTTTTTCCAAAGTGCTGAACGATTTTTGGGTGGCCACCTTGCGACACCCCAAGGGTCCTGATTTGCATGAAGTGCTGAGGTCCTGCCCCAGGAAGGTGGGTCCCCATCGTCAGGCACTTGGGAAAAAGCCGCTTATTTATGTGCCCCAGTATGGATTACCGGCAGGTGCCGGATTGGCTGCCGTTCTCACCCTCTGGCGGGTGTGGGCGCTGCTGCCCATGTAGCCAGGACACCACTAGGGCAGCTTGATTCCCCGACTCCTTCGCACTAAGATGTTGCCAAAATGGCGGTGTTGGTGACACCTGATGTGACAACGAGCCAGCCAGATTTGGGGCAACCTTGCTCCTCTTCTCGCAGGGGGGTCAGGGGCGCGGTTGGAGCAGAAGGGAGTTGCAGCGTTTGTCTGTTCAGCGCTGAGTTGATGGATGTGGGAGAATTTCCTACCCACCTTCGTTCTCGCACGCTCCCTCACACACCGAAAAGGGAAGAAAGAAGCCAGTGTGTGTGTGTCTGTCTTTGGAGCTGGGATTTAATTAATGACCTGGATTTGTGTGTGTTGCACTCTGTGTGTGACTACTGATTAGACAGGGGAGATGGAGGGGCAAACCTGACCGCGATAGCTCCTAAGTATAGCACCTGGGGAACGAACCAAATGAAAGTGATCTGGATATGAGCTAAATATAAGATACAGCCCTGGGTGCTAATTGCATTTGGAAAACTATTCAGTGGCCGTCAGCAGGGGAGGGGGAACGGTGGGGGCTACATGCTGTCGACTGGCTCTGAAACGGAAAGGGGATTTCCAGGGGGTTTGTTGCAATTTCTTGCCTTGGCTTGAGCTTTTCATTAGTTGAGAAAGAAATAAGCAGCCACTGTCACCAAAGGAAGAGGAAGTGATCCTGTGGCTAGAGCAGGGGATGGGGAACCAGGACTTCTGGGTTCCGGGCCTGGCTCTGCAATGGAGCATGGTCTAATGGTTAGAGCAGGGGTCCGGAGCTAGGACTCCTGGGTTCTCTTCTGGTCTCTGGGAGGGAATGTTAGAGCAGGGGGATTAGGGGTCAGGAATCCCAGCCCTTTTCTTGATGCAATTTCTCAATGGAGGGCTTGGCAGAGCTGAATTGGGAGGAGGGACTGGAGAGGGGGGGGCGAGTGCCTCAGGGGGGTGGGGAGGGAGTCGCAGGGAGGGGCACTGCTCAGACTAAGGGAGAGGTGAGGTGGGCTACAGGCGTGGAGGGGACATGGCGCAGAACATTCCCAGCCCAGGGCTGGATCTGAGAGCGGCTGCTGGCGGTGCACCCCCACGCAGCTGGCGGCGGGCGGGGGGATGCGTAGCTACACTGTGACAGGTCCTGTCTTTTGCATGTGGCGTTAAGACGAAGTCTTTCCTGTCCCCTGGGAAGGAAAATGGCCCATCGTGGCGGCTTGGCCGCTGTCTCCTCTGGGAGTAACAGCAGCTTCTACTGTCCCGGGCTGCATGTGTGAGCTGCTGCATGGGCCCTGCGCAGCTGGGATCTTCCGGCTCAAACCTTTGGAGTAAAACCTCTGCCCTGCGAACCTCCAGCCTGGTTCTCGCGCACTAGCCCAGGGCCGCGATGCTGCAGATCTGCAGCCTTTAAACAATAAATAAATAAAGCCCACCATCCTTGTTCCTTTGGCGTTAACGCCTACTAATCAGATAACCCCCGCTGGCCGCAGCCAGCCAGGCACTGGGTCAGTGGAGATTACACCCTGGACTTCCACCACCAGAAGCACACGCCTCAGTCACTTGAGTTTAGGGGGTAATTCCCAGAGCTGCCTGTCAGTTGCAGGCCTTGCCTCCTTCCCAGCCACTCACATAGCATCAGGTGGGGAGTGCTGTCCTGTGCCCCTGCAACCCACCTCGGCTGCTGAGTCCTGGCATCCAGTTACTGCCCCGGTCTCTGCGTGACTTGGAGCCTGGAGACGCGGGGAGCTGGCTGCACGCAGCATCCAGACCCTGACGCTCTCTGCCTTTCCCTCTCTCTGCAGTGATGATGCCTTGGAGCTCTCCATCATGCCCAAAGACGAGGACGTCCTCCAGCTGGTGAGCCTTTTGCTGCTGAACTCTCCCTGGGTTCGGGCCGGTGATGAGCAGGGAGTGCCTTGCCTGGCCCTGTTTTGCCACGCCCTGCGCAGAGCCCTTCCCCTTTACTGTTGGGTGGGGACTGACCCAGAGCCCCTAGCTCAGCAGTGACAGCCGGGGCATTCTTCAGGCAGTGAGGCTGGGCACTGCTGCTCTCCAGGGTTTCGGAGCAGATGACAGTCCTGGGGGAGATGGCTTGGGGAGGTGGGCCACATGGGCAACTTCTCAGGAGACCTTAAACCTGCAACCGAGTCACCCTCATCGTTACCCTGCAGAGGGGCAGCCCACAGAGAGAACAGCGCCCAGCTTTCAATACTCCTTTGTGTGGCCCTGTTGCATGCTGGGACTTGTAGTCTCCACAGGGACGCTCCCGATTACAAAAAGCAAAGGGACATGTGCTGTGCAGCCGTTGTTTTTTGGGCTGCACACTGACTTAGCCCGGCTTAAGCCTTAGCTAGCTGGCATTCTGCAAGGCTGCCAGGCACGCGTCATGCCCAAGAGGGTGCGTGTGGCCTCCGAGGGGCTGACGGGACAGTGGGTGGCTGACGTGGGCTGGCCAGATCAGTGTGACAAGGCTGATTGCGGGGTTGTGGTGGGGGGTTATCTGGGCAAAGCCGACGTCCCCTGCTCCAGCAGATTAGCCACGGCCATCTGGGCGGCGAGTGGTGTGAACCATGGCACTTAAAATCCCTCACGCCTGAGCCCCTCCCTCGATTGGGGGTGAGGCTGGTGGAATTTGTCGGGGGGCCTTTAGGGTTCCCTTTAATAGCAGCCCGACGGGATCTCATTTTCTTGGGGCCCCATGCATCAGCAGTTTGGGTGGTGTGTTCTGAATTCAAGGCCGGTTGCTGGGGTTGGGGGTTTGCCAGCTCTGAATGCTCCTGACCTGTTCACCCTGGACCCTGTTTGAAATCCATTCCTGTCTCCTGCCCCGGGCTGACTGGCCACCTCCTCTTGCTGCAGGAGCGGGGAGTGATGGAATGAGGGGGGGGCAGCGTGCGAGGAGGGAGATGGAATGAAGCTCACCCTGGTTGTAAGTGACAGATCATTGGGTGTTGGGCCGGGGTCGGTCGCCATGACGTGGTTGTTGGAGGGTGGGATGGTGGTAGGACCAGCCCGGATCACCCTGCAGAGAAGAGGCACAAGTCTAGCAGTGCGGGGAATGAGCTGGGGGGGGCGGCTTGTCTAGGGATGTGGTGGCTTCGCCTTCGCTCCGACACCCTCCGTGAAGATGGGGGACGTTTCGGGGAGACACATTCTAGTGCCGCCCGCGAGTGGTCGGGCTGGGTGTAGGAATCTCTGGGCAGGGTTCCGTGGCCCGTGGGATGCGGCAGGTCAGACTAGACGCTCCGTCGCCCAGGTGGGTGGGGTGATCTGTGTTAAAGGAGCGGAGCTAGCCCTGGCAGAGCCGGGGGGCTACTCTGTCACCCAGGGAATGGAGGAGGGGGACACAGTCATCTGAGCCCCCTGACCCCACGGCCTGGCGTGCGGAGCCTGTTGCTGCGAGGGCATGAAGCAGCCCCAGGCCACCAAGGTGTGATTGACGCAGGACCCTCCCCCTCTTCCCCACTCTGGGATGCTGGCTAGAGTTTTTCTCCTTGGGCAAAAAAGATCCTCAGTTCTGTCCACATCCCTTGGAAGCTTGGGTGTCAGCAATACGCTGGGGGGAGAAGGGGCGTGTGGGGGGCAGAGGTCTTGTGATCCACCCGCCCTGAGGCCATACAAAGTGAGGGGGAAACCCCAAACGCACCCAGGGCCCCAGAGAGTCACAGGATACTCTAGAGCCCCAGGCTGGCTATTCCCAGTGCGTCTGCAGTAATGGAACAGATCATCCCTTAGGTAATGGCAGAGAAGTCCCTGGGTTCCAAACCCTCCTGCTGCAGGGCCTTCACAGCCGCTAGCCGCTGGGGTCAGGAAGGAATGACTCCCCTGGGCAGGTTCAGGGTTAGTGCCTAATTGCCTGGTTTTTGCTGTCATCACAGTAGTGCCAACAGAGATCAGAGCTCCGTTGTGTTGGGTGCTGTACAGACACACATTATGAGACAGTCACTGCCCCGAAGAGCTTACAGTCAAAATAGACAAAGGATGGGAGGGGAAACTGAGGCACCAAACGGGGGCCTGGCATGTCCATGGTCACCCGGCTGGTCAATGGCAGAGTGGGAGATTGGAGCCCTTTCGCACCTTCCTCTGATACGTCTGGGGCTGACCTCTGTCGGGCTCAGGGTCCCAGCCTAGCTGGGCTGTGGCTGCGATCAGGTGGGGCGCGTCCTCCGGAGTTACACCAGGGATGAATTTGGCCCAGTACTTCTCAGCCAAAGCACCGGCCTGTGGCTGTGTTTGGAGTGAACGGGTTTTGAACAAGGGCAGTGCAGTTACGTGTGTCTGTCTGCCTGCGTCTGTCTTCCTGTCTGTGCGTGTGATTCAGAGGAGACCCAGGACGTGCGAAAGGAGCCGGATGCCAAGGGCCAGCTTTGCTTCCCGGCTTGGATTCCAAAGGAACCTTTGTGTGGGTTTCCCCGTCCCGGTGCCTGGGCTGGGGGCGTGGGCATTCCTGCGGTGTGCGGCTCCGGCAGCCAATGGCAGGCCTCAACCAGGAGCTCCCTGCAGCTCGGGGGGGGTCTCTCCTCCCTCCCGCCTCAGGACGTCCCAGTCGCAAAATCCCCAAACAACTTAAAAGGAAAAATTGAGAAGGAAAGGTTAGTCTGGGCCAGGGCTGTGCCCGGGGAGCAGCGAGGGAGCGGCCAGCCGGGGGAGAAGGCTGCTGCCGGATCGAGGGAGGTAATGAGCTCTGTTTGGGATCCCTGTCGTCGGTGTGTATTATATGATTGTTAGGTCGTCTATCGCATTCGGATTGAACGTGTTTATTACGGTAGTGTGTGAGCCCACCGAGAACAGGGCCCCATTGTGCCAGGCGCTGTACGAGCCTAGGATACGAGACGGCGACTGTCGAGAGAAATGCCGGCGGGGGCTCCCGTGACGACTCCCTTTATTCCAGAACAGAGGAAACCTCCCAGAGCTGAGCCAGCTAGTCATTAAAGGCGAGCGTTTAACCCTCTGGCTGTAGCTTGAACAGGTTAAAAAAGGGATGGGGGCGGGGAAGGTCCTTCAGTAGGTGGCACAGTCTGGGAAGGAAGCCCAGGGCTCCGGCCGCCCCTTTAAGCGAGCGTGTCGGAGCTCCGCACCGCTCCGCTCCACTCCGTTCCTTTTTTGGATCAGAAAGAGCTGGTTTGTCATTGCCCAGAAATGCAGCCTTCCTGAGAGCAGGATTCCAGGGCGGCGGGGAGCTGGGAGCAGCCAGGGGCCCTGCTCCCTCCATTGGCCTCCCAAGGACTGAATGATGAGGCAGGAAGGACCCTGGGGTTCGGGCCCCAGCACGCGTCCAGAGAGAGGAAGCTTTGGGAAGGGGGCTGTTTCCCTCCCCTCTCTCTGGTTCCTGGGGTGTCAGAATCGGAGCAGCTTTAGGAAGCAGGTTGCTGCAGATTCCAGGGGTTGGGTCGTTTGGGGACAATGCAGTGGGGTGGCTGGAGCTGCTTCCCTTTGGACAGCAAGCTTGCAGCGTGGTAACTTCACTGGAAACACTTGCCTTCCCTGGCCATGATCGTGACGCTCTCCCCTGGCTGATTTCCAGCGCTGACTGCACTTGGCCTCCTGCGGTTTCCATTGCAGCATCACTTTTGCTCCAGAATTATTCTTGTGGCTTTGCTGTGCGGTGTTGACAGGCTGCTGCCTTCCACCCCAGAGGCAGCTGCATTCCAGGTGAAGCCCTGCCTTGCCTGCAATTCGCTTGTAATCGGTTCCTGCAGCTTGTGGGGCGCTGCTGGGCGTCTGGAGGAGAGATGCTGCAGTGCGTCTCTTATCATCACTTAGTCGTTAACCCTTTCACTCTGGGAACCAACCTCGGGCCCAGGGGTTAGAACATTAAATCATGCCTCAAAAATGCCCCACCTGCTGCAGGGGGTTAAAACCAGCTTCCCTGGGATAGATGTTGCATGAACGAATCCTGGCTGGGAGCCAGGGGCCAGGCTAGACAGCGGCACCCCAAACCCTGCCTCAGCCCTTGCTCCCCTGCGCATCCAGCTGTGCACACCTAGTTATCCAGGACTCTCTGCTTAGCAGGGGACTTCTTAGATTTTGGACTCGCCCACCCGCTTTACTTGCTATACAAGGCACCTCTTCTTGTTCAGCAGCAAGGGTCCCGGGTTCTCCAGCCCGAAGCTTCCCAGCGTGGGATCCAGCAGGTTGTTGTGTGTGTGTTGTCTACATAGGCAATGCCCCACGTTTCCCTTGTATCCCCGATCCTGCCATCCGGTCTCACCTGGCAGCCTGCTGGGAAGCATCACGGTGTGGTGTCCAGCGGGACGTCCTCTGCGTGTGTCCTGCTCACGTTCTTACCCTGCACCCATCACCATGGTATGTGGGTGCCTGCCAGGAGCACAGTAAGCGCCAAGGTTGGCATCTGTCACACATGGGTCTTTTCCTTCTTCCTCGCCCTGCAGGGTGGATTTATCTGGGGCAGGGGAGTTCTGGCTGCTGGGCTCTGTGGTTGTCACGGAGTCCCTGGGCGATGCTCTGGAACTGCTCCCCATGAAGCCAGTCAGGACTGTGGGGCAGTTGCCTTTCTGTGAGCAGCCTGTCTTCAGGACACGCAGCTCACTCAGCTTCCACCTTCCTGGGTCTGACCTCGGAGCATTCAGCATCCTCTGCCCCTCCGTGCACTTCCCACAGCGAGTCCGCTCAGGCGGGGCTCCTGGGGAAGCCAGAGGGTCCTGCACCCCAACTTCGCAGTCAGACGTGACTCTCAGCCAGCCAGTAAAACAGAAGGTTTATTAGACGACAGGAACATGGTCTAACACAGAGCTTGCAGGTGCAGAGAACGGGACCCCTCAGCTGGGTCCATTTTGGGGGGCAGTGAGCCAGACAACCACGTCTGCACTTCACTCCATGTCCCAGCCAGCCCCAAACTGAAACCCCTCCAGCCCCTCCTCCTCTGGGCTTTGTTCCTTTCCCGGGCCAGGTGGTCACCTGATTCCTTTGTTCTCCAACCCTTCAGCTCTTCCCCCCCCTTGCAGGGGGGGGAAGGGCCCAGGCCATCAGTTGCCAGGAAACAGGGTGTCGGCCATTCTCTGTGTCCAGACTCCTGCACACACCTGCCCTCTAGGGCTCTGCAATGATCATACACCTTTACTCCACCCCCTAGATACTTAAGAACTGCATAGGGGAAACTGAGGCACCCCCACACTATTCAGAGGAAACATTAAGAACAGTCCCACTTCGTCACATCTCTCCCCCCTTCGAGATCGAACTGAGCGGGGTCACTTTAGCCGGTGACCTGGGGAAGTTCGAAGCCACCAACGTTCCCATGGATGCCCCAGCATCTCTCCCATTCCTTGGTAGGAGTTACACCAGGCCCTTGCAGTTTCACGCCCTCCCTTAGGTCAGGGGTGGTCGATAGCACTCGCAGGCCGCATGTGGGAAGGTTTATGCAGCCCATGCCCTTTGGCCACCCCAAGAATGTCTCCCCATTGACCATCACCTTCTGCTCCCACTGGCGGTCCGAGGGGCCTGGCCTCAGGAAACTCCACACACACATATAGGTTGGGGTCAGGAGTGGGAGCCTGTCCACATCCCCAACCATCTGGCTGACGGAGTCTATGGCCTTGGGACCCAGCAAGGGAGCTAGACACTGGGGCTTTTCCGCAGGGTCCCCTTGGTTCAAATCGCCAGCCTGCTCAAAGGCAGTGAGGTGGGCATCCACACCCCCCCCCCTTAACCAGGGGCAGCAATTTAGTCTCGAGGTTCCCTGCGGAACTGGCCCCCCGGGATCTATCCCCACTCACCCCGGGGAGGTCCCCTAGGCCTCTCCGCTCCCCCCACCGCCAGTTCATCCTGCTGCTACTTCTGCAGCTCTTTCTCGGGCTCTCGCTGTCTCCCACGGTCCTCTTGCTCTCTCAGACTCAGCTCCAATCCCGTCCGTCTCGATCCCCCCGATGGGGAACCCGATCGTGAAGACCCTCGTCTGGTTGGGGACAGGAGTCTTGGCGATGCCTGGCTCCCTCTTCAGCTGCTCCCAGATCCTGCTATAGCCCCAGTTGGGGTCAGGAATCTGTTCCTTAGAGCGGTCATCCTCCTCCAGCTGCACGATTAACTCTGCTTTGGTGAACTTTCCAATGCTCAACCCTCTCTTTTTGCACAGGGTTACAATGTCCTTCTTAAGGAGATGGTGACAGGCCATCACTCCGCTCCTCCCAAGTTGTTGTGGACTCACAGGCCCGTGTGTTCTCAGCTCCCCACGGTTTCCAGGGAGAACCCCTAGTGTGCCAGCCCTTCTCGAGGTCACCACCTCTTTGCCAGGGTCGAGCTGCAGACTCCTCCGCCCCTTGGACTGCTCGCTGCAATCCCCAGGGGAACCCTGTTACTGCACAGTCCTCGCTGGTCACACACTCCCAGGGGTTAACCGCCCCCCGAAACCGCTCCTCTCTGAGCCTTCAGCAGGCCTGGTCCTCGGCAATCCCCCTTCGTGTTACTGCTCCCCAGTCACTTACTGCAGGAAGCACCATCCACGGGGTGCAGTACATCCCACCGCTGCCACCAGTTGTCACGGAGTCCCTGGGCGATGCTCTGGAACTGCTCCCCATGAAGCCAGTCAGGACTCTGGGGCAGTCGCCTTTCTGTGAGCAGCCTGTCTTCAGGACATGCAGCTCACTCAGCTTCCACCTTCCTGGGTCTGACCTCGGAGCATTCAGCATCCTCTGCCCCTCCGTGCGCTTCCCACAGCGAGTCCGCTCAGGCGGGGCTCCTGGGGAAGCCAGAGGGTCCTGCACCCCAACTTCGCAGTCAGACGTGACTCTCAGCCAGCCAGTAAAACAGAAGGTTTATTAGACGACAGGAACATGGTCTAACACAGAGCTTGCAGGTGCAGAGAACGGGACCCCTCAGCTGGGTCCATTTTGGGGGGCAGTGAGCCAGACAACCACGTCTGCACTTCACTCCATGTCCCAGCCAGCCCCAAACTGAAACCCCCTCCAGCCCCTCCTCCTCTGGGCTTTGTTCCTTTCCCGGGCCAGGTGGTCACCTGATTCCTTTGTTCTCCAACCCTTCAGCTCTCACCTTGCAGGGGGGGAAGGGCCCAGGCCATCAGTTGCCAGGAAACAGGGTGTCGGCCATTCTCTGTGTCCAGACTCCTGCACACACCTGCCCTCCAGGGCTCTGCAATGATCATACACCCTTACTCCACCCCCTAGATACTTAAGAACTGCATAGGGGAAACTGAGGCACTCCCACACTATTCAGAGGAAACATTAAGAACAGTCCCACTTCGTCACAGTGGTGTTTATATTAGCCAAGGGAGGTCCAACAATTACGCCCGGCATTTGGCGTGGAGAGTGTTCTTAGACCTCACGGGCATTCACTGCGCAGCCCGGGGCCGGCCCTTGAGAAAATGCCCTCTCCTGTCCTGCACTGCTGCGCTGTCCCCTTTTGCCATGGCTCCGAGGTTCCTCGTTCCAGAATTCTTATCCTGCCTCCCTCGGGGCCAGCCCTTCTCCCTTCCTCACGCTCCCCATCTGTGACATGGGGAGGACAGTCCTGGCCCTGGTGAGACTGGGTGAATGGCGTGAGGATGGGCTGTGCTGCCATGTGCGAACACAGGGACACCTCTCCAAGCAGCCGCTCCAAGGCTTGACAAAACTTGGAAGCTAAGAGAGGGCATGGGGGTTGTACTCAGGATATGCCCTTGACGATATTTTGGGATGGTCTATTGGGGTTGCCTAGTCAGAGCAACGTCTGGGGTAGGTTACAATACTGCTTAGTGCCGTTATCTAGTGCCTTATGCTGGAGTGTCTCTGGGCTTTTTCCAAAGGTGGGCAGGTGAGGAATTTATCCCCATTTATCCCCATTTTGCAGGTGAGGAAACTGAGGTCTGGAGAAGGGAAGTGACTTGCCCAAATGTGTGCAATGCGTCAGTTGCAGGGCTGGGCTGAGAAGCCCCATGTCCGAATGCCCAGGCCCTTGCTTAACCACTGGGTAGCGCTTCCTCTGCTCACACGAAGGCTGTAGGAGGCTGTTCTGTTAAGAGGTTCAGGGTTTAGGCTCAGCCTGCAGCTGGGCAGGTTAGTTCAGAAATGCCTATGAAAGATGAGAGAAGGAAAATCCTGGCTCTCCGTCCAGCTCAGTGCGTCAGGGAGTATTTTAAGGAGATGGAACCAGAGACCATGTGAAGCCAGCATAGCCGTGAGCATAGCATGGGAGAGCAATGCGGCTGGCAGCAACCGGAGCATGTTAGTCACTTTCCACCCCAGCAGAAAGCGCGTCTGGAAATGTGTTTGATGTCTGCACAGCAGGGGAGGATTTCGGGTGGCCCTTTCCCAGGCTGATCGAGGCTCTGGGCTGAGACGGTCACTAATGATTTCAGGGGCAGCAGTTCTGAGAGGCCCAACTTTAGAGACCTGGGTTTTCACTATGCGCTGAGCACTAGCCCCTGAAAATCATCTCCCTTTCCGGTGTCTCACAACGAGCCCCTCAAAATCACTTGGCCGCAGCCCCAGTGGACTTAGGCTGGAGGTGGGCATCTCTCTCCCCCCCGCGGTGCAGGGACGGCACGCCCGGCTCCCTTCCCGCAGCACTGAGCGCTGCTCCAGCAGGAGCGCCTGATTCTGCTTGCATTGCGCGTGGTCAGCCCTGCCCTAGAAGGGGGATGAGATCTGCCCTGCCGGCGGGATGTGCCCAGTGGGTGGCACCGCAGTCATCTCACGGCTTGGTGTATAGTCCACACCACTGGTGGCCTCACCTCGCCCGTCTGTGTGAGTCTTTAAACCCGAAGGGCCCAGCGGTGCCCATCCCGGTTGGGTTCATAAGCTCAAGTGCCTCACGGTTGCAGGCGGCTGGTGCTAGCCTTGGTCTCTGCCCCTTTTGTATCCTGGATCATATGAGTCAAGCATGGGGGGCCTCTTAGCACTCAGCCGCCCATGTCACTTACACGGCCTGGGTGTATCAGTGGTGTCCTTGTTTTGAATGGCAGCGCCATGGGGCTCAGGATTCGTCCTGTCCCGGTTCAGGTGTGCCACTGTCCCGGTGTTACCCCCATCCCATCCCATCCCATTGGGTTTATTGGTTGGCTCCCGGGAACCTGGGCTGTGTTGATGGGGTGACGGGCCTGGGACGGGCATTGGGAGGATGCCTGGTGGTACCAATGTCTCCTGGGCCAGGACGCCGCCCGCCCTGACTCCTCTCCTCTCTCTCCTTTTCCAGGCCTATTCTCAGGATGCCTACTTGAAGGGCAATGAACCCTACTCCGGGGGAGCCCAGAGCATCCCGGAGCCACCTCCCATCTGTTACCCTCGGAAGACCTACCTGTTCCAGTCCAGGGCTCCCAGCCGGGAGGCGATGGTAGCTGAGCCTTTGCAGGGACAGCAGGCGGACGGCAGACCCTACCGGCCTGCTTCTTCAGGCCCATCTTCCCCCTTGAACAGCGCGGCGCTCGGCAGCCCCATGCCCACCACCTGGAACGAGGCCAGAAGCGACACTGCTCGGGAGTTCGGCAGCACCCATTCCAGCCCGGCCCACCGCACGGAGGAGATCCAGTATGGAATGACCCAGCCGAGGCCCGGGATGCCCGTCGCAAGGCCGGTCCCAGCCCCCAGCTCCTTCTCGCGCGCCTCCAACACCAGCTTCCCAGGTCCCCTTGCTTCTTCCTTGCCAGAGAGGTACGGCGTCCCGACTGCTTCCTCCATGGCCAACCAGGCCTGCTACGGGGTCCCCAGGCATCTCCCAGACCATCGGACTCACTGTGGCTTCAAGGACAGCCGGGATGCCAGCACGGGGCCTGACGGCCCGGGCCGCCCCTCCTGGGAGTATCTGGGTGGCCCCAAGGCCATCAGACGGCTGGAGTGCCAGCAGGCGCTCTCCAACTGGCTGTCCAGCCAAGTACCGCGCCGGAGCGCCTCGGAAGAGCGGAGGTACGTGATGCCGCCCCGGTACCGCAGCGTCTCTCAGGACCGCCTGGGAGACACCCGGCCTCCAGAGGCTGGCCCCACAGTGCCTCACAAGACACCTTGCTTCAGCCCAGCCACGACAGCTGGGGCTACCGGGCCCGGTCCGACAATTCCCTGGGGAGGTACGGGCGCTCCATGGAGACTCTGGAGCAGAGTGCCCTGGTCTCGCCCCGCCTGGACAAGTGCACATGGCTGCCAGAGAAGTTCTATAGGCCGGGCCCCGGGCAAGTTGCCCAAGCTCAGCCTAGCCAGCCAAGTTCGTACGCCCCCTCTTGCTCCTCTCGAGACCCTCCCCCCGCCCACGTGCAGAAACACCCTTCCCAGCCCAACCTGCGGAGCGCCGACGACTCGGGGTACATCGGGTATAGGAGCTACAGCCCCTCCTTCCAGCGCAGGACTGGCCTACTCCACGCGCTCTCCTTCAGGGACCCTATCTTTGGTGGCCTTCCAGTGTTCAATATATCTCAAAGGCAAGGAACCCAACCAGCACCTTACCCGGACAGGTCCCCGTCACTGCCAACTGCCGCCCCCCCTGGCCCGGACCACCTGCCGGGCAGCGGGCCCGAGATCCCCAAGGACCAAAGAACCTCCAGCCAAGACAGCAGCGCCAGGTCTCTCCAGCCGGCTCTGCCTCAGCCCGAGGCGGAGGAGAGGAAAGAGGAGGTGGGGTCCTCCGGCAGAAGCCTCCCACGGGCCGCAAGGCGCCGGCCCCCGCCAGGCAGATGAACTTCATCTTCCCCGACCACATGAAGGAGACGGACATTTGCGACCCGCCGCCGAGCTGCAAAGGGGACAAGCCGGCGGCGGAGCGGCCCGCTCGGCGGGTGGCACCGTTGGCGGTGCCAGAGGATTCCCTGGCATCCATTCCATTTATAGGTGAGGGGGGAGCGCTTGGGAACCTCAGGCACTGGGGGGGGGGGTTCCTTCAACCAGAGCCCAAGGTGGTGGGGGTCTCACAGCTGTGTATCCAGCTCAGGAGCCAGGGAGCATCTCGCCTCCGAAAGCCCAGCACCAGGGATCCCCTCGGGGCAGGAAGCAGCCTCAGCTGCAGGGTAATGGATGCTGAGGAGCAGGCATCAACCTGGTGGTAATGACATGTCCCCGCTGGGTCCGAGCCGCAGAGGGTACAGGCCTGTTAAAGCCCCACCGACAGCGTCCTGGCTCTTTAGCTCAAGCTGTAGACTTCCTGCCTTTCGCTCCGAAGGTCCCTGGTTTGATCCCCGGTGCATCGGCCAAGATGGCAGCTTGGTGCACAGGCAGATCCGACCGTAGGCTGGGCAGGTGCAGACGGGCATAGTGAAGCCAGGTGCTTGGGTCCCTTCAGCTGCCTGCTTGGATGAGTGTGTCTGGTTTGGAGAAGCACATGCAGGGGAGAAACAGGCAGCTACGGGCCTCTTGTTGCCAAACCCACCATGGATGTGCTAGGTGGTCCCAGAGATCGGGAGAGCAAAGGGCCAGAGACATCGGGGTGGAAAGAGAAGGGGGTGAGGAAGGGTGGCAGGGGTATGGGTGGGCCATCGCACTGCTGCCCTGGTCTGGTGGTAGTCGACTGTGGTCAGACAGTCAGGTCAGGCCCAAAGCAGCGCTTGTCCTTGCAAGCAGCAAAGCACAGGGGAGCGTGGGGAGGAAGCATCCAGCTTGGGGTAGGGAGAAAGGGTCCCCAGTGCATCCGGTGGAGGAAGGGTCAGGGACGCCCAGGAAGGAGCCTACTGGTCAAGGGGCCTGGCTGCTGTTGTCCCTGCTGGGGCATATCTCAGCAGAACTGTGTGCTGCAGGGAGCCCGGGACCGTCCCCTAACCTGCCTTAAAGCTGGGTGCCGGCCTTGGACGGCCGAACATCCCATCGAGGCGGCCTCTGATTGTCCCGTTGCCCCTTCCATGCGCTGCTAGACTCGGCATTCCTGCGAGCACCCCTATCCCCAGTGCCCTGCAGCTGGAGCTGCTTGCAGGGGCTTGGCAGAGTTGGGCCTTATTTGCTGCTCACGAAAGGTGCCTGCCTGGCGACCCCCGAGGCTGAGTTCCATCAGCTGGCTGCCAGAGAGGCTGGGGGACGGGCACTGCCCCGAACGTGACGCTCCCCAACACAGGGAGTCCTGCCTCTCTGGGTGACGCAGACCTGGGCTGAGCCCCCACAACTCACTTTGCTGTCTGGTGGTGCTAGATTCAGACTAGCTAACAAGCGGCCAAGGGCGTCGTCTCCCGTTTCTGCTCTCCTGTGCCATCCAATCCCTCTGCGCTGCACTGGGAGGGGGCTGGCCACAGGATTCCCCGCCCCCCACCCCGAATTCCTTCTTGCCTGGACAGGACAGGGATGTGGTTAGCAGGTTGCTGCAGCTGTCCCCGCCTGCCCAGCGCTGGCCTCTGTCTCACCAGGCCAGGCCCGGCTTCCCAGGAATACGTCTCTCCAGCCCTGGCTTGGCAGAAAGCCTTGGCAAGGCCTGCCGGTGTCCCAAGCACTCAGTGCCTGGGAACTCCCCCAGCCAGCAGGCACCAGGAGAAGGGAGAGGCCCAGAGACTAGCTCCGTGGCCTGACTTTGGGGCCACCAGCCCTGGGGGACGGGGGCTGCTGGGCTCCCTGGGGAGGTACCATCTCCCATGGCTTGAGCTGCCTGGTCCTTTGCTGCCCCTTGGGAGGTCACAGTAAGTGGGCTCTGGCTTGCCTGGTGACCACTGAAAACTGCCACGCTTGTCGTGAGGAGGGGGGTCTCCTGCCAGGGCCTCCATTGGCAGAGCCAAGAGGTGGGTGTGACGGCAACGCCCCAGCCGAAAGTGGGTGCTGCACACACGTGGGGAGAGACGGTCCCGGCCCCAAGGAACTCACAAGACAGCAAAGGGCGGGGAAGCAAACAGAAGCACAGAGGAGGGAATAGACCTGGCCAGGGTCACCCAGGAGACCCCGACTCCCAGTCCGGGGCCCTGCTGCTGATCGTGCCGTTTCCCCAGATGCTGGTCCAGCTGCAGCCAGACCAGACATGGCCGCTCGGGGGTTTTTAGGGGCGAGCAGGACGGGGGGAGATAGAGACTCCGGGGAACCTGCAGACCCTGCCGCCTTTGTGTGTCTCCTGAGCAGGACAGGCGTCTCCATGCCAGCCCAGCAGCTGGTCTGTCCTGAACACAGGCCTCGGGGAAAGGGGTTGATTCTCTTCTGCCTGCCCTGCAGCCACTTCGTCCCCAGGCTTCCCTGTGGGGCCTGAGATGAAACCTGCCTGGGGTTCCATCCAGTGAGACCTGGGCCCCCAGTTGATGGGCAGCTCTGGCCCTGTCAGCTCTCTCCCCTCCCCTGCGCTTCCCTGTCCCCATCGCTGATGCCTTCGGGGGACGTCATAGCCTTTCTCCCTGGCACGTGTCGTCTCCTCATACCCGGGAGAGCCCAGGGCACAATGGAAGCCTTACTCAGCTGCCCGCGACATGCCCAGCCTGGCACTGTGGGACCGTTGTTCTCCACGCATTCCTCACAAGCCTGGCTATTGTTTGTGCGCCCAGCCCGGCCCGCCTTTGTTCCCCTGGCCACCTTGCCCGGGGGAAGCAGCGGCACGGGGCTGCCCCGGCACACACAGCCGGCCTTGTTGGCAGCAGGGCAAGTGCGTCGAGGCAGGGCCCTCAGCCCCTCCCACTAGTTCCCAGCCCCCTGTCCCGCTCCAGCCAAGAGCAGCTGTGTGTCCCTAGAACATGGCCTCAAGCCCTGCTGGCACCTCCGTGACGGGCTATCGGTGCACCCCCGGCATGGACGCTGGCGCCTGGGCTCCAGGCCCCAGCCCCAGCCAGCGCACCCCTGGCCTGCAGCTCTCAGGGCAGCGGGGCTCCTCGGAGATGGAGGGCAGGGCTGGATTCTCCGGCACCGGCGGTGATGGGGGAATGACCGGTTTGCTTGGGGAGGCAGCCCTAGGTTTGGAGGGGTAGGGGCAACTCACTGACTTGAACCGCTGGGCTGTTCCTTCCTGGGGGGGGGTAGAGGGGATTGAGGATGGGGCAGCAGTTGGAAAAGGCCTCTTGCGTGCCTGCTGCCGAGCCTGCACCGGGCACTGGCACTGCGCCCCCCCCCTCACCCCGGGAAAGGGTCCTGGCAGAGGGTCTGGAAGCCAGGGGTTCCCTGGCACTCTGGTCCTGGGCTTCTCACTGCAGGGGGTGCTGGTGGAGCACAGACTGCGGAGATCTCAGGCCCCACGGTCCCAGCCTCGCAGCAGGAGGCACTCTGGGGACTGGTGCCGTAGGGCTGGGGGAGGGTCTCCCAGTGGGAGGCGCTGGGCGGGAGACCCCAGCCTTTCCCGCATGAGTCTCTGGCTGGCTAGCTGCTCTGTTCTGTCCGCCCACGGTTCCACTGGTTCACGGTGCGCCCCATTCTTCTAGACGAGCCGACGAGCCCCAGTATCGACCTGAAGGCAAAGCACATCCCCGCCTCCTCCGTCGTCTCCAGTGCCGTGAACTCAGCCCCCTCGATCACCGGCAGCCCCTCCTCACCCGCCTTCACCTTCGCCATCAGCCGCCATTACTCCCAGGACTGCAGTAAGTACCCACCCCTCCCGCTGGGGCAGGGGCACCCTCGGGGGGCAGCAGCTGATCAGGGCCTGAGAAACGCAGGAGTCCATGCTGCTGGGCTCCTGACTGGGTACCAGGGTGGAGAGCGGCCTGTGCCTTGAGCACCCAGGAGCCAGAGTGCAGAACAAGAGAGAAGTAGGGAACGGCCCCGACTTCCGGGGGGGACGTCATGAGGAGTCGGCTGAGGAAACCCGGGAAGGGAAATGCAGGGTGAACATGGGGGGGAACCCTCAGGGTCCTGCTGGGCCGTGGTGCTGCCTCCCCAGGGAAGGTGATGGGATCCCTGTCGCTTATATCCTGGGAAATGAGGTGTATGCAAAGCACCTGACAGCCTGCTGTAGGGGATGATCCTGGCCCCGGCAAGGGGAGCAGGGCCAGACGAGCCAGGTAGGAAAGGGCCTTGGCCTGATGGGAGGAAATGAGCTACGTAAATAAAGGGGCTGGGAGTATGTGAGTGCCAGCCATGAGGGGAATTCTCAGGGCTCCGGTAAATCGCTCCCTGGAGGAGCCTGCTGCATGTCTGCAGATCACGTGTCCCCTACCATGCCACCGCCCCCGGGGTCCTGCCCCTGCATCCCGACTGCACCACCTCCCGACAGGAAACTGGACCCGGGGGGCTTCCCTAAACAATGATCAGCCAGCTTCAGTGGCCCGCAGCGTCAAACAGTGCTGCTCCATTGGTTTACCTGGAGTGACTCCGGATTGATGCCCGTGTGGGTGAGAGGAAGCTCAGGCCCTAAGTGCGTTCATGGACCGTCTGTAAAAAGCTGCAGGAGAGCCAGGTTGTACCAGCTCTGGTTCAGCACTCTGTGGCCAGCTCTTCCCCAGGCACCAGCAAGAAGGTACAAGAATAAAAATGGCTCTGCTGTGAGAGCTGAGGATCTCTCCCTCGCCCAGCGTTGTTAGCCCTGGTGCGCTCTCCACATCCCAGCTCAGCTCCTTACTAACCATCAGCCTTAACCACAAAGCAGGACAGGTGCCCTGCTGGGGTATTCTGATCTGGGGTCCTGCTGCATGCTGGCACACGGCATACGTTGTCTCCCTGTATTCCTGCCTTGCTTGCACGTATTACAGACGGAGAAGCTGATGCACAGAGAGGTTAAAGGACTTGCTTGAAGTCATGCAGCAAAACCCCTGAGCCCTGACTGCCAATCCCCGAACTCTAACCATTAGGCACGTTTCCTCCCAGAGATGGGAATAGAACCCAGGAATCCTGATCCCCAGTCCTTAGTACTGTGACAAGCTAATCCGTTCCCGAGGCTGGTAAAACACCGACTGCCTTGTGAACTGGCTCTTCCCGTGTGTACTGATTGCCCTTTTCTCTCTCCTTTCCCTTTCAGGCAGCATCAAAGCCAGTCGCCGATCCTCCTACCTCCTGGCCATAACAACAGAGCGCTCCAAGTCATGTGACGATGGTCTGAACACATTTCGTGACGAGGGGAAGATCCTAAGGTAGGGGTGACCCCTTCCCCACCCCGTTGCGTGCCAGCCAAACAATGGCTTCTTCCCTTTTCAGGGGTAGCCCCAACCTAGCCTCATAGCTGCATACGTCAGGGTGTGATCTCCAGCTGCTGTGCATTAGAGGACAAGAGAATTCAGGGCCTCCTGAAAGTGCAACTATTGGCCAATCTTGGATTTGACGGGCCGGGAGTGTGATCCATTAGGGCAGGGGGTGGGACACAGAGCTGGTCTGATCCAAGGAAGGCATGAGGCTAGATACTGTGTTTGTGAGCGATCAGTTCTCCACATGTTACCCCATACCCCGGAATCCTTTGTGCTGTTTCACAACTACTAACTTTCCAAAGTTTACTGTTGTTCACTGCCTGGCCTAAGGCTTGTCCCTAGGGGAGCTGGTGGGTTATAGCTGTGGCCTTGGTCAGTTCACACCCTAGCTGATTTCACAGTAGCATCCCCATGCAGACAAGCCCTAAGCCAGCCTTTGCATTCATGGCCTGAGAGATGTGACAGGGCACTACTGAAAATCAGGCCCTAAGTGACTCTGCCAAGGCCCCGCAGTGAGTAAGTAGCAGAGCTGGGATTAGAACTTGGGACCACGTACCCGTGTTCCTTTCGCTCGGCCACAATGCCCGTCCTGCAGCAGCTCAGCCAAAGCACGGTGTGTGAACGTTGCAAACCAGCCCCTCCATTTGCTGCTGCTCTTGCGGGGGATCATTGCACAACTCACACAGAGTGTGGTTTGCATCTGTGGATCTCAAAGGCCCAATTGCCCGTCCTCCATCAGAGCCAGAGCTCGAACCCAGGTCTCCTGAGTCCCAGGCCAGAGCCTTCTCCACAGCCCACAAGGAGCCAGTGACTCCTGCAGCTCCATATTGAAGAGATGACCCAGCCGCCGCGAGAAGGGGCTGGGGCCAGTGGGGACTGTCCTTGGAACGCCCTTGTGCTCGGGAACGCTTGCCACCTCTCCTGCTCTGTGCTCACGGGCGGCTGCTTTCCTTGCAGGAGGATGCCAAGCCGGGTGCCGAGTCTCCGCATGCTGAGGAGTTTCTTCACAGACGGGGTAGGTGTTCGCAGTGAAGAAGAGGGCAGGGGTTCCATCTGCCACTGTAATGATGCCCGCCAAGGCCGTGCTGGTACCATGCACCCCCAGCCGCTTGGATGCCACCCACTGGGGCCCGGTTTGCGTGAGGGGAGCCGGGGCCTCATATTGGGTGGCTGCTCTGCCTGAGGCCGCTGGGCATTTCTGCCCTGCCCGCCACTGCTATCCCGAGTCCCTCCTGAGGCTCGGACGGCCTCCGGCTAGCACAGTACAGTCACAACTGTGCTGTTCCGGTCTTGCACCCGGTGCCTCCAGTGGGAAACCACAGGTTTGTGCATTGCCCCCGCACAGCCCCGAGTAATCAGTGAACAACAGTTTGCTCTGATCAGTTTAAGGCCGGCGACGCCAGGGATCAGCTGGTGTAAAACGGGCCAAACAGCACTGATGTCAGTGAGCTCGCCTTGCTTCCGCCAGCAGAGGGTTTGGCCCGGTGGGTTCGTTTCATGCTCTGCCTCCTCTAATGCTCAGGGACACGTGCTGGACCATCCGCTGCATTTCCCTGCACTTGCAGAGCCGTTCACTCCAGCGCACGTCAGTTCCGCTCCAACATTGACGCCCGCTCTGCACTGGGGTAAATGAGGCCTTTGAAGTGTAGGACAGTGGGGCACTTGCTGCCCCACAGGCTCACGATTGCACCAGTGGGAGCTGCGCGGCCTTATCTTGACTAGGATTTCAGCCCTCAGGTTTGGCTCATTGGTTTCAACCCCTCATGCAGACACAACTTAACCCAGCACAGTGTGACTTGCATCAGCGCCAGCCTGATTTCAAGCCAGAGTGAGTCAGTTTTGCTGCCCCTGTGGAAACTCTGTCTACATGAGGGATTTGCACTGAAGCGGCTGAAATCCTGGTGGGGACAAAGCCTGAGAGTTGCCTGGTGTTATCACAGTGCTGGGCCTGATCGAGCTGGGAGGCCTGGCTTTCCTCTCCCCAGTGGGAAGCCACTGCCTGTAATGCCCCATGGTGAGAGTGAGGGGGTAGCGTGCCAGAGCTGGAGAGGTTCCTTCCCCAGCACCATGCGTGCCTGTCTGCCTCTGGACTGCCAGGGCGCGAGTGCAGTACCCGTGAGGGCCGTACACCCATCTCTCCCTTCTCCTCTCCCCCTGCAGTCTCTGGACAGCCTCGGAATGTCTGAAGACACGCGATCAAAGAGGCACTCGACCTCCGACCTCTCGGACGTGACTTTCAGCGACGTGAGGAAAGAGGGCTGGCTCCACTACAAACAGATCCTCACCAAAAAGGGGAAGGTACGTGTCCGCTGTACAGGATCCCCAGGCCAGGGGGGAAGTGCTGGGTGGGCTTGTATGGAAGAGAAAAACCCCTCTTTGGAGATGTTTGTGTGATGTGTCATGTGATCCCCTTCTCGTCTTGAGGATCTCAAAGCACTTAACAAACGTGAATGAACCGAGCCTCAGAACACCCTGATATTGTTACTGGAAACTGAGGCACCGAATGGCGAAGTGATTGGCGAGCGTCACGCAGGGAGTCAGTAGCAGAGTTGGGAATAGAACCCAGGAGTCTTGCCTCCCAGTAGCCCATGCTCTAACCACTAGGCCATACCCCCTCACACATCAGGAATAGAACCCAGGCATCCTGCCTTCCAGAGGGTCCCGTGAAACTCTCCCTTCTGCCAAGCACCCTGTCGGCCCGTGTGCTAGCCCAGGAGTGGGAGGAGAACAGCCACTGGAATTTAACCTGGCAGAGGAAGTCTCATACCTACAAACGATGCCCCATATGTGTGGGGAGTGCTGGCCAGTCACAGGATTGTCCTTGGGCATATGCAGGGATCTCTGGCCAATCAGATTCCATTGATGGCACATGTAGGAACTCTGGACAATCAGGGGCCTGCCCTCAAGAAAGGAGCCCGTTTCTTCTGGCAAGGGGCACTTGGCCTGCAGAGGGTTGTGCCGGAAGGTGGGGGCAGCTTGGGGGGGGGCTGGCCAGTGAGAGGAAGGCAGCGGTTTCCAGTGGCCGCACTTCCGCCCCTGCCAGTCACCCCAGTGCCAGTACCCTGCAGACACCAGGCATCGGTGCCATGCAGTGATCACACCCGGCCAGGTCCACAGACACGCTCAGGGCTGCGGTGGTGGGTCGGATGAGAGACAGCAGGGCTGGGATGGGGTGGGTGGGTGCCCGGAGGAGGGATCTGCGAGGGGAAGCCGAAGGAAACTGAACCTGTGTGTGCAGGTGGCCCTGGGGGAGACCCAAAGGAGCGTGGGGCTACCGGACCACCCCAGAGATGCAGCCAGCAAGTGCCCGCTGTCAGAACCGCAGGGACTAAAAGGGAGAGGAACCATCCTGCTGCCTCCAAGCATCCTCGAGGGCACGGGGAATCCTGGCCCTTCTGAGTCAGACGGCTGCTGGATGAGCAGCTCTGTGGGGGCCTTCCCCTATCGCCACCCAAGAGGGGTTCAGTTCCCAGGGCAGAGGGTCAGTGTGAGTGGATTGAGAGGGAAACACCGGGAGTAGATCATGCCTCGGAGGGCTAGGTTCATGGGGTCATAGGGTGGATCCAGGTCGGTGTGAGTGGGTTTGATCCTCTGATTGGGGAACATGATTTCCCTCGTTACAATCAAAGCCAGAAGGGGAGAGAAGGGGTCAGCGTTCCCTGTTGGAGCCCCTGGTGTCAGCCCTGGGGTGGGCTTTGCTGTGATTATAATGGAGTGATTGCTACCAGAAGGCAGCGGGGGTCCTTCTCTCTGGGCCCCCGGGTGAAATCCATAGGTCAGAGCTGAAAGGAACACGTTGGAAACGGGGGCTACACACTTTCAGTGTCTCTGCTTTGTGGGGATCTGCCAACTGCCTGGCCGAATGCACAGATGGGGCGTGATCTGCCCTGGTCGAATTTTGCCAGCAGTGCCTGTGGTCTGTGTCAGGGTTGAAGCTGGGCAGCAGCATCTTGGGTGGCATTTCCTGGGCAGAGGCTCTGGACCTGGATTGAGGCTGGGGGGCTTTGCCCCAAGTCCCTACATGGCAGCTGGGGGTGCACACCCAGGTCGCATTGCCGTGGGCAGAGCCAGCCCTGGGCCTAGGCTTTGCCTTTGTCTAGGCTGCATGGCAGTGCCTTGAACCGGTGCTCATGTCAATGCCAGGTGGTGCCACCCCATTTCACGGCAGGCGGCAGTACCCGGGGGTCTAGCCAAAGAGGAGACCGGCTCTCTCCCAGCCAGCGCTCATTGCCCGGTCCTCTCTCCCTGCAGAAAGTTGGTGGGGGCATCCGGCAGTGGAAGCGCGTCTTCGCCGTTCTCCGCGCACACTCACTTTACCTGTGCAAGGACAGGCGGGAGGCCGTGACGTACACGCCGCCCCAAGGTGAGGAGGAGCAGCCGATCAGCATCCGAGCGTGCCTGGTGGACATTTCCTACAGCGAGACCAAGAGGAAGCACGTCTTCCGGCTGACGACCGCTGACTTCTGTGAATATCTCTTTCAGGCAGAGGATCGGGACGACATGCTGGCCTGGATCAAAGTCGTCAGGGAGAACAGCAAGGCCGAGGGCGAGGTGAGAGCCAGCATGGGGCTCCTGGCTCCCTCCAGGCCCCTGGCTCTCCGCAGACGCCCCGGCACTAACCACTTTGGTTCTCTCCAGCTGTTTGCCTTCTGCTCCTCCTTTTAGGGCAGGGCTGGTACAAGCGTGGCCAGTGGAGATGGCCCGCAGTTGCCCGCTTCTGGTTGGAGGACCAGCTCAGAGGGACTCCAAGTCCCAGCATGCCATGCTGGTGGACTGGGACTCCAAGTCCCAGCATGCCATGCTCTGCTTTGCCCTGATGGGTACACTGGGACTCCAAGTCCCAGCATGCCATGCTTCTCCACCCCAGCTGACTGGTCTCTACTGCATGCTGGGAATTGTAGTCTTGGAGCGTCACCACTCCCTCAAAGAGGAGACTGGGTCAGCCTCCTTCATCTCATGCTGTTGGCTTTAGCGTCTGGCTGGGCACAGGCTGGGGGCGCTGTATGTGGCAGGTGCATCTCCATTCCCAGCATCCCTCTGCTCCCTCCCCCAATCCAGGGAGTGTGCCCCCTTCCTTACTTTGTACAAAGTCATTTCTCCTGGGGCCTGTCATCCTGCAGGGACTGATGAGAGGAGGGCTCAGGAGAGGACAGAGCCAGGGTGAGTGGCCGCCCTGGGGTGCGGGTGAGAGCACCGCTCTCCAGCCCCCTCTTTTCAGTCAAGAGCTGGAGAGGCCAGGCCAGGCAGTTGGCTGACGGCTCCCTGTGGGTCAGTCCTGGTGAGATCCCTTCCCTGGCGCTAAGCTATCCCTGCAGTGCCCTGGTCCTACACGGGTCCTGAGCAGCTGGCTCATGTGTTCGTTAGCTTATGACGACCCCTGCTGGTCTGCAGAGGGATAATTATCTGAGTTTCCAGGGATCCCAGGCATGAACTTCCCTCTACAGAGGCCTTGCTATGTAATGCAGCCACCTCTTCCAGTGCTGTGGCCGCCGTGCCCTCCGAGCAGCTGGGAGCCCCAGGAGAGCTCCTCTTCCCTCCCCGGGGCGCAGGCGGAAGGCTGGGAGCAGTCTGGGCTATAGGGCAGGAGAAGGGAGACACCTGCTGGTTTGGTGTGGGCTGCACAATCCACCACTTTGGCTTTTGGAAGAAGTTAGCTGGGAGTTTCTTTTAATTGTATGGAGAATTGAGCACAGCTCGGGGGCGCTACAGGGATGTGAGCTGCCTTAAGATCTGTGCCCAGCTCAGGGCACTACAGGGGTGGGAGCTGCCCTAGATCCGTGCCCAGCTCAGTGCACTACAGGGATGGGAGCTGCCCTAGATCCATGCCCAGCTCAGGGCACTACAGGGGTGGGAGCTTCCCTAGATCCGTGCCCAGCTCAGGCCCCTACGGGGGTGGGAGCTGCCCTAGATCCGTGCCCAGCTCAGGCCCCTACGGGGGTGGGAGCTGCCCTAGATCCGTGCCCAGCTCAGGCCCCTACGGGGGTGGGAGCTGCCCTAGATCTGTGCCCAGTTCAGGCCGCTACGGGGGTGGGAGCTGCCCTAGATCCATGTCCAGCTCAGGCCCCTACAAGGGTGGGAGCTGCCCTAGTTCCGTGTCCAGCTCAGGGCACTAGAGGGGTGGGAGCTGCCCTAGGTCCGTGCCCAGCTCAGGGCACTAGAGGGGTGGGAGCTGCCCTAGATCCGTGCCCAGCTCAGGGCACTATAGGGGTGGGAGCTGCCCTAGATCCATGCCCAGCTCAGGGCACTATAGGGATGGGAGCTGCCCTAGGTCCGTGTCCAGCTCAGGGCACTATAGGAATGGGAGCTGCCCTAGGTCCGTGTCCAGCTCAGGGCACTAGAGGGGTGGGAGCTGCCCTAGATCTGTGCCCAGCTCAGGGCACTAGAGGGGTGGGAGCTGCCCTAGATCTGTGCCCAGCTCAGGGCACTATAGGGGTGGCAGCTGCCCTAGATCTGTGCCCAGCTCAGGGCACTATAGGGATGGGAGCTGCCCTAGATCCGTGCCCAGCTCACGCCCCTACGGCGGTGGGAGCTGCCCTAGATCCGTGCCCAGCTCACGCCCCTACGGCGGTGGGAGCTGCCCTAGATCCGTGCCCAGCTCACGCCCCTACAGGGGTGGGAGCTGCCCTAGGTCCATGTCCAGCTCATGCCCCTACAGGGGTGGGAGCTGCCCTAGGTTCATGTCCAGCTCAGGGCTCTATAGGGGTGGGAGCTGCCCTAGATCTGTGCTCAGCTCAGGGCACTATAGGGGTGGGAGCTGCCCTAGATCTTTGCTCAGCTCAGGGCACTATAGGGGTAGGAGCTGCCCTAGATCTGTGCCCAGCTCAGGGCACTATAGGGATGGGAGCTGCCCTAGGTCCGTGTCCAGCTCAGGGCACTATAGGGGTGGGAGCTGCCCTAGGTCCATGTCCAGCTCAGGCCCCTACGGGGGTGGGAGCTGCCCTAGGTCCATGTCCAGCTCAGGGCACTAGAGGGGTGGGAGCTGCCCTAGATCTGTCCCCAGCTCAGGCTGCCTTACGGGGGCTGAATTTCCGTAGGATTCCCGGAGGATCCTGCCCCACATGGAACATGTGGTAGTTCTCCTCTCCCCAGGCGTTGGCCAGCTCTGTGTTCTCACTGGCAGGACATAGCAATGGTGGAGCTCCTGGGGTTCAGAGGCCTGCCCCACAGGCCAGCCCCCCATGCAGAGTCAGTGGGGAGGCTGTGATGAAGCCGGGGATCTCCAGGCAGTAGGACGGGGAGTGGTGAGAGGCACCTCCCGTGCTCTCGCCAAGCTGTCTGGCCCCAGAGAGCCAGGTGCTAGCCCCAGGAGAGTGATACGGGTGCAGGGAGGCGCCCAGGGAATGATGCTGGTTTCCCCAGAAACCCGGCCCCGGCTGACCAGAGTTACGTGGGGCGCAGCTTCATAAGCCCCACTGTCTAATTTAATTTAATTGGGGATTGGTCCTGCTTTGAGCAGGGGGTTGGTCTAGATGACCTCCTGAGGTCCCTTCCAACCCTGATATTCTATGATTCTAACCAGCCGCCTTTGGGGAGCCTGATCTCTGGGAACCCCTGGAGCCTTCCCAAGCCAGGGAAGAGAGCAAAGGGCCATCTGCAGGAGATTGCTACGCTGGGCATCCCAGGAACTGCAGCCTGGGAGTGTGCGCCTGGCCCCGGGGGGCTGGTGGTGCCCCTTGGGCTGAGGTTTCGGTACCAACGGGGATCTCTCTGCCTGTGCCTGGTAAAGCGCTCCCAGCCAGGCCTGTATTCCGGGGCTATGGCCCTGGTGCTTTTGGTCCTGCCTGGTCCCAGCTGGTTCAGGGGAGGCTGTGGGCCTCTCTCCTGCTGTGCCAATCCTCCAGCATGCCAGTGCAAGGACCAGTGAGCCCCCCGCACGAACCCCTCGCCCCATCGGCCTTGCTGGGAAGGGGCTCGGCTGATGGAAGAGTCGGCGCTCGCTTGGGCTCTGGTGCCAGACATGATGCTTACGCTCTCTCCTCCCTCTTGTCTTTGTGCCGCTGCAGGACCCCGGGTTTGCAAGCCAAGCGCTTATCAACAAGAAGCTAAATGACTACCGGAAAGTGAGGTAAGGGCTCTGTGCCCCTGCTGCCTACCTGCTGGGGGGAGCATTTCCCAGTGGTTAGGGCGCTAGCCTGCGACGTGGGAGACCTGGGTTCAGTTCCCTGCTCTGCCACAGACGCCCTGCGTGGCCTTGGGCATGTCACTTAGCCTCTGTCCAAGGGGCTGATCACCTGGGAGGGTCGATACCTTAGAGACTGGGGCCAGAGAAGTGCTATGGACAGACAGCTCGCAAACCTTCCGTGGCGGGAGTGGTTACACTGGGGGCGACTATCTGGAGGATTCTGTGTGGTTCGAGAGACAGGACTCCTGGGTTCTCTGGGGCAAGTCACTCCACACTCTGTGCCTGTAAAATGAGGTTCATGATACTGACGTGGGTCCTTAAAACACTTTGGGCCCTCGGAGGAGAGGCGTGGTGTGTCCGTGCCCGCACCCAGGCCCGGCCCGTCCAGAGAAGGGAATTTGTCCTGAGCGATGGAGAGAACTGGCTGCCGTCCCTAGTGGCGCAGCACTTCAGCCGGGTTTGTGTCAGAAAATTGCTGAATTCAACCAAACCAGTGTGAAGCGCTGGGTGAATCCGGTTTGAGTGCATCTTTGCCAGGGGTTTACACAGGTGCAGCTAGATCGACTTGAACCCGAGTTGGGTTCAACGGGTGGGACTTTTCAGTAGGGACCACGGCTCGGAAGAGCTGGGGATCCTGCTGGGGGGGTGGGGGGGGACTGCCATTAGCTGGGGATCTCCAAGTGGCCCTGTGGCTGGGACAGAGAGGGCCAAGCCAGGAACAGGGAGAACCTGCATTGCTCAGATGCCCCTGTAACGTTTGGGCAGCAGAGGGGTCTTGCCCTTGCTGGGCTGGGTGTGCCCAGGAAGGGGGAGCCCACTGCAGTGTGAAGCACTGTGGGCAAGTGGCAGAGTTAATTTGCATAGCTACTCCCAGGATGCCTTGCACTGCAGTTTTGCCACCAAAGCCTGCCCCCCCGTGCAGGGTGGCTGTGATCCGGGGTGTGCTTGGTGCGAGGGTGGGGGTGAGGGGCTAGGAGGCCGGGGGCCAAGAGGAGAGGTTGCTGGGCATGCGAGGCTGAGCTCCCCCATCTGCTCTCTCTGCAGCCCCTCTGGAATGAAACCAGACTCTTCCCCCAAGGGCTCGCGCGGGCTGGGGATCAAGGCCGAGTTCCTGAAGCAGACGGGGACGAGCGCCCCCCGCTCCCCGAGGCAGGACACGGCCGTGACTAAAGGTACACCCGGACGCCGGCGTGGGGGGCAGCGCGCGTGGCTGCCCAGGGCTGTGCATGTGTCTGCATTGTGGGGCTGGGCCCTGTGGGGTGATGGGGATGTGTGGGGTGTGTGAGATTGTGGATCAACATCGACGTGCAGCCGTTAGGGGACCAGGTCAGACAACCCGGATTCAAGCGCCAGCGACTTGCAGCTGATCCACGGCGCTGCTTCTGCTTCGCCACGTCCGACCAGCCTGCTGCCCGCAGCATGGCCCAGTGCTCAGCTGAGATCAGCTCTGGGCCGAAGAACTGCCGGGGGGAGCTGAGCCCCAGCCAGAGCGAGGTGATGCTGGGGGCAGGGGGCCGTGCTCGGAAGAGCTCATGGACACGGTTGTCTCTGTGGGTTGAAGCTACGCTCTCCTGCGACTGGTCCATTGTCCAGGCGTCCTCCTGGATTCCTCGTAGCAGCATCTGCGAGTGACGAATTCTGCCGTCTCCGCTTGGCTAGGAACCTCCACCCAGCCTGGCGGACGAAGACCTGGCCTCAGTTTCCCCTGCATTCGTCGCCTCGCAGCTGGATCACAGCAGTGTGATAGACGTGAGCGGGAAGCAGTCGGCATTTGGCCACGCTGGCTGCCGGCACAGAACGCCGCGGGGCGTCTCCTCGGCACTGCAGGCTACCTAGAGCATTTCGCGCTTGTCCTCCACTCCGTCCACAGGCTTCCCCGTGGCCTGGGCCCAGGGGAGCGACACGACGGTCTGAAGCTCCAGGACAAAGATCTCTGCTCCTCGGGCCAGGCGCAACCTGCTGCAGGGACCCGCTTGGCTGTGGGGCAGACGGCGCTTTCTCGGAGCTGGCCCGAGGCGGGGCAAAGAGCTCCCCGGGAGCTAAGGACAGTCGTAAACCTCGCCGCTTTCACCTCCCAGTGCGTTTCTGGGACCTGCCTCCTCCAACCTAGACCCAGAGCAACGGGTCTAATTGTATTACCGTCCCGCCAACCCAAACGCCCTCCAGAAACCACGCTCCGCTGCACACGCGCCTCCCTCGGGAAGCACACACCACGCGTGCAGACGTCCGCTCAGTGCAGGATCCTGCGGGGCGAGATCCCGGCCGGACGAGCCCAGATCAGCACGGGTGGTGGGTGTGTGTGTGAGGTTGTGTTGGGGGTTGAAAGGCGGCGAGGCTGGAGGGGGGAGTCATGGGCCCTGTGGCGTGGGGGCGGTTGGGGGTCTTTATTCCCTTGGGTCTCACTTTTTGGACACTGACATGGAGTTTGGTTCTAGATGACGGTGCCCCCCAGAAAGCCCCTTGGGGCATCAACATCATGAAAAAGAACAAGAAACCTGCTCCACGGGCCTTCGGCGTGAGGCTGGAGGACTGTCAGCCCGCCCCAGCCAACAAGGTAGGTCCCAGCCTGCCTCTGCCCGCTCTGAGCCCCTCCCCTCCCCCCGGGCAGAAAGAGGGCACAGCACTGCCCGCTCTGAGCCCCCCCAGGCAGAACAAGGGCACGGCTCTGCCCGCTCTGAGCCCCCCCCACCCCATGCAGAACGAGGGCACGGCTCTGCCCGCTCTGAGCCCCCCCCACCCCGTGCAGAACGAGGGCACGGCTCTGCCCGCTCTGAGCCCCCCCCCGGGTGAACGAGGGCACAGCACTGCCCGCTCTGGCCCCCTCCAGGCAGAACGAGGGCACGGCACTGCCCGCTCTGGCCCCTCCAGGCAGAACGAGGGCACGGCACTGCCCGCTCTGGCCCCTCCAGGCAGAACGAGGGCACGGCACTGCCCGCTCTGGCCCCCTCCAGGCAGAACGAGGGCACGGCTCTGCCCGCTCTGAGCCCCCCCACCCCGTGCAGAACGAGGGCACGGCTCTGCCCGCTCTGAGCCCCCCCACCCCGTGCAGAACGAGGGCACGGCTCTGCCCGCTCTGAGCCCCCCCACCCCGTGCAGAACGAGGGCACGGTTCTGACTGCTCTGAGCCCCCCCCCGGGTGAACGAGGGCATGGCACTGCCCGCTCTGGCCCCCTCCAGGCAGAACGAGGGCACGGCTCTGCCTGCTCTGACCCCCCCCCCCCGGGCAGAATGAGGGCATGGCGCTTCCCGCTCTGAGCCCCCCCCCCTTCCTTAACATCTGGCATCTGCCATTCCAGCTGTGCCCATCTGTCCCCCCCCCCCCCCGCCCTGCACACACTGAACAGCAGACCCTCCCTGTGGTCTCAGCTCCTTCAGGCCGTGTCTATTCCCTGCAGAACATCCCGCTGATCGTGGAGGCCTGCTGCAAGGTGGTGGAGGACAAGGGCCTGGAGTACATGGGCATCTACCGCGTCCCTGGGAACAACGCCGTGGTGTCCAGCCTGCAGGAGCAGCTCAACAAGGGAAGCACCGAGATCAACCTGCAGGATGAGGTGCGGAGCCGCCCTCGGCCAAACTCCCGTGTGCCGCCCCCAGAGCAGCGGGGCTCAACAGCGCCAGTCGCTCAGGATTGGCTCGGCTGCCAGGACGGAGGGGAGGGCAGGCCAAATCTGAGCGAGCAACGTTGGGACCTGCCGAGCGGGGCCCCAGCACCCCTCGTGTCTGACCCGGCTGCCCGAGGCTGCCAGGTTTGCCTGTAGGCAGAGCAGCCCCTGGGCGAGAGCCTGGCGTGGCCCCAGCCCCGGCGTCCTAGTGCTACAAACCAACAGGCTGCAGCTGCCCGCTGATGTTAAATTGTGCAGAGCAGCAGCGACCCCTACTGGCCAGGCCGGGCAGTCCCGGTGACTCTGGGCTGTAATAACACCCAGCACGCACAGAGCAGGGGTCGTCTCCCAAGCGCCCTGGGGGGCAGGAATGGGAATTAACTGGGGGGGGGTGTGTGTGTGGGGCAGGGACATGCTTTGCCTCGCATCTTCCTGTTAGCTCCTTTTCCAAGGGGGGGGCGGTTACACTCGTGGGCTGCGCCCGCTGATGGGTGCCGCTGCCACTTACGCCCGCTTCCGGCCCGGCTCGCCCTCTCCGCATCCCACGCATCCCTCTCCAGGGCGGGCATTGCTAGTAGTTGCTCTCGCATGAAGTGGAAGAGGGGCTGGTTAGCTTGATGCCAGCAGCGAGGCCCCTGTGGTTCTCCCAGGCCATGGGCTCCGAGGTTCCCCCAGCAGTGACCGGGCTGCCCGCTCTTGGCCTTCCCCCCCCCCCAGGCAGCTTCCCCCCTAAGCACGGCCTCCTCTCCCCACACAGAGGTGGCAGGACCTGAATGTCATCAGCAGTCTGTTGAAATCCTTCTTCCGGAAGCTCCCGGAGCCCCTCTTCACAGACGGTGAGTCCGGGGTATAACCCTACCCCCAGCGCACACAGTCAGACCACACACACACACGCACAGATCCACAGGTCTCACATGCACGTACACACACACAGCTGAAGGACATACACATGTGTGCAGAGCCAGAGATATGATGAAATTCAATGAGGACAAATGCCAAGTACTCCACTTAGGAAGGAACAATCAGTTGCACACACACAAAATGGGCAATGACTGCCAAGGAAGGAGTACTGCGGAAAGGGATCTGGGGGTCATAGTGGACCACAAGCTAGATATGACAGGTTTCAGAGTAACAGCCGTGTAGCTGTCGCTCACGAAAGCTCAGGCTCAAATAAATTGGTTAGTCTCTAAGCTAAATATGAGTCAACAGTGTAACGCTGTTGCAGAAAAAAGTGAACATCATGCTGGGATGTATTAGCAGGAGTGTTGTAAGCAAGACACGAGAAGTCATTCTTCCCTTCTACTCCGCGCTGATGAGGCCTCAACTGGAGTATTGTGTCCAGTTCTGGGCACCACATCTCAGGAAGGATGTGACAAATTGGAGAGAGTCCAGAGAAGAGCGACAAAAATGAGTAAAGGTCTCGAAAACCTGACCCAGGAGGAAAGATTGAAAAAATTGGGTTTGTTTAGTCTGGAGAAGAGAAGATTGAGAGGGGACATGGTAACAGTTATCCAGTACATAAAAGCTTGTTACAAGGAAGAGGGAGAAAAATTGTTCTTAACCACTGAGGATAGGACAAGAAGCAATGGGCTTAAATTACAGCAAGGGAGGTTTAGGTTGGGCATTAGGAAAAACTTCCTACCTATCAGGGTGGTTCAGCCCTGGAATAAATTGCCCAGGGAGGTTGTGGAATCTCCATCATTGGAGATTTTTAAGAGCAGGTTAGACAAACACCTGTCAGGGATGCTATACTTAGTCCTGCCTTGAGTGCAGGGGACTGGACTAGATGACCTCTCAAGGTCCCTTCCAGTTCTAGGATTCTCTCTCTCTCTCACACGCATGCAGAGCCAGAGGACACACACACACACACACACACACACTCCTCAGCCTCTCCTAGGATCAGGATTTGGAGTGCGGCTGGCTCTGGTGCGTGTCTCTGCTGCCCAGTGGTAACCACGTTCCCCTGCAGCCTCTGACTCGCTGCACTGTTGTGACTAAAGCCCGCTTGGAGCCCTCCCCTCACCCACACCTCCCTACTGGACGTGTCCCCCCTCCCCCGCCTGTGGCCCTGTGGCCTCGGGACTCCTTCACGGAGGCAGCCCTTGTCCCGCTGGTGCCCCAGGGGTGAGCCCATGTGTGTCGGCTGCATTGGGGGATGGCTCTGTGACCCCGTCATTGGCACATTGCTCCGCTCGCTGCCTGGCGATCTGCCCTGGGAACCCCTGTGTCCATGCAACAGCCCCCAGAGCCCCATAGATAAAGACTGCCCCCCTTCATCCGCTGTCTCTGCATTACCCATGTGCCCTGTGCTGCCAGCAATCCCTGAGCACCACGATCCATCTGTCTGCTCAGAGCCTTCTGGGTACATGTTACTAGGGGGAGGGATAGCTCAGTGGTTTGAGCATTGGCCTGCTAAACCCAGGGTTGTGAGTTCAATCCTTGAGGGGGCCGTTTGGGATCTGGGGCAAATATTAGGGATTGGTCCTGCTTTGAGCAGGGGGTTGGACTAGATGACCTCCTGAGGTCCCTTCCAACCCTGATATTCTGATACTGCTGTCACCCAGAGCCCCCTTGCTGCCCCACCTCCTTCTTACCCCTGTGCCCGTGCCCCAGCGTGCCCACCCCTGAATGCTGCCTGTGTCCTGGCCTGATGGCTCCTCTCTTCTCCACCCCTCATCAGTGTCCCTAGCAGTGCACCCGCCTGGGGCTTTGGCCCCGGCCCTGGCCCAGCGGGCACTGCCCCGGGGCGCCCCCTCGGGGCCGTGCTTGGCGGTGCCATTGAACCCGGCCTCTCTCTGCGTGTCTGGCTTTCAGATAAGTACAATGACTTCATCGAAGCCAACCGGATCGAAGATGCCAGCGAGAGGTTGAAGACGTTGCGGAAACTGGTACGGCGAGTGGCCAGAGCCTGTCCCATGTGGGGCAGGGCCCTTCCCTCGGGGCTGTCGGTCCCTCCTGGGCGTGGGAACCCTCCGCAGGTCCCCCTGCCACAGCCGTCAAGCAGGGGTCACCCTCTGAGCCCCCAAACCTCCTGCCCATGGGTGGGGAGCCGGCGTCACCGCCGTCCCAGGAACAATTCTCTCTCCCTTTCCATCTGTCTGGTAGGCTTGGCCTGTCCAGCGTGGGGGGATCCCAGGCCTGTCCTGAGGCTGGGGGCGTGCAGAGCATCCTGCCTTGCTCCCTCCTCCGGCCTGGAAAAGGGGAGGTGTGTGCAATGGGGGGTAGAGGAAGAATGGATGGGCCGATCCGGAATGAGGAGGGCCCTAGTGAGGAAGGAGTGAGGCTGGGATGGGGAGGGGGGGTCGCTGTCCCTCTTTGTGGCTGACCAAGCATTCATGCTGCTTCTGCGCCCCCCCAGATCCGGGACCTGCCGGGACAGTACTACGAGACACTCAAGTTCCTGGTGGGGCACCTGAAGACCATCGCGGACCACTCCGAGAAGAACAAGGTATCGTTGCCACCACCTGCCCCCCCCAGCCAGCCCCCCTGCCCTGCTAGAGAGCCCTGGGCATTAGTGAGCCCGGCCCCAGGGCCGCAGATTCTCTGTGTGCGGGATGCCTGGTGCTCTCCAGGGCCCGAGTGCCCTGTGGTCTATGCCCCAGGTTCCCCAGCAGAGCGTGGACGTGAAAACCTAGAGCCGAGTCCCTGAGCAGCGCTGCGTGTTCTCTGCATTGTACCGAACGGGGACCTGGGGTCTCAGCTGGGATCGCACACAGGGCGGCCAGCCCCTCTTGCCGCTTGTGCGGCTGCCACGGCACGTCTGTCATGATCAGAGCGAGTGTGGGTGTGTCTGCCCGAGCTGGGGGTCCCACCTCCGGCTCCAGGCGTAAACGTGTCTTAAGTAACTTGCCCAAGGTCACCCAGGACGTCTGTGGCAGAGCAGGGGATTGATCTCCCAAGCTCCAGACTAGCGCCCTGTTGGCTGGGATAGCCTCCTTTCCTGGACTGCGAAGCAAAGCTCAAAAGCTAAGTGGAGAGGGAGACACCGTTCTCTAATGGTTAGAGTGGGCAACTGGGAGTCAGGACTCCTGGGTTCTGTCCCTGGCTGTGACAGTGTTGGCCACTGCCTCAGTTTCCCCATCTGTAAGAAGGGGATGATCACCCTAACCCACCGGTGCTGGGAAAGTGACTGTGAGTTCATTAGTTAATTGGCTAATCTGGGTTTGACGAGATCAGGTAGGACGGGTTGCAGCGAGGCCGATGGCAGGACAGGGTGTTTGCCCGCCGTTCCCCCAGGCTGGGGATTGATGTGATTTTTATCACTGGGATCTTCCAGCCCAGGGCCTTAGCATGAGACTGTCCGATCCCAGAGGGGGGCCCACAGGCGCAGGCTGGGCTCAGGCTGCTGACAGCAGGGTGATAGTACCCATCGGGATGGGGTTTCCTGGGACCCAGGAGTGGGGCTGGCTGCCGGAACTGTAACCCCCTGCCCTGTTTGCAGATGGAGCCCCGGAACCTGGCCCTGGTCTTCGGCCCCACGCTGGTCCGGACGTCCGAGGACAACATGACGGACATGGTGACGCACATGCCAGACCGCTACAAAATCGTGGAGACCCTCATCCAGCATGTAAGTGACAGGCGGCCCCTTGCTCAGCCCTGTGCTTTACTGGGCAGGACGGGCCCCCGGTGCCCTGCCCCCACCAGCTCTCCCTAGCGCTTTACTGGGCAGGACAGGCCCCTGGCCCCCAGATCCCCCACCCACTTCACCCCCCTGTGCTTTACTTGTCAGGATGAGCTCCCAGTGCCCTGCTCCCCCTGGGCTGGAGGGGCTCCCGGCGCCCTGCTTCTCCCGCTCTTTGCCCATCTTACCAAGCTGAAGGGAAAAGTCCCTCCTTGGAAGCCGAACATCAGTGGGTCGGGGTTGGACTTTTCTGAATGGTCGGGATCTGCCGTGTTCAGCTCCCAATGCGGTGCACAGTGTGCAGGGTCAGAGAGGAGAGGGTGGGTGCCCCGGGACTGTGGAGCAGGCTGGAGGGGAGGGAGAGGGGGCTTAGGCTGTGGGGCGGAGGGGCCTGCAGAGTCAGACTGAGACATGCATTTGGATCTCCGCGCTGGGTGGGGGCGACGTGGGAATGAATCTGGCAGTAGCCGGGCGACCTGGAGCCAGTCACCCCCCCCTTCCTGCCTCTCTTTCCCCCCCGGAGCGGGCGATGCCAGCCCTGTGCTGCGGGGCGGGGGTTGCGAGGAGGGGCCCGGTGTGGAAAGCCCCAGCGTTGCCATCCTGCTGCGCTCTGACCCTCGTCCCCTCTCCTTGCCCCCACAGTCGGACTGGTTCTTCAGCGACAAGGAGGACAAGGGGGAGAAGGTGAGTCCCAGGCGGGGGGAGCAGGGGGGTTGGCTCCCTGGCCGCTGGTGGGCACCTGTCCCAGCCGTGGGAGGGCTGCTCCTCTCTGGGGACAGCCGGTCCCTGAACGCACCCCCTGAGCTCTGCATGCATGGCCCTCGCGAGACCGGCCTGGGGGCAGCCTCTCTCCTGCCCCCTGCTGGAGACCCGGGTGGAGGGGGAGGCCAGGTGGTTCCCTGTGTGTGAACAGCGCCCCGCTCTGCCCAAGGCCGGAACGCTGAGCTCCTGGGGACGGACCCCGCCAGGGCGAGCGGCTCCCCATGAGGGGCTCTGCCCAGCACGGCTGGCGGGGCAGGGGGCTCTCGGCAGACAGCATGGAAGGGAGTCGGGGCTGGGCCCAGGGGCTGCTCTGCTCACCGCTCTCCCCCGGCTGCCGTTCCAGACCCCTGTGGACGAGAAGGAGGCACAGTCGGTGCCGAACATCGAGTACCTGCTCCCCAACATCGGGAGGACGGTGGTGCCAGGGGACGCCTCAGGTGAGGGGAAGTGGGGGGGGCCGTCGGGGCTCAGCCGGCAGCACCGGAGGAGGAGTGACCTCGCAGGAGTTACTGGGCCACTGCCCCTGGCCAGGCCAGGGCTCTCCCCATCAGGCACTCCCTGCTGGGCAAGCCGGGGATCCCCCTCCTCCCTGGGCACCCCCAGCATCCCCCTCCCTGGGCATGCCCCTCGCAAGCGGGCTGATGAGCTGCAGGATAGCTGGGGACCTGGGCTCCCACTTGCCCTTAGTGACGCAGGAGCTGCCCGTCTAGCAGTGGGCACGAGCCTTCCTGGGCAGGAGGAGGGGCATTTCCTCAGGCCACGCCCACTGCTGAGGATTGGGTGTGATGGGGAGGCTGGCACCCAGGAAAAACAAAGAGCCAATCACTGGCCATGGGCTGGTGACCAACTGCAGTTGGGCTCCCCCTAGTGTTACTGCGGGGAAACGCTGGTCTAGTGTCAGTGAGTTCCCCAGGTCCTCTCCTGCATATACTCCGTGATAGCTGCTGTCCCTGAGCCCCCCACTAGGCCCATTCCTGGAACAGTCCAGGTACCAGCCATCAAACCCCAGGGCTGCCCATTGTTCCCTCACTAGCCAGCCAGCCCCAGCAGCTCTGCCACGGGTCTGGGGGGCAGAGCTTATTTGCCCCCCCTACTGGCTGCCTCTGTCCTGTGCCTGGTCCCACTCCCCGGCTCGAGCTGCGCGTGCGGAGCGGAGCGGCTTTGAAATGACGTTGATTCTTTATGCTCTTTCCTTAAACGTCTCTCTGCTGTCTTCTTCTCCCTCCTCCTCCTCCTCCTCCAGCGGATCTCCTGGAGCTCTAGAGCGGGTACAGTGCTGCTGCCTGGGTGCATTGCTCACGCACTAATTCCGTCGGGTGAGCGTGAGAGAGCGGGTGCAGGAGGGGAGCCGGAGCCCTGCACGATCCCCCTGGGAAGAGCGCCCCCTACTCCCACCCCACGGCGCTGGCCGCAGCGCACCTGACCCACATGGCTTTTCTTTCGGCAATGACCCACCTTTCCCATGGGCAGGGGGGCATGCTCCCCCCGGAACCCGTTTTCCCCCTCTGCAAGGTCACGACCCTCAGCTTGGCACCCCCGGTGTGGTTCGTCCCTCTTGCAGTCAGAGGAAGAATGATCTGGACCCCGCCCCCCATATCCACCCGCAGCTTTGGATACATGGGGGGCCCTGCCGCTGACATGCAGTTTGCTCTGTGAGGGAGCACAGGGGAGCGCCGGCCCCTCTGCCACCCTGCCCGCCTGAGAGCACCCAGCAGCGTCGGGTCAGAGGCCTGCTGGTCCTGGTGCCCATGTCCCCGGTGCTTGGCATCAGCCGAGCCATAGCTGGGTACAGGGGGAGCCCTGCCAGCTGGAATCTGTGAATGCCAGAAGCACGAGCCTGGCCATGTGAGTGGGTGTTGGGGATCCCTCTGGAGTCCGATCAGCTGGTGCCACCCACCCCAGGGTGCTGAGGTCATTAGTGGACCCTTGGGAGACCCTCATCCATCTGCCTGCCCAGGGTGCAGAGATGCCCCTTCATCTCTTGGCCTCTCCCCTCTCTGAGCCTTCCCAGTGGCCATGCAGCGCAGCCCCATCCCGGCTGTGCCCCCGTCCCCCCCAGCCCCACACGACCCCTGCGCCACAACCAAGGAGCCCAGGCTGACCCGCCAGCCCCCCTGGTTCACAGCTCGCTCTTCCCAGTGGTGGCTAGCTGCAGGTTCGGGGGCTGGGATTCCAGATCCTCCCTGGGCTCAGCATTCCCCTCCTGGCCCCCTCTCTTATAATCACCAGCCGTGAGTCCCATCCCTCCGCCGGGGTGGGTGTGTCTGGGGGTCATTGTGTTTGTCCTTGTGCTTCTCAGTGTGGTGGAGTGGGGGCTGGCGCGGTGGGTGCATCCTCTCCCTCCCCCCCCCCCCCTTAACCTGCTTGCGAGACATTGCAGATTAACACACAGTCCCCCCACGGCCCTTGCCTGTGCATTCCTTGGGGCTCGCCCCTCCTCCAGCCCAGCGAGAGAGCTGAGCTCGGGTTTGGAGCAGACAGCCCGTGGGCAATATCCTGCCGCGTTGGCCCTTCACTGCGCACGGCCTCGGGTCCCTGGCTGGTGTGAATGGGCGTTGCCCCCTGACTTCAGATGGAGTTTCCACCATCGGGGATCTGCCGGTGGTCCCCCCCACTAAAAATCTCCCTGCTGTAGTATGGGGGGAGGCATTGCCTTGGTGGCTGCTCCCAGCTATAGGAGACCCCCTCTTTAGGGCCAGCGGTAGGAGCTTGTGCCTTTGGCCCTGCAGGCCACGAGTCTGAACCGCCTGGAGCGTCCGTGATAACCATTTGGCCGCAGGGATCGGTGCGAAGGGGGCCCAGTGTAAATCGGGATCAGGCCCCTCTGGGTCTAACCTGAGCTCAGTGAGCATCAGAGGAGAGAGCTCCCACGTGTCACGAGACTGGTTTGCCCTGAGGCGCGTGAGCGCTGCATAATCCTGCCTGGGGCTCCCCGGAACCAGCCTCCGTAGCCCCAGGTGCCAGCGGAGTAACTCCTCCTGTGTTCTCCCATCGCGCCACTGTCCCTTTCCACCCCGTCCGTCCGTCCTGGGCTTGTGGCTCCATTCCGTTAACGCCACTGGCAGGACCCATCCGGCTGCTGGGTGTATGACCGGGGCTCCGGCGACTGGGCCTTTCTCAGCCGGGCGTGGTTCTTTTTTCTCGTTTCCTTTTCTGTACTTTTCCCCCGTGCTGTGATTAACCCAGCGGTTGTGTGAGCGGGGTGCGCGCGGGTCGCACGCGAGTGGACAGAGGGACCCGGAGATCACTGGACTTCCTGGAAGCTCCTTCTGTGGGATCAGAGATCCCCGGAAAGCTCCCCCCTGAGTCTGGGGCAGCCGCTGCCCAGAGGCGCGTGAACCTCCGTGGCTCGGCCGGCTGGAGCTGCGAAATATTGTGGCTGAAATTTCTTTTCTGGTATCGGCAGCGCTGGAACATTTGACAAGTTCGCGTCCGTTTTGCCAAATTGTTCGTTTTGAGCGGGAAAAACAAATCTGACAAATCCTTTCGATTTTTCCCTTCCAAATGCATTTTTTCTTCAAAATTTCCTCAAATTTTATTTAAAAAATAAATTCAAACATGTTTAAAAATGGTCAGAAATCGAAACGTTTGGTCCGGCCTGAAACCAAGGGCTTTTGGGACTTTTTGCAAAGTGCCCAAAATCCCGCTGTCCTGGCGCCCCTCCTGACAGCTACACCTGGGCCTCGTTAATTTCCCAGCATGGGCGCCCTGCTGCCAGTTGCTGGATCCATTTGGATGCTGATCGTACCATTGATTAGAGCCGCACGTGGAGGGAGAGCTTGGCGAATGCCCTTGAGAAATGTCCCTCTGCTGTGATGCCCGCACGCCCCCTAGCCCCCCCCCACGCTAGTAAAGACCTCCCCCGCCCTCCCTAATCCCTGCTCTGTCTTTTGTGTTACAGATTCAACCAATAGCAGCTCTGCCAAATCGAAGGTAAGGACTCCCGTGTGAGGGACACTCTGGAGTCTGGGGGGGGTCCTGTGTGTGCTAAAATCTCCAGCGAAAGGGACAGGAAACCCAGGGTGGAAAATCGGCGTTTTACCAATACATCCTGTTGCTGTAAAAGCACAGAGCAGCTCAGCAGCTAATGCCTCGCGTGGCCCTTCCCACCTCAGTCCTGGGGCCGTGCTGTCCTGTCTTCCGGAGAGCAGCCAGACGGGAGAGCGGGATTGCCAACTCTGCATGAGGGAGGGAGGTCGCGGGGTTTACTTGGGTCTGAGGCAGGAGAAAGCTTCAAGGTGACCTTGCAAATCACAGGATGGTGGTAGGGCCCTGGCCTGAGAGTTAAAGACAGCTGATTTCTGTTCCTGGCTCAGCCTGCTCGCTCTCTGCCTCAGTTTCCCCTCTTCCCCCTTGTCTATTTAGATCCTTTAGGGGAGGGAGTGTCTTGGCCAGTTTCTCTGAGCAGATCTGCCAAGTCCGACAGGGCCCTGATCCTGACCAGGGGCTGTTCATGTCTCTGCAGTATCCAGAATTCTAACCTGGTTCACCCCACGTATGTTTCCTGCCGACATGTGACATGGTTCCTAACTGTGTGGGGTTCCTGAGCAAGGCCCCTTCCCATGAGCAGGGCTGGCTTTAGCTCTTCTTAGCTTCTGTCCTGGTGGTTCTGCTGGGTCCATGGGGCTGGCCAGCTCCTGGCTGGGTGGGACACGTAGGAGTGGGAAGGCACATGCAATCCTGTGCCCTGAGAGATGGGCACTGGACCGGGATAGCAGCCTCCATGGCCCCAGAATGCACTGCAGCAATATGGGCCAGCGGCCTCGATTTGTCCCAGAATGCACTGCAGCAATATGGGACAGTGGCTGAAATATTTCCCAGAATGCACTGCAGCAATATGGGCCAGCGGCCTCGAGTTGTCCCAGAATGCACTGCAGCAATATGCGACAGTGGCCTAGATTTCCCCCCCAGAATGCACCGTGGCATGATGGGATGACACCCTCAATTTTCCCAGAATGCACTGCTGCGGCAGGGCAGCTGCGGCCAGGGCGGCGGCCCAAGCGCTCGGTGCGAAGCAGCGCGAGCTGAGCCTGGCTCCGGGACCTGGGGCGCAGACGGGCTCGGGCTGTGGCACTAAGCGGGGGGGTTCTCTCTCCAGCAGAGCTCGGGGGCGCCCCGGAAGGAGCAGTACAACAAGGAGCTGCTCGCCATCTCCTTCATCGCCGCCGTCAACCGCAAGAGGAAGAAGCGGCGGGAGGCCAAGCGTTTGGGGAGCAGCACGGACGACGACTCGGAGCACGAGGCCACCAAGAGCGCCGGCAAAGGCAGAGCGGAGGAGGCCAAGGACGGGGGCGCGGAGGAGGAAGAGGCCAAGGGGCCGGGGCGCAGCGCAGCCCCCGGAGAGCCAGGCCCAAAGCGTGATGCTCCGAGTCGCCGAACGGGCGTGGAGGAGCCGGCGGGACCGAGGGAGCCGGCGCCGGACGCCCGGTCCATCGTCTCGGGCTACTCCACCCTGTCCACCATCGACCGCAGCCTGTGCTCCGAGGTGCAGTCGGTGGCCGAGAGCCGAGGCGAGGAGGCGGACGACGAGCGCAGCGAGTTCAGCCACGTGGAGACGGACACGGAGAGCAGCTTCCTGCCGGGGAGAGCGGGGCCGGGCGCCGGGCAGGGGCCCGAGGCAGAGAGCGGCGAGAAGGAGAAGCTCGCCCGGGCCTCCTTCAACTCCCACCGGCTCATCCAGTGCGACACGCTGGCCCGCCGGAAGCTGGCGAGGCCCCGGCCGGACAGCGAGTCGTCGGCCCAGGGCAGCCAGGAGTCCCTGCGGCCCCCGGGGGCCGGCGGGGCCCCGGCCAGGCCCTCGCTGACGGAGCAGATCCGCCTGCGCTTGCGGGGCTCGGCCGACGACATGCTGGCCGTGCCCCTGCGCAAGCCGCACTCCCCGGAGACGCGGCGCAAGAAGAGCTCCTGGCGGCGCCACACGGTGGTGGTGCCCGGCGGCCTGAAGGATCTCAACTTCAACGAGTGGAAGGAGCAGCAGGCGCCGGGCCTGGGGCCCCCCGCGGGTCCCGAGCTCGGCCCCCCGGACGCCGGCGCCTCCTGCAGGGACCTGCACAGAGACAACAAGGACTCGGGCCTCAGCAGCCTGGAGTCGACCAAGGCCAGGCCCTCCTCGTCCTCGGCACTGAGCCACCAGGGCGGCGCCGGCGAGCAGCAGCACAGTAGGGGCCCGGAGGGGAACCCTGGCGACCGGGGCCCGGCTCCCACGCGCGCAGCTTCCTTCCGCTTCCACCAGTGTCTCTAACCCCCTCCAGACCCTGAGGTCTGGCTGTCTCTGCTTTCCCTCCCCGCCATCCCTTTCTCCCCCTGTGGGGCCTCTTGTGGCGAAGGCTGAGGACCCGTCTCCGGGCGGTTCCCCATCCACCCAGTGCCAGGCGCTGCACAGAGGTAGGAGCTCCCTCGAGGGGCGAGCAGCCACTTGCCCTGATTTTGCCGGCCTTGCCCCTGAAGCGTCCCTTGGCCTTTCTCACGGGGCTCCCGAGGCTGCCGGAGACGGCCCCTCGCTGCCCTGGCCGCGCTGCCTAGCCGGCGCTTGGGCGTGGCGTTAATTGAACGACCCTCCCTTGGTTTGTGGATTTAATCGTGGGTCTCTTTAATTTGGCTCCCTTTTTAAGACTCCCCCACCCCTGGGGGGGGGAACGTCCGCAACTCGGAGCGTCCCGGCCTCGCCACAGAGCCAGGATCCCAGCCCTTTGGGTCCAGCCCGCAGCTGGGACGGGTGGGCGGTCACCGCGCACCCACAGGAAGCACTTGGCCTGACAGGCAACCCCTCCCCGGCCTCACGGCCCCCCCAGCACATCTCCCTGCATGGCTGTGGGGTCCCTGAGGCTGCCAGATCCTCTCTGCTGCCCCCCCAGACCTCACCAGGCGGAGTGTGCCTGGCTCTCGCTGCCCCACCCCTTGATGGGGGATCCCGCGGTTGCTGCCAAGGGCTGCTCCCCCCTGACACGGGAGGTGGGGGAGGGGGAAGGATGCTCCGATTTCCATGAGACCATTGCCAGTCCCCCGCTGCCAGCCTCCAAACCGCCTCGCAGCCGGAGCTGGTGCCTCTGAAATGCTGCCACAGCTCTGGCATCACATTACTGGGCCCCCCCAGCCCCCCTCGGCTCAGAGAACATGCCCCTGTGCAAGGAAACGTGGGGTGGCTTCGAACACAGGGTCCCTGGCACCCCAGTCCCAGCCCGTCCTGCCTGCCCCAGAGTGGGGCCCCCCTTTCCCAAACCGGTTTCCCCCCTCCCCCCGGGGCAGTCCAGGGGGAGCGTGTGTGCCGTGGCTGTGCCCCGTGGAGCCCGTTCCTGGGGTGCCCCTGTGTCCAGCGTGAGTCAGCGCTGGGTAATGGGGAGCTGTAGGTGTGTTGGCTTCATTGGCACATGTGCTCCGTGACACACGCCCGCTGGCACCAGGTGCGGGATCCGCTCGCGTGAATGCTGGGAAATGGCCCTCGTGCCAAGGGGCCCTTTGTTCCCCAGCCACTCCCCTGTGCCAGGCCGGGCCAGGTCCTGCTCTCTGCCAGGGAGGAGGTCCCGGGGGCAGGTGGTGCTGTTGTTTGCCAGCCTGCAAAGCCACAGGGGAAGGAGCTTCCAGTGGCCCATTCCCCTCCAGGCGTGGGAGTTTTCCTTGCACGCCCACCGCCCCGGCGTGCCCGTCACCCTTCCCCAAGCTCCCCCCACCCCGCCAGTGTAGCTGCTGGTGATTCTACCCACACTGTGTGCGGCAGGGAAATCCAGCCAGGGAAGGTACGTGGGCCAGCCAGGAACATTCGGGGAGGAGGGAGGAATCCACCGGCGTCACTGGGGCCTAGAGTTCAGCCCCGAGCACTCGGCAGCTGCCCTTCCTCCCCGGACACAACCCTCTGCGGCCCGAGGCCTCCTGCCCCTGTGTCTGGATGGGGGGTTCACACTCAGCAGCTCATGCTGCCTAGCAGGTAGGCTGAGAGGGGCGAAGCCGCCCAAGGTTCGGCCGTCCGGTGGGAATCGGGCACTCCCAGCGGGGCTGGGGGGGTCTTTGGCAGGCTCAGCCTGGCTGGGCAGCCCCTGGCGAGCAGGTGGAGGAGGCAGCTGGGAGCAGGAGCGTTAGGTGACCCAGCCAGGCAGGTTGCAGCCCTTTTGAGAAGCAGGGCTGGGCTGGGCCGGGTGTGAGCGAGCGGCACGGGTGCGCACAGGGCCCAGAAGTGGCCCTGCAGAGAGCAGCCAGGCCCAGGTCCCGTGGTGCACGGCGCTGGGAGAAGTCAGGGCTCACGTGACTGAGACTCCATCTCTCGAGTCAGGCCCTTGCTAGCAGCGCTGACCAGGGAAATGGCCCGGGGTAAACCCATAGGGCCCACTGGTGCCATCCGGCCCCGAGCCGGGGAGGAGCATGTGGGCAGCCCAGTGTTAATGCTGCAGCCCCGGTGCCAGGTGGGTGCGAAAGCAACAGTGCCCGTTCCCCAGGCTGTTCAGTCCCAGTCACCACCTTGCACAGCCCGGCTTTTAGCCCCACCAGCTCGCTTCCTCCTGGCCCACACGTTCCCAGCGACAGGCCTGGCCTGTTTGTGTCTCACCGCACGGTTGGTTCCCCCCCAGCACTCACTGGCTGCCCCTCGGTGCCCACCTGAATCCTTGCCCCCCACCTGCCCAGAACAGCTGGGCCACGTGCACCTGCCGTGCTCAATAGGGTTGCACCCCATGGCTGGGAGCCAGAGCGCGCTCCCGCAGAGAGCGGACACTTCCTAGAGCCCGGCAAGAACTGAGTTTGACTGCAGGGCTTGCCGGAGCACTTTGCAGAGCATGTGGACGGCACAAGGGCTGCAGCGTTCAAACCCCTCCGAGAGGAGCGTGTCCACCCTGCGAAACTCCCCTCGCCCTCCCCTGCTCTTTTCACCCAGGAACTTACCAGGCTGACCTCGCCTTAGACGCCAGCGGCCTCGTTTGTGGTTTGTTTTCCGTCACGCCGCCAGCAGCCCAGCGCTTGGGCCACCCGCCCAGCTGGGGGCACCGATCGCTGCCTGTCGGCTCAAAGCGCTTTCGCAAGCGATGCAGCCGCCTTCGGGGGGGGGTCGCAGCAGCTGTACCAGCGTGCGCGGGGCGGGCTGGGCCGGGGCGAAGGGATCCAATGGGACCTGGAGGGGCGCTGCAGGTAGGTAAGGCTGATCGTATGTAAACTGGAATTTGGCTAGCCCTGGCGGCCTGTCTCTCGCTACAAACATAGTGCCATGGAAGATTTTGCATTGCTCCGCGTCAGGAGAGCTGACATTGGCATGAGATCATTTATCCCGGGTAACTGGGGCCGGGCAGCGTATTGATTCCATGCAGAGAAAGTCCCACTTTCCACCAAGCAAGCAAGCGTCCGTCGTCCTTTGCAGTTGTTTATATTTTTCCTCTTGAAAATGGTAAACTGTGTTTTCATGCTGCTATATTATTTGTAATAATTTGGGGGGGTCCCTTTTCGGTCAAAATTAAAAACAACCCTCCCCCCGCCAAATCCAATGCACCCGTCTCTGTGTTTAGAAAAAAGCCAACTGCAGCCCAGCCCCGTGCCAGGCGATTGTCTTAATGAACTAGGGGGACTGTCTCTGCAGTGACCGTCTAGCTGCCCACTACGGCGCGGGGGCTCGGAAGGGACGCCACGCCGCATCTTCCGCTCCACACTGCAGCCATTCCAATGAGAGGCCTTGGGGGGATTTTAAAAATAAAATAAAAAAAACCTTACTCCAGTTTATGCATCGTTCTTACTTTATGCAAATAATTGCTGTAAAGTTCTTTTTGTTTTCATTTTGTGTGTGTAAATATTGTCTTTAAATGTGTAACATATTACAAAGAATTTATAAGGATTTTTTTAAGAAGTTTCGCTCATTTGAAAAAACCCAGAAGAAAACCACCAAGTGCTGTAACCGTGTTGAATTTTTAAAACCTTTCTGCATGTGTCATTTTTTTCCCTTGATGTGTTGTAAAAGGTCAGCCATGTATATGGAACATGCAAAACTAAAAAAAAAACCACAAAAACCACCTGGTTTGGAACTAGCCCTCGCCGACGTACAGGTCTATATGTTGGCAATAAAGCGGCATATTCAAGGAACAGACTTTCGGCTTTTATTTAACTGGTCGGTTGGCTTTTTAGCAGCCGGACTTTCCCGCGTGGGCCAGGCTGTTCCAACATCTGACCTCGTCCTGAGCAGCTGCCTGGGCTGGCCCTGGGCGAGATGGACCCTTGGATGGTGCATTAGGGCAATTCCCATGATGACACTCGTGTGCCTTGTGCACCTGGTTGGCTCGGGGCCTTTGGACAGTCCCACAGGGCTGCTAAACTGATGGTGGCTCAGTGAAGTCATGTGATGTGGGGAACAGGGGCAGAGCTCAGGGGAGAATAGGGGATGTGGCATGCTTTCCTGCTGCACCCACAAAATAAACTCCCCCGGTTGGGGTTGATCAAGGCTCCCCACCTTGCGTCACTTTCTCTGCAAAAAGGGGGCGGTAGGCTGCAGCTGCAATCCCTGTTAGCATCGTTATCATTATTACTTGTCTTGCAGGATTACCCGGCAGCCCCAGTGCTGGCCCCACGGCGCTAGGCGCTGTACAAACACCGAATGCGAGGGCTGGGGGGGGGCTCATCTGCACTGCCCCACTGGGCTCACGTTCGTACCCGTGTTCTCATGTGACCAGGGCGAACAGCCGGAGGGACTGGCTGAGCGGTACCTCAGGCCCTGTCTACAGGAGGGGCGCCGCACCACGGGCATGGAGATGCTTCTAAAAGCGATGGCTGGGTCCCCCCCCCATGCCCCCCGCGTTGCTGTAGCAACGCCACCTCCCCAAGCGATGGTAGCTAGGGCAACAGGCGCGTGTCTGAGCGGGGGTGAGGCCAGCACAGCTACGGGGCTCGGGTGGGGGGTGATTTGTCACCCAGTGATCAAGTTTAGATGTAGATGAGCCCCCAGGCTGCTGCATCCCCAGCACGGGCTTCGCCCCTGCCCAATACCAGCCGCACCACGCCCGCTGCTCACAGCACAGGGCCTGCCTAAGCCTCTGCCCGTGAAACCTCCAAGGCAGGGATTTGCATTGTGCCCCCCCCCTTTGGACAATAAACATGACGACAGCACCGCAGGAGGGGGGCACTGAAGCCTGAGCCCCAGGTGGGGGTGGGGCAAAGCCCAAGCCCAAGGGCTTCAGTCAGAGTCCCGACGCCCAGGCCTAAAGCCCTCGGGCTTCAGCTTTGGCCCCAGCCAGTCTAAGCCAGCCCTGACGCCCCCCCAGTTTGACAACCGCTGCACCAAGGCCCCTTACGGTGCCAGACCTGACGTCACCACGGCTCCCTCCGCTTCTTGCGATGGTTTTGCTCCGTCGCCGGGCGCGTCGGCCGAGAGTGGCTCCGCGGCCGTCAGGGGAGACCTGGCCTACGGCGGGGACCCCGGCCTAGCCCTCCGCTCGCGGAAAATGACAGCCCGACCTGATCGCCTGCGTGTCCCAGTGATCAACCCAGCGCGTCAAGCGTCCTGCTGGGCCAACTCGCTTCACTTTAAAGCCCAAGGGAACTGGGGCTAGCGGGCTGTGTGCATCGGGGCAACACGCCAGTGCGACCGAGCGCGAAGACTGCAGCCCCCTGAGGGAGGCTTTCCGCAGCCCGGTGAGGATTCGGTGGTGGTTGGTCAAGGGGCAGTAACAAAAGACAAAGCCTAAAGGGAAGAAGGGCTATAGAGAAAAAAAAAAAAGTGTTTTATTAAAGCCAGACACTCTGATAAAAAAGAAAATAAGAAAGGAAAGGCAAAAGAAAAAGCAACCCTTTGTCATTTGGAATTTTTCAAGTTACAATGATCACATTTCTCACAGAACGATCCATGGCATCCATATAGTTTATACATAGACCTACGCTACAGACAGAAGCCAGAAAAAGATTTTCAAAAACATACAGACTCCAGACCTGTCCTTTACAACCAGCTTTGTTTTGTTTTGTTTCGCAAAACAGTTCACAATAGAATTCATGCGAGAGAGAGAGAGACACACGACGTTGTAGAAACCCTGAAAACAGCATCTAAAGTTTTCTTTTTTTGTCCTTTCAAAATCCCCCCCCACATACAGCCTCAGACGACGAAAGCAAGGGGTGGCATGCAGCAGGGACTTCAGCGAGACATGCGTAACTCGGGTGGTGCCTTTTGAGTTTTTTTTAACTTTTTCTTTTTTTAATTTAAAAGTCAAACTAAAGTGGGTTTATTGTTCAATCAACACGCTGTGATTGTTGGTCTCACACACAAGTGGAGTGATGCCATGAAAATGACACACACAAACACACACACACACGCATAGAAGACTAGTCTGCTTAACCGTGGCGGGGCTGGGGCAGGAAACGAAGCTAATCGACATTAAGTCAGGCCTCCAAAGCCACAGCCTAGCGTGGCCAGTCGTTAGTTAACGGGGGCAACCATGACAGTATTGGCCGTGGCCCCCGTGCGAGGGGAGCCTTTGCAGCACACAGGAGGCTGCAGCAGGTCACCTCACGCAGCTGTAAACATTTAAACACGTGCACCTTTGGGGCAGCTGTTCAAAGGTGCCCAAGTCCCCTTAAAAGCCAATGGGAGTTAGGCACCTGGGCCTACGTGCCGCGTGAAGCATTCTCAAAAGCCCCTTGATTTTTTTTCTTTTCTTCCCTATCGCCCAAGACACTCGGGCCCAGAACTTGAAATGTGCTTCGCTGCTGAATGCCCACTGAAGCCAATGGGAGTTAGGTGCGAAAGTGCCATGGAGGCCCTGGGCCTTAGGTGCTTTTGACCATGCCCCCCCCCCCCCGCCCCCACCTTGTGCCTTAGGGGGGGAAAAAATCTGCCCCCAGATGCAACATCTGTTGCTCATGTAGTGAGAGCTGCCTGGGCCCGCGAGCCAGTTCTCGCTGGAGCGAGGCCAGGATGCACGTGAGTCACGTACACCCAGGTGAGGCCGGGGGGGGCTGTGGTTTACCTGGGTTTTAAAAGCACCTCGTCCCCTCCAGTGGGGAAGGGGCAGTGCTGGCGGGGGGGGGGGGGCTAGCCCTTAGCTACAGGGGTGGGGGGCTATGCCAGCATTTCGATTTTAAGCCGCCCCACCCTTGCGACTCACACGCCGGCAGGAGAGTCAAGTACGGCACTGGGCCCCAGCAGCAGCATCGAGTTGGTCCAGCCCCCTACCTTGAGGCACAATGGGGGGGGGTGCCCCCCCCGTGGGAGCTGGAAGGCCTTCACCAGGGTATCTGGCCCTCCTTAATACTGGGGGCTCTGCCCTCAGGGTTCCCCCCACCCTGGCAGGGCCTGGGAGGTGGGCACCCGTCCGTCACTAGCGACGGGCTCAGTGGCCACGAGACAAGCCACCACGCTACACGCCTTTGCCGTGGTGGGTTTTTTGGCCTGGCCCTAGCCAGGCTGTGGCAGCGGGTTCAGTGAGCCAGCGGGATGGTGACTGGGGGGAGGAAGTGGGGGGGCTGGAGGAGGGCAGGGGCCAGGGATGGGGGCGAGCCAGGAGCGCGCTCAGTTTTGCTACAATGTTTCGCTTTGGTAATGAAAAATAAAATGAATGCTTCAACTTCCGGCTACCGCTGCAAGGAAGGAGCCCGGATCCGGCTCATCCCGCGTCCCGAAAGGCCACGCCCGAGCCTCTGGCCCGAGCGCGTGAGGCCGAGCCGAGCCCCCCCCGGCGCTGAGCCAGCCCCACTGGAGCAGCTGGGTGCCCAGTGCATGGCAGGGGCAGAGGCGCAGAGAGGGGGGTAGGACTTCGTGGGGCTGATGCTGGCCCGGCCGTGGGAGGAGCTGGCCCTGGGGTGGGGAAGGGCTTGGACAATGCCGGGCAAGGGGGAAATATTCGCGCTGTAAAACCAGCCCCTTCTTTAAGAGCAGGGACGGCTCCTTCCCCTCCCTGCCCAGTGGGTGGCGCTAAGTCCCCCCCCTAAACTCCGCCTCTTGCTGTTCCTTTTATCTTGCTCCTCCCAGGGGGAAAAAACGACCCACCAGCCCAGTGTGTGCCTGACTCTGCCTACAGCGTGTGGCCCCCCCCACCTCTTAAAAATTGCTACAAGGGAGCTGGGGCAACTGTAACCGGCTGGGTGCTCCGTTCTAGCCCCCCCGCTTTCCCCACTGGTGGCCAGGCCACAGTGGGTAAGAAGCCCGCTTGAGCCCCAAGACTTGGGTTTTAAAGGTCATACTTTACAATTCAGAGGTCACAGGTTCAATCCCTGCCACCGACACCCTGTCCCGATGCTTGGTGTCACACACGGGCACCAGGGGCTCGCTCCAGATGCATACCAGCCTCTCCCATCGTGCACACAAAATGTAAGCGGGGGGAGGGGAGGAGTGACAGGCAACAGGGAGAGGTCTAGGAAAAACAGGATGGTAAGCTGAGCGTTAGGGTTAAAGCTGCGTTTCTAAAGCAACAATTTCACCAGGGAAGAAGATCCACCCCCCTCATATACCAGACGTGAAGAGAGTTCTTTTATTTCTTCTTCATTTAAATATTTATATATATATATATATTTATATTACGTATATTTTATATATATATAATATGTAAATATATTTTTAAAACAATATAAAATGTTAAGACACTTCACTTAAATGTAAAGAGTTGCTTTTTGCAATCCAAAGAAATTGCATTACGGTTCTTTTTTTTTTTTCTTTTCTCTTTGTTATTCAAAAAAAGGCCCGTTCTCTTTGTACAAAAATGATCGCCATACAAAAAAGAAAGAAAGAAAGAAAAAAAAGAGAGAAGGAACTGAAAACCGACGATGAACTAGCCAACGAAAGAAGTGATTCGATTCCGTACTCTGGTTGCACATGGTCCGCACTCTACATGACAGCATTTGGGATATTCACACGCACACACAGCTCGCATAGATTCCCCTAGGTATAATCTGTGCTTACATTTTGTTTGTCCAGTGACTGGCCATCCCTCCCACCCCCACCCCACACACGCACACGCATGTATTGTACTTTAACAAACCTCTCCCGTACCTATTTGAGTCCATGGCATGTGACCCTCTTTTGTGCCCGTTCTCCGTGGCTCCAGACTGAGCCCAAGAGACCCCAGCGTTGGCCGCTGGACCTGCGGCTCTTCTCATCTCGTTCCCCATCTCCCTCCCTCGGGTTCCTCTAACGAGCCCCAGCCCTTCGCCGTGCTATACAGTGCATTCGTTACAGCCACGGTGCCAGGGCCCGCTCCTCGCCTATTGTACTTTGCATTCTTTGCCCTCGCTTGCCTCCTGGGCATTACAGCCCCCAGGGGCTGCTGCTGGTGAAAACCACCTGCTAGCCCCTGGCGTGTTCCATGCAGCCCTGCCTGACCAGAGCTGATTGCTCTAGATTTCAGAGGGCCCGGTGGGGACTGTCACCCCCCCTCAGCCCAAGGCCCGGCCCCCACTTACCCATGAGTCCATGCAGAGGCCAGGAGGTGGACCAGGAGCATTAAACTCCAGCAGCATTCTCAGCCTCCAATTTACACCCCCATCTGGGCACACAGTATATTGCTTAGTACAGTGGCACTCACCCTTTGCCGTGCAGACTAATATGGAAGGGCAGGGCGGTTACAACCCATGATCCTTGCTGGGGTTACGCCCCTTCTCCCCCAGTTGAGATCTAGGGCTTCCAACCTCGCCCCTCCCACCTGCGCTACTCTGTCTTTCCCCATTCCACCCCACTTGCTGAATTCAGCTCTCCTCCCATGTCCCTCAGTCCAACATCATCAATGCCTGGCAGTATCGGCCCCTTCCATGCCACTCAGCCCCTGGCCTCGCCGTTCAGCGTCACCCCTCTGCTCCACGCAGTCCTGGGCTGCCCCCGCCAGTTTATCTTTCTCACTACAGGAAGGAACTGACCAAACCTTTAAAGTGCTACATTATGAAACTAAGATGATGGGAAACCTGACTCCTTCAGGAACCGTTCCCGTCTCATTCCAATTTCTCTACCCGTTTCAGCCACGTCTCTTGGAGTAACATTCTGCCTCCCCGCCACCGAGATGCCCCGACCTTTGGTCTTTCCAGTTGCGAAGCACCAGGCAATCTCACAGACTAAACCCTCTCAGGTGTTTCCCTTGGAAACCCTTGGAAGAAAGAGACAGCGAAGCTAACGCAAACACTGACCCGCTGGCTTCTTGCAAGATGAGCCCTGGCGGCCTTCAGTACAGCGGTGACCTTTCAGCAAGTCAACAATCAAAAGCCCAACGGAAAAGCTGCACACACAGGCTCCAAAGTCAAAACACCACTGACCCATGATGACTTGGCTAGAGGACTGCAGCACAGTCTCCTACAGGATTAATCACAGTTACAGCTGTTTAAAAACTTTAAGGAAAGAAAAACGGAGTGGCAGCAGCATTAACAGTCAGATCGGCGGGTTTCTGAGACGTCTTCAGAAGCTGCTCCCCCCCCAACACCCTCCCTTCCCCTGTCAACAGCCTTCTGCTTTTGTTCTGGTCCCCCTTGAACAAGGTGTGGCAGGTTCTGGCGCCGCGCACCGTCGTCGTTGCTTGAAGCTCGTGAAACGGGCGGAGTGAAGTTCTTAGCGCTCTTAAATAAACAAAAAACGCCAGGGTGGAAAAAAGGAGGTGTCGAGAGGGGAGAAAAAATAAAAAAACCACCAACAAAAAGAACAACAACAACAACAACAAAAAAAAAAGAGAGGAAGAAACAGAAAGTGGCAGGTCGGCCATATTGGAGCAGGAAGTGAGACAGAAGGTCGGCCACAGTGGAGCAGGATGCGAGACCGAAGGTCGGCCATAGTGGATCAGGACAATTAAAATAAAAAGCTAGAGGGACATCTGGTGACCTTTGAAGTTGCCTCAAGAAGACAGTCCAAGGGAGGAGTGTAAGGAAGAGAGAAGCCAGGCCCCAGTAAGGAGGAGAACAGTTGAATGAGAAGTTGGCAAGGAGCGTTAGAATGAAATGGATGAGTTCCTTGCCCCAAAGGAAGTCAATACAGGGATGGATGTTCTGCCAGGAGTAGTTTTTTCTGAGACTGGACTGGAAGTCTCACTCAGCCCACTAGCCTCTTTAGATGATCTAGCGGCCTAGAAAGAAAAGCAATATTCAAGGAGGAGGAGGAGGAGGAAGGGGGTGGGGGGAATCAAACAGTTTTTTGTTTTGTTTTTAAGGAATTTGTTCAGAAGCAGCATTGATTTAGGCCTGAGGTCGAGCAGCTGGGAAAAGGTCCACACCACAAACAGAGCACGAGATGATCTGGTTCCACGGGTTACTGGATGAGGGAAGGAGCATCACCAAGAGGAGAAGGCGAGCGAGAGACAGAGAGAGACAGACAGACAGACACACACGCACACAGAGAGGCAGGCAGGCAGAGGGAGACAGGAGAGAAAGGTCGGGGTAGGGGGGGAACAAGAATTGAAATGTTAGACTGGGCATGCACGGCATGTTAGAACAACGCCTATATTCAAGTTAGCTGTGTCACAGCTGTGTGGGGGAAGGCGGGATTTCCAGGGGGTGAGGAGCGGGGAGGTGGCTGCAGAGGTGCTGTTTATCAGAGCTGTCCCACAGGGGCAAACGAAAGAGATGGTCGTGCACAGACGCTTGTGAACTGCGGGGAGCATCGCTTGGCTGGGGAGGGTGTTCAGTGACCTGTGTTGGGATCCAGCAGCTTCAGAAACCACGGGTGGTGGGGGATAGGGGTAGGTCCTCCAAAAACGTGACTCTGCCCCCCCGACCCCCACCAAGCTGGGTTAGCCTAAGCATGGGGAATGAGGACAGCACCCCAAAACTTTATGAAGCATTAACATAGAATAGTCCACGTTGCCCAAGTGAAGCTCCCGGTGAGGGACACCGGTGACTGACAGAGCAGACGCGAAGGGTTTTGGCAGCTCTATGTAACCTGCTAGGAAAGAGGCAAACCCACAGGTTCTCTTGCAAGACCTTCCCCCTCCCGCCCTGTCCGTAGATGAAAGGGGAGAGAGGTCTGCTGTGTCGCTGGCCCCTACATGCAGAGAGGAGCCGGTATGACCAAGGCATGAGGAATGCTTAAAGGTGTGATCCTGAAGGCAATGGAAAGCTTCCCTTTGACCACAGCAGGCTTTGGGGCAGGCTCTGGCGGAGCAATAGCTGCATGGCGGGGCCCAAAGTGGGGCTTCACAAAGCGTGTGACTCTCGAGGCGGTGGGGGAAAGGACTTGGGGAGCCACCGAGCTTCTGGCTGAGAGAGATGGTGGGGGGAAATCAGAATAGGGCAAGGTCAGGCTGGGTCTCTGCAAAGACGCCCCCCATGGTGCGATGCGTTGGGTGCAGCCTCTGGACGGCACCCTGGACATTTTCCAAGCCGCCTAGATGACCTGGGTGCCAAACTCCCATTAATTTGTGGTGCCCTATAATGGGATTTTTCCCAAAGTCAAAGGGACTTGTGCACCTAGCTCATTTAGACGCCCTACTCCAAACCCCTTTGGTGAGTGTTTCTTCAGCTTAACAGCCCATTTATACTAAATCAACAATTTTTGCAACTATAAGAGTTAAAAAAAACCCCTATATCAATGCTAATGGTGGGGCCGTTATTTGCATGTGCGTAGCGAGAGGTTGCCAGAGAACACACGGCCCACAAGCGTGGCGTGGGAGGGCGAGATTTTCTTTGCTCTATACTGTAATAAAACGAGCAATGTCTTATGACACCCCCGCTCCCTCTCGTGCTTTTTTGTGATTCCCCAGGAGGCTCCTGACCCGCCGGTGGAGAAACACTGCCTTAGACAGTTGCCTTAATCACAGCCTTGAAACCCTGGATTGGCCAAGGCATGAGGAAATGTATGCGAGGGCAGAATCCTGCACCGGCAGGCAAATGGAAGAGAGGGTCTAGGAGGTCTTAGGTGTCTGTGGCCCTAGGTATATTCTAGCATCTAGAGAGGACAGAAGAACGTAACAGTGGCCACACTGGATCAAACCGATAGCCCAGCGTCCTGTCATCCGACGGTGGCCAGAGGCATGGTGCCAGGGCATGATGGTTTCCCTGCCAGCTACTCTGGTCTGCAGTGGGCTGATGGAGTGGGTCTAGGGTAACTGCCTCAGCGGTGTTACCTGTCTGTTCTCCATACCTAGGGAGGATATCTCCCCTCCCCTCCATGCCCCAACTGCAGCTCCCGACTGGTCCTTCTGAGTCCTGTGTGCCCAGCAAAATTCCCCAGGCCAGGCACAAAGGAGTCAGGTGCCCATTGACCGGCAAAGGGACGCAGGCTCCTCACGCGGATCTGTGCCTTGGAAATCAGCCCCCAAATCGTCGTCATGAGAACAGAACATACTAAGGGATTTGGTATCTGTGTGGGGGACACCCCTGCTTGTCATGGGCCAGTGTACCGCTGCAAGCTAGACTGTGGGGGTGGAGTGCAGGGAGTCTGGCCATGCACAGACATCCCCACCCTGCGGAAAGAGCTCAACAGCACCATGGCTAGATGGGGGCTGCCTCTCGGCGGGGAGCCGGCTCTCCCGGGAAACGACAAACAGCATCTGTGCTGGGCTCTAGGAGTGCGGACCCCAGTTAGCACTGCAGGAAGTGTGGGTGGGGAACGTGCAAAGGAAGCAGCTCAGATCCTTTCGGGATGGGTCCATTTTGCTCACGAGACGTGGCCCAAAACCCAGCGCGGCCACGGCGGCCAGGCCAAGGGAGTGGGGGAACCCGCCCTTGTATCCACTGGGTTTTGTTACACCTGAACAAGCAAAATTTGGGATTTTTCAGGAGGATTGGGGGAGGGGTTGAAACACAGACTGCAGGGTGGGGGAGGGCGGGACATCAGACAAGCCATCCCCAGGGTGCTGTCGCTCAGCAGGGATAGGGACTGGGGGCCAGGAGGCTAGGGCTGGCCACTGGTGCTGGGGGCAATCGGGCAAAAAAGGGGTGGGGAGCGGGGTGTCAGTCAAGAAGGGGAAGGTCGGGGGCGGGGGAAGGTTTAAGGGCTAGAAACTGGCTTTTGTTACCTTGCCTTGTGGCTTCAGAAAGCTGGACAGCCACTGTGAGCACGGTTAGCATCGGCAAGAACAACAGAAGCAAGTGAACCCAGCTGCACGCTCAATGCTACCGCAGACAAGCCCGCGTAGAACGGGGAGTGGGGAGGCGCCCAGAGGGTGGGGGGGGGGTCTACTCCAAATCTTCATCCAACTGCCCTACAGCCTCCCGGTGCCCCACCCCCTTTGCCCACTGTCTCGCGTGTCCCCCTCGGAAAGAATGCGGTCCCAGAACTGCTGCGGAGGTTGGAGCCGCGAAACCCCCACAGCCCACTGCAGAGCCGTGAATGGGCCCAGCTCTGGGGCTGTGTGTATCGGGGGAGCCTGCGGTGTGCTGGGCGAAGATGGGTGGGGAGCAGGATATCTGATGGGGGCCGGAGAAGGGAGAGAAACAGTCTCCCCCACACCTTTAGGAAGCATCCATTGGGGTCTTGCTAATGGAGAGCACTGGGCGTGGCTAATGTTTGTGGGCGGAGTCTGGAGTGGGCGTCAACCAGCTACCGATTCCTTGCCGAGCTCAACGGCAAAGTGCTCTGAGGTCGGACTCTGAAAACAGCCGAGCCACCAAACACCTCGTTCCACAGGAGAGTCTCCCCAGCTTGAGCATTAGCTCCCCACCCCACCGCCCCCGGACATAAATCCCCGCTCCTCTCCCCAAGCGGCCTGCAAAGAGCCGCACGCACCAGGAGACACCAGAGGAGAGCGCCTCCTGTGGACAAAGACTGGGCCCACCCGGCATGGCTTTGTGGATCCAACAGCAGATTCAGGGACCCACAAGATCACTTTGTGGGGAGCACTGAGGGTGGGGTGGGGAGTTACCCATTTGCCATCATGAGCACGATGGGCTCTGAAGGGGCTTTAAGCCTGTCTAGGATCTAAGGTTAAAGTGATCCATGTCTCTCCTTCTTAGAAAAGGGTGACTGATAGACATGGTCCTCCCGAACCGATGGGAGGAGGGTGGAAATGAAGCTGGGGCAGGGAGCTCGGGGGAAGATGCGAATCCTACTTCAACCCTCACACCACGCGAGACATGAGTTTGCTGGTCTCAGCTCAGTGCCCAGTTTAATGCTGCGGAAGCCGTCGTGGTGGGGGTCAGCAGAGCCGATTGCACATCTCACCTCCCCCGAGTCAGCTGCCTCCCCCAGGTACACAGATACCTCCCCCCCTCACCTGTGGCAGGCTCCAGGAGAGTAAAAAGCAGCAACAGAAAATTTGTGCTGTCAGATCGCACAGGCTCTCGGGCAAGTTTCTTCCACCCTCCCCTGCAGACGTACAGAGACAAGCAGGCCTCCTAACCAGTCTTTGTGCCCCCCTGCGGCTAACAGAGAGGAGCGGCTGCTCTGGAGATAACTACCTGCTGTGGTCCCTGGATCCGCATGTATTCCATTCTCTGCTTTATGTGTTTGCTTTTGTCCGGGCTCGCCTGCTGGCTCTGCTTCAGCCGGGAGGCTGGATTCACCATCTTCATGGCTGGAATGGAAACGCCGCCACTCTGTTGAAACACATGGGGTTGGGGGGTTAAATCCGACGCACGAATGAGCCAACCTAACGCTCGCTCCGGTTCCGGGTGTGGGAGGCAGCTGGCTGGGGCCGGCCAGCAGCATTCCTGGCCTTGCTTCCCGGGGGAAGATCTTGCAGTGGTTTGTGAAGGAGATCCAGAGGCCCCCTGCAATGCCCACAGGGGTGAGATTTTCATCAGCGCTCCGCACCGACCTACCCCGCATTGAAATCGGTCCCTCAGTGGGAGCAGACTTAGGCCAACGTTACGGCCTAGATCCTCAAAGGTATTTAGGGTCCTAACTGCTATTAATTAGGGGCCTAAACCCCTTTGAGGATCTGGGCCCAACTGCTTTAGAAAAGCTCACCCCTAAGTGGACTGAGTGGTAAACGCAGCCCCTCTGGGAAGGGGGCCGGCACCCACTTTAAGGCTCCTCGAGAACAGTGCAATTGGCCCGCCAGCATATCTGTGCCTGGGTTTGCTGCTTTTCACTAGTAGGATCCTCCCCCCACGCCCCCAAGCCACGGGCAGCATTTCGGCACAGCAAGACTCTCTCCAGGAGAACCTTGCTTTGATCCAGCCCGGCTGTGCCAATCCATGGCTCCTGGCCCGGAGCACTCTTGGCAGCTCCAGCCTTGCCAGCTCTTGCCATTTCAAAGTCACGTGAGCTTTGGTGTTTTGATCAGCGCCCTGGCTCCGAGCGTCACAGCATGAGGAGAGGATCTGGGCTTGAAACAACGGGAGGCAGCAGACTGATGTTTGAAATCATGACCCCCTCCCAGCGGGAGACTAAAGGCTCAAAAGCCACAAGGCAAAGACAAAGAACCATGAATGTAACATTAAAAAAAAATCCAACAATTTTGCTGGGCCTGACTCATGATTTTTGAACCTCGGGGAGGCCCGTGCTGGCAGTGAGGCCCATCACCACAGCCTCAGACCCAGGCAGCACGGAAAGTGTGGGAATTTCTGGTTGGGAGCCAAGCTTTGCTCATGGCCCCAGGTCTGTAACATGGAGCGAAACCAAAACCCTGGCTCTCCACACCCCCAAACTTTGGAGCAGAATGTGCCTTGGGGAGAAGGGGTCACCCTAAACAGGAGGCGAAGGACAGAGATGTCCAAAAGGCGGCACACTTATGCAGTTACCACATCCTTACTCTCCATCAGAGAGACAGAAAACAAGTGAGTCTTAAGGAGCCTTCTGGTGTTTTGGGGGTTAAATTTCTCTTGGGGGCAGGTGAGCCCCATGAGATTCTCTGGCATTGGAAAAGCATCCCCTCAGTACTGCCCCACGCTGGAAACAGGCCACCGGAGCCTCTGCCATGCAGCGCCCGGCATTCCAAATGACTTCACTGCACTTCCCAGTGAGTGGGGGGGCTTGTTTCCCAGCGGGCTGCAGATCCACCCGTGATTGTGACAGCCACACCCACACAGCATCCCTAAGCACCTCGGGATACAAATTAACCAAGGACCTGACGCTCTTGTCTCCTGGGAGTCTTGTCTCCTGGGAGCGTGGACGGCAGATGTCTGAGTGCCGAGATTGGGGGAAGAACATGCCTGGGATTTCAGAGGAGGAGAGGACCTGACATCGGAGTGGAGATGCAGCCCCTCGGGCACCCAACTGAAGGGAGTGAGTCCAGATTTACTCCAGAATCTGGCCTGGAATCTTTCCTCTCAAGTGTGGCGTGCACCACCAGCAGCCCCATGAAGAAAGCACAACGATAAAAGCCAATGTGCTCACACGGGATTGCCTGGAGAGGCACATGAATGCTGAGCACCCACAACTCCAGCTGAGGACATTGGAAACTGCAGGTGCTCAGCACCTCTGAAATCAGGCCCTCGATTTAGGTGCCTAACTGTGGAATTGGGTGCCTAATTTTAGGCATCCGGGTTAGAAATTGTTGGCCAAAAATCCGTGCTTGAGATGGGCCCAAACCTACTCGCAGAGCCAAATACCCTTGTACTGCTGGGGAGGTTTGAAATCCAAGCCTGGATCCAGCCCCCACATTTTGCAAACAGCTCCAAGCCCAATTAGATGTTGGAGCCAAAAACCAGGTTCCAAAAGTCCCTCGACTTTGGGGGTTTTTCCCCAAACCTGGATGTTGACGCTGCAGCCAGATCCCATCTTCGATCAATAACTTGACTCCCCCCATGTTCTTTCCACACCAAGATCACCCTAATCCCCCTCCCCTGGAGGGGTCCCAATTGTACACACGGTTTGATATGTTCCGAAATGAACAGGAAACTTCTCAGCACAGAAGCGTTTGCATTGTCGGTCCCAGGATAGGAGACAGATTTGATTGGAACAAGCTCTGTTGGCGAACGAGACAAGGTTTTGAGCGTGCACGGTGCTCTTCTTCTGGGCTGGGAAACGCAGGACAAGCTCTGTGAACGCTTGTCTCTTTCTCCAACAGAGGTTGGTCCAATAAAAGATATTACCTCGCCCACCTGGCCTGTCAGCACATTCTCATCAGGTAATTCCGCAATGCAAACAGTAGGGACTAGGGAAAAACCACTGAAAGCAATGGAAAACCGAAAGCAGAGGGAATGCATCCCGGCTCGATGAGAGGATGCATGTGAAAGCGAAAGAAAGAGAGCTGCTTTGAGACAGAGGCAGAGTTCCAGGTGGGAATCATGACGGTGGGAATAAAGCAGTTTTTATTAGCTATCCACATACAATTTGAGATACAGAAGCTGGTGAGAAGGACAGCACAAAGAAAAGATTAATCTGTAAGCAGACAGAGGTCCTGTAACTTGGGTGGATATCAAGGCTGCGCCCAAGGAATAGCTAGTAACCAATCACTGCAATCGTTTGCCCCATGTAGCTCATTATTGTTTCCTGGAGTGCGTGCTAGCATTCTAGCCATGTGCACACAGACTGACTTTCTGGTGCCTCTTCCAAACTCTTCCATCCTGCAACCTGTGCTCCTCTCTCCAAGTTTCATGCAGGTTGCTACAGTTATTATGGAAAAACACGAGCAGATCTGGGACCAGCTACAATGGATGGCACAAACAGGGCTTTGTAAAGGAATGCTGAGCAGGATGTGCGCTGAGCTGAAATTTAGGCCAGGCCTGAGCATCCTAACCCAGGAGCTGTAAATGGATGAACCATCATTTCAATGACACAAAAATCAGGCCCATGACACTAGATTCAGCAGAGTAGTAAAGGGGTGAGTCTAAATGGGCTGTACAAGAGAAGTGCAGTGAGCACCGATGGGTGTCAGCCAGCCAGCCTAGAGTAAGGTGAGGTGAGTTGAGCCGCGTTGTTCTAGGGAGCAGCCTGCTTTCTCTCCCTCTGGTTTTTGGGCTCTTGTGGGTTACCATTCTGAATTCTAAGATTTAAAGTCGTGCTACACTGCAACCTTCCAGCAGGCGTATTTCTGTTTGTAGCTAAGTTCTCTGTGTGCATGCTGTGAGCATATAACATTTCCCAGCTATGTTCTGGTGTGGTACACTGTCCATTGCAGTGATTACAGATAGGGGTGAGCTGTTATGATTTGAATCTGGGTCTCAAACAGCCCAGAAATTTAGGGTGATCGGGGGGGGGTGAATTTTCATCTGATTAGTGACCGATTCAGCCAAACCCTAGCTAAGTGGCCTCCTGTTTCAAGACCTTTGTTTTGTGACGCATCCAGGCAACCAGAGATCCTGCTACTGTAGCGATAAATAAAACTTGCGGGCTTACTTCTCATTTACACTCAGGATTTGTCTACACAGCCATCAGAGAAGTGACCGTCGCTCGGGTACATAGCAGTGACGCTGTGGCAGCATTCAAGGGACCCTGGGTAGCTAGCTGGTGCTGCAGCAGTTTCACTGTTATTTGTACCTAAGCTAGCTGAATTAAAGCTAGCCCGCATACGTCCATACGAGCTGCAATTGCCCGACTGCAGTGTACACAGACCCTATGGTCCCTTTACACCACTCCGTCTGTGTAACCGGAACTGAAGTGGCAGCAAACGACAGCGACATCCATTTTAAGTCCCGTTTACGCAGGCGCAGCGATGTCAAGGGGCCTTAATGTAAACAGGAACCAGGCCCAGTATAATTGCTACAAAGGGAAAAGGGATTCATTCATAAAAGCGGAGGGTTAACAAAGGAATAAGCTGAGTTCTGACTGGCAGAGTTCTCCCGCCCCCTTCTCTCATCAGCTATTCAGCAAGAAGCCTGGTCCTTGCAGATTCCATTTGCAACCAATTTGGACAGCTTCAGGAGCTCAGCTCTGTGATTTAATTAGGAGAAGCATCTGCCACTTAGCAAGGCCACTTAAAGTGCAGTTAGTTAGAAAAGTGAGAGACACAAAACTCTCCATCCTTTTACTTACAAATGGAGGGGATCTAATGTGGCGTCCCTGAGGGTACGCCTACACAGCAAAGAAAAATCCGTGGCACTGAGTCTCAAGGCCCAGGTCAACTGACTTGGACTCGCTGGGCTAAAAGGAGCCATGTAGATGTTCGGGCTTGGAATGGGGCTGGGGCTCCGAGACCCTTCGCGCTTGCTGGATTTCAGAGCCCGGGCTCCAGTGTGAGCAGGAACATCTTCTCTGCTACTTTTTGCCCCGAAGCCTGAGCCAGGCTCTGAGATTCAGTGTTGCAGGTTTTTCTTTGCAGCGCTGACATACTCTGATTAACACAATGCAGAGCAGGGGCCCTTTAAACTGGACCGGATCCTGCCCTCGATCCCACGGGCATGAAACTGGAATAACTGCACAAAAATTAATATGGTTACTCCAGATGGACACAGGTTAAGGTGTAAATTTCAGCAGAACTTGGCCCTTAGCACTCAACATTTGGGGCTGACTTCTATACTAAAATGACCCCCCAAACCTGCTGCTAAGGCCCTGTGTGGAATGTCTCCCTTGTCATCTGCCTTCTCTTCCTGGATCTCTCGGGTCCCCCCATTCTTATCTGGATCTGATTTTATTGCCTTGGGGTTAATCAGCAAACTTGACATCCAGCCTCCAGCTACAGTTTGAATTTGCACTCAGCAGCCAGCACTCAATTTCCAAAGCAGAGGGGTGGCCAGGGTCTCGGTGGCTTACTGGGGCCCGACACACTCTGTTCGGTACTTGTTTCCAGGTCTGTGCCAGGCCATTAAGCCACTCACCCCTCCCCTATTGGATGGCATCAGAATGCGGGTGCAATGGATGAAGACTGCTGACCTTGGTCTAATTCAGCGCTAACATCCAGCGGGGGAGAGGGGGAGGGAGGTGTAAAAAACCCGCCCCAAGGCTCACGAGAGAAACACAGAGAGAGATGCCAGGCAGGCCAGTTCGCTTGCAAAGGGCCTGCTGCCTTTCCAGTTCACGTGCCACCAGTCTCCGTTATTTCTCCGCCCCGTTTGCCTTTATTGCAGGGTCTGTCCAAATACCGGGGGAAGAGGAGGGGAAGTTTTTTACACCTCGGCTCTAGGGGAAGCTGGATTCTCAGGAAGGGGGTGGGGCCGGGTGGAGGCAGAGGAAGAGAAGGCATCAGATGGAATCCGAGCGTAGAGCACAACAAGAGGAATAACAGAAAATAAACCTTAGGACTGTCGAGCGGAAGCTGCGGCTTGGGTAGCAGAGGTGGCTTGGTCCTGCTCAGAGATGACCTTCTGGGAGCATCAGCCTCACCCTGTTCTGAATCCGTGGTCCTGGCACACCAGCAACTGTGTTCAAGGTCCCCCAAGCCCTCCTTTAGCCCACTGTCATCCTGAGACCCCAACTGTCCTAGCAGCTCTCTCCGAAATATAAATTCAGCTGATGGGTGAATATTGATTTCATTAATGGTCATCTCCAGCTCACGGATAGTTTCTTCAAGGCTGTCCAGTCTTTGGTATGTGCATTCGCAAATCTCGTGGCTGCTTAGGTTTGCAAAGCCGAGAGGAGACATGTCCTCTTTGGTTTGGCCTTCTAGGTCCAGGTCGTGCTCTCTCTCTGCTGGGGACCCTCCAGTATTCGAGGCTGCCTTGGTCTCCTCTCCAACCGCAAATCGGTCTAGCGTTCTCTGTCCAGAGGTGGCGCTATGCTTGCTGGATCTTGATGAAGCACTGATGTGCTCCTCAGGAGGCTGTATCGTGAGTTGTTCAGACACCTGGTAGTTTGGATCTTTGCCTGGGAAAGATCTTGGTCTTGGCGTTGGACACTTTGAGGCTGGACAGCTAGTGAGGTCTTCCCTTTGCGCCTGCTTGCTAGCCTCACTGGGGTCTTCTGAAGTGGGGGGCATCCTCTCCGAGCTTGGATTGGTTCTCCTGGCTTTGGGTTCTGTAACATCGCCATGAAATCCCACGGCCGCTTTAGACCCTTCGCCTTCGTCAGTGACGGAGACCTTCTCGGAACCCACTTCAGGGTCCGTGGCTTCTTTCAAGAGATCGATGAGGGGTTTGTCCTCCACACAGACAACTGGCCCATAGGCCATAGTCTCGCAGCTGCCTTCCTCTCCAGCGTCCAACGTCCCAAGCTCTTCTCCTGCCAGAAGGGGGTTCCCTCCATCCTCTGACAGAGCCTGAGTTGGGGTGTTTGTCACTAAGAATGCTATCATTTCTCCTTCTGGAGCGCCTCCAGGCTGGACAGGTGAGGCTTGGCTGCTTCCAGGCACCGACAGAGCCTGCTTTAAGAAACCAGATGGCACCCGGATGAGAGAGGTTTCCTCCCTTTCGGCCTGGTTCTCAGGGCTGCTTGGCAAGAGCCCCAGTCCCTCCAAGTTTCTCTCTGTTTCTGCCATGGCCTGTGTAGGCTCCACATGTGGAGATCCTTCCATTCCCACCTCTCTGTCGCTGGAAGTGCACTGACAGCTGCCTGTTTCTGCAGCCACCTCCAGGTCTGCTTCCGGCGAAGGCAGGTCAGGCACCCACTCGGTGAGCACAATCTGAGGGAGGGGGATAGCTGGGCTGGCTGGAGAGGCCGATTCCTGTGGAGAAAATTCAGACCAGTTAACAGCAGGTGGGAAGTGGGAGAAGTTTACCATGCAAATGAAGAAAGCTGAGTGCTTCTTAGAGGGTATTCCTGCCTAGCCAGGGCTGCCAACCTCACAATCCACCCACTGGGTCTATAATCCCAGACTATCCAGCCACTTCTGCAGTCACCTGAGCGCTGGGCCACGCCTGACGCAGAATAACTCAAGAGGGAGGGCTTGGTTTCAGTAACCCCTTTGGGCAATGGTGACTTAGGCACCTCTCGATGCCTGGACTGTACAGTGCACCTGGGTAGGTGAGAGGAGCCAATGGGTGTTAGGCACCTAACCAGCATAGGTGCTGCCCTGGGGAACACGTAGCCAATGTGCTGTTTAAAGAGCCTGCCGACAGAGGTGAAATCAGGATTAAAGACGCACTACAAAGGTGATGCAGTGGGTCGCGGGTCCCCACAACGAAGAAATCCGCAGAGAAGGAGTTGATTCGGCCTCTATCCTGCCCGATACTATTACATTAGAACATCAGAAGGGCCATGCGGGGTCAGACCAATGGTCCAGCTAGCCCATGGTCCTGTCTTCCGAAAGCGGCCACTGTCAGATGCTTCAGAGGGAATGAACAGAACAGGGCAATTATCCAGTGGTCCATCCCCTGTCGTCCAGTCCCAGCTTCTGGCAGTCAGAGGCTAGGGACACCCAAGGGGTGTGTCTCTGACCCTCTTGGCTAATACATTCTGGAGGCAGAGGGGCTTGGGGACCCCCTCTGCCCCTCCTCCCCCCCAGCTGTGCACTGCAGAGAGGCAGGTGAGAGAGAAGGTGTTAGTGATTTAACGGCTAGGGGATTCTGTGCTAGCAGGACTTTCTTTGTCTGGAGCTGGGAGCTATCAGGGGCTCCGCCCAGGCCCCCCACCCCCCGTAGCGCTTACCTGGACTGACGGCTGGCGCCTGGAGTCTGTTCCAGCATCGGGCTGGCTGGCCGCTGCAGCCTAGTGGCAGAACAGGGCAACAAGACGGGTTATTCTGCTCCTCCCACCGGGCCTGGCTGGGGCTGCCCCATTTCCTGGAATTCGTGGCGTGGGAGCGGCCCCACGTGGGGTGCCCCAATGCAGCAGGTCTGATTCTATCACCACCCTCCGGGGTTCTAGGATCCAGCAGAGGCAGGTGGGGGAAGGAGGGGAAAACGGCAAGGCCAGGCACCGACATCCAGGACCAGAGCTGGGTCTGAGCCAACCCTGCCCCAGGATCTAAACACCCCTCCCAGCACCGGGGCAGCAGACAGAGGCAGGGGCAGGGGCTGGCTCCCACTGGGGAGCAGCTTCCACACCGCCCCCACCCAGCAGCTGGAGAGTCAGCTCCCCCCATTCCCCACTCGATTTGACGCAGCACCCGCTGGGCAGAAAACGCAGCACAGAGCCGCCAATCTGGCACAGAAGGGGAGCGCGGCTGCTGGGGTGAGGGAGAGGGACGCACCAGGAGACAGGATTGCAGCAGAGGGAAAGAGAGCGACGCAGACAGAGAGGGGCAGCGGGAGAGCCGGGGATAGCAAAGTGTCTCCTTTTGGTGCAGCAGAGCTCCTCGGCCACCGTGCTGTGAGCCGTGGGCCTTGCCAACGTCTCCGGTCAATAATGGGTGAGGTGGCAGATGGGCGCGGGGCGCGTTTTGGGACGCTGCACCTCCCAGCACGGAGCCAGGGGTGGAGGGGGAGTCACAGGGTTGGTTTGATCTGACCCTTGTTCGGAGGGGGGCAGTGGAGGAGTTGATCAGTCGTGGGGAGGGAGAGCAGATGCCCGAGGGCTCAGCTGACCCAGCTGTTTGGGTTGCAGGCAGGACTGGCTTCTTGGACTGGAATCCGCCGGGAACCGTCTCCTTCACAGCTCCAAAGGGAAGGCCCGGAGGAGAGTTACTCCCTGCAGCAGCCTCCCTGCAGCCTGGAGGGGCCCAGCTCTCTTGCTGGCTGGCTGGATCCCCAGGGCGTGACGGCTCTTGTCCTGGAAGGATCGTGGCCAGGGTTCTTGGGTAGATTTCCACCCTGTAGATTTCTACCCTGGTCCCTTCCCTCCGTCTCTTCCCCACTCCCGGGCTCGTTGGTCCAGCTCCCGCAGGCCCATCTTCTCCCCTCTCTCACTGGCAGCTGTACCCTCTGCCCCCCACTCTGTGTCACGCCCTCTTTGGCTTTACCCCCTTCCAGCCTCCTGCTTTCTGTGCTCTCGGCTGCCATCCAGCCCTCATAAGAACATAAGAATGGCCCTTCTGGGTCAGACCAAAGGTCCATCTAGCCCAGTGTCCTGTCTTCTGACAGTGGCCAATGCCTGGTGGCAAACAGAGACTAGGGACACTATCCCTGCCCATCCTGGCTAATAGCCATTGATGGACCTATCCTCCATGAACTAATCTAGTTCTTTTTTGAATCCTGTTAAGGTCTTGGCCTTCACAACATCCTCTGGCAAGGAGTTCATAGACTCATAGAGTTTAAGGTCAGAAAGGACCATTATGATCATCTAGTCTGACCTCCTGCACAATGCAGGCCACAGAATCTCACCCACCCACTCCTGTAACAAACCCCTGACCTGTGTCTGAGCTACTGAAGTCCTCAAGTCTAAAGACTTCAAGGGGCAGAGAATCCTACAGCAAATGACCCGTGCCCCAGGCTGCAGAGGAAGGCGAAAAACCCCCAGGGCCTCTGCCAATTTGCCCTGGAGGAAAATTCCTTCCCGACCCCAAATATGGCGATCAGCTAAACCCTGAGCATGTGGGCAAGACTCACCAGCCAGACACTCAGGAAAGAATTCCCTGTAGTAATTCAGATCCCACCCTATCCCTATCTTGTATCCCATCTAGAGTTCCACCGGTTGACTGAGTTGTGTGAAGAAATACTTCCTTTTGTCTGTTTTAAACCTGCTGCCTGTTAATTTCATTCGGTGACCTTGGTTCTTGTGTTATAAGAAGTAGTAAACACTTCCTCATCTACTTTCTCTACACCCTCGGTCTTCTTCTCCCATCCACACCCTACCCAGCGGGGCCATCGCAGGTCCAAACCCCACGCGAGGCGAGTGCAGGATGCCCCCAGACCCTGTCCAATGGGGAACCCCAGGTGTCTCCTGCCACTGGCCACCTGGCTAAGCCCCTGCACAGCTCGGACCAGATCATGCGCCGGGCGTGGCCATTGTCCCCAGTGCACGGCATGCATCGCCACCCAGAGCCCTTGTTCCAGTGAGGCATCCCGCATGCAGCGATGAGCCCGTCCATCCCTCGCCAGTGACCCCCCGCACACACACCCGTCCCCTGCCCACGTGGGTGCAGAGCCTGGCCCCTCGGGGCAGCGCCAGGTTCCGTTGCTCTGGTGGTTAGTGCCCAGTACCGTGCTGTATAAGTATAATCCGCGCCAGCGTCGGGGAGTGATGCGGGGATGTGCTGAGCCATTAGTTTGTTAATCCAGAGAGCGCGTGAAAGGGGGGAGCAGACAGGAGAGGCGGCTGGGCAGAGAGGCAGCGGCAGCCAGCCGGGTGGAAGAGGGAGTTGCGATCGGGCACAAGCTGTTACCTTCCATCCTTCGGCTGCAAGGGCGGCCCCACTGGGCCACAAGTCTGCGGGAGCAGGGGAGACGGCGGCTGCGAGCCGGTCGCAGCGGAACTTGGGGATAAATGGGGAGCCAGAGCTTCTCTGAAACACCTGGGGAGTCAGAACACGGTGGGTTGTGCAGTGGAACTAAAACGGGGGGTTCGGAGAAGGAGCCCTGGGCCTGCTGTTCCCTAGCCCGGCCTCAGCCTAGATACGCTGATGCCAGCTCGCAGTGGGCGAGACAACGGCTCTTCTCAGCTGTGCGCTGATGCTGGGGGGTGTTAAAGTGACAGCTGGAAACCCGGCCACAGAGACGGGAGTGTGGCTGCCTGCTCCTCCCCTGGAGAGACGCGTGCCCTGCAATATCCGGCCTGTCCCCTGGGGACGGAGAACCCTGGCCCGGCCCGGGACGGGGCCTGAGGGGAAGGCAGGGTTCCTTGTTGCTCTGATTCTGGGACAGGGAGCTAGTTTCTCCTGCCTGCCGCTCACATCATGGCCTGGCTCATGCACTCCCCTGTCACTCGGTCCGATGGGGGTGTCTGCAAACGGGTTTCAGGCGGGGCTGGAGGCCAAGCTAGAGACTCGGTGGGGTTTGGACCAGGGAACCCCAGTGCTAGCCAGCCATAGGGGAACTCAATAGGACCCAAGAAGCATCCTGGACATCTAGCCCTCAGCTCCACCCGACAAGTGGAAATGGCGCCAGCTTTCGGGGGAGATTTCCAGTCCCCCCAGGACACAGCGTCTGAACAGATTGTTTCAGGGTACCTGAACTTCAGGGTTTCCGTCCTGGGAGCGGGGAACACAACTTACCCCTCTCTGAACCTGGCAGAGCTTCAGACCACCCCGCCAGGTGGGGCTACACTCCAAAACAGGATGGAAGCCCGGAGCGAGAGGGACGAAGTCGCTCTGCCAAAGCCTGGCGCCCCTGCCCACCCTGACCGTGCTGGGCCCCCGCAGGTTTGAACCCACTGACTGCCGGTGAGCCCAGCTATCCCTCCGCGGAGCCATGAGCTGAGACACTGGGACCTGACCACTACCCCCGTTACAGAGTGAACTGATTGACTGCCCTTCCCCAGTGCCTCCCCCAGGGGGCAGTGCTTCCTTGTATGTGTGCCAGGAGCCCGATCCTGCTTCTGGTGATGGCAATGCTGCTACTCCTGAGCGAGTGCAGGATCGGGCCCAGGGCGGCGGGGGGTGTTGTTCTGGGCAGGGCTCCCGTCATGTGTCCCCCCCCCCACCCCCTTCGGCGCCCACCTCCAGCTCGGCGATGATCCGGTCCTCCTCGTCGTCGTCCTTGATGGCTGAGGCAATGATGGGTGGGGTGGACGCGGGCCTGGTGACCTCCGACACCGTCCGCCTCAGCTTCACCTGGGGCTTCTGGGGCTCCAACTCCTCCGACTCCGCCTTCTGCAGGGCGAGAGGGGGCGGGGGGATCATCCCTGGGCACCTGAGGCCGGCCAAGGCCCCTGCTCCCCGCCCCCACCCTGGGGAGTCCGCCCCATACCTTCATGAAGCTGGAGTCCTTCTTGCTGGTGACGATCACCTCACCGGTGCGGGTGGTGGTCAGCCCATGGGAGGAGGGGAAGCTCCGTCGAGGAGGGGGGGGAGGCGGCGATTTCGAGGGCTTCTCAGTCCGATACCTGGGGACTGTCAGCTCATCTGGGGAAAGAACCGGGCCGTTAGGAGCAAGGCCCCACTCTTCCCCGATCCACCCCTCCGGCCCAAGCCAGGGACTCTCCTACGGTCAAGTGGGGCGCAGCAGAATCTCCAGGGGTCCACAGTTCAGGCATGGGGCAGCCCAGCTTTGGTGTTTCCCCCACCTATGAATGTGCTGGTGCAATCAAGGAGAACGTGTGCTCTTCGGGGCGTAAGCGTGATGGGAAACTCCCGGTGGCTTTTGCAAGAGGGCAGCGGCTTGTGTAGGACATGCCGATTGCCTCCGTCTCTGAGAGCTTGAATGCTGACCCATTTAGGTCGGGTTACACAGCCCTGGGGACTTCACCCGTAGGCCCCAGAGCACGGTTGGCCACACAACTGGCTCCACGGAGCCCGATAGGCAGGCATGCTGCTCGGGAGAGGCCTAGGGCTGGGCTAGGAGGGAGTCAGGGATCACGGGACCAATCCTGGGAGGTGCCGAGCGCTCTCAGCAACCTTGGAGGGTGCTCAGGTCCTTGCACGAATGGGGCCCTGGGTGCATTAGTAGATCTGGGGGCACTGTGAGCTCTAAAATTCAATCCACATTACAGGCAGGGAACAGAAACATAACAATTCCCATACCCGGTGCAAAGCCCTTACAATAAGGACCCGTCGGTTAAGGCAGCAGGTAAACCCTCCGAAGCTGCATTCAACCCCCCTGATGCCAACCCAGCTGAGTTTCTAGGTTCACACGTTTTTCCTGCACGGAGCACGGTTCTCCACCAGGGAGCAGCGCGGCGCTCAGAGCAGGGTCCTGCTTGCAGCTTGGAAGAGTTGCCAGGCGCTGGTCTGAACTGGGGATGGTCCTAGCAGGCGGTAGGGTTCCCAACAGCGTTGGGAGGGAGAGTCTCTTGCACTGCCCAGGCTGGCCAAGAGGGGGCACTGCAGCCTCAGCCATCCCCAAGGTCACTCTTACAGCTCTGCTACTGCCGTGTGTGTGTGTGTGGGTGTGTGTGGGTGTGTGTGGGGGTGTGTGTACGCGTGAGCGCGCTCCTCAAACTTTTCCACGCCAGGGGCCTCCTGGGCAACTTGCCGGGAGCCCGCAGACTGCAATTGATTTGCGCCACTTTTTAACGCCAGCCCTGCAGGGCTACAACCTGCCCATGCTCATGTCCCCCTGGATCCCCTTGTGGCCGAATTCACCAGCTGGGAGTGAGCAGAATCACTTAGACCACACGGCCCTCCCAGGGCTGATGATAGAACCCAGGTGTCCTGACCCCCAGCGCCACACCCTCCTCTAACTAACTACACCCCGCTCCCCTCCTAGAGCCAGAAACAGAACCCAGGAGTCCTGGCTCCCTGCCCCCCTCCCTGCGCTCTAATCCCACTTGACCCCACACCTCCGCCCAGAGCCTGATAGAGAACCCAGGAGTCCTGACTCAGTGGGGGTAGCAGAGAGGCTGAAGAGGGGTGCGGTCAGGGGGCGCGACTTGAGAGGGCACCTTCAGAGCTGACGCAGGGAAGCGTTACGAAGGGCACCCTGGTTTCTGACCACCCCATCCCCCGCTCCTCCCTGCCCCCTACCTGAGCCCCTGCGGCCATTGGGGTCGATTTTGGCGGTGGCTTTCTGTGCGTGCTGCGGCTTGGGGGGCTTGTGCTCAGGCGTGGAGGCGGCGCTGCCGGCGGCCTGCTTGTGCTTGGCGGCAAACTCCAGGTCGGGGATGGCCTTCATGAGCTCGGCCTGGGTCTCCTCCAGGAGGCGGTTAATGTCCTTGGCGCTGTATTGGGTCAGCGCCGCCCTCTTCTCCTCCCAGTCCCGCTCGGCGGCCTGCCGGCAGAAAGCATCACTCACTGAGCTCGCATGGGGGGACGGGCTGGGGGAGCCTTCCACATGTGGCACCGTGGGAGGATCTGGGGCGCTCGGCTCCATCCCCAGCTGCACAGAATCCCGGGGTACAGGCTGGGGGGCTCTGGGAGGAACCCCAGGAATGGTTGTTCCAAAGGGCCTGAGTCACTAGAGGGTTTCATACAGTCTGTGGCCAGAAGGGATCATCTAAGCCAGTGGTTCTCAAACTGTGGGTCGGGACCCCAAATTGGGTCGTGACCCCATTTTAATGGGGTCACCAGGGCTGGCTTAGACTTGCTGGAGCCTGGGGCCAAACCCAAACTCTAAGGCCGCGGGCTTCATCCCTGGGTGGCAGAGCTCAGGTTACAGGCCCCCTGCCTGGGGCTGAAGCCCTTGAGATTTGCCCCCGCCCCGCCCTGGGGCAGTGGGGCTCGGGTGTGTTCAGGCTTCGGTCCCCCCTCCTGGGGTCCTGTAGTAATTTTTGTTGGGGGTCGCAGTGCAATGAAGTTTGAGAACCCCTGATCTAGGCTAACCCCCTGTATAGCATGGGCCAGAAAACCTCTCCCACACGTCCCTGTATTAAGCCCAAAGCCTAGTTAGACTAAAGCATTTCAGATCTCAGGAGACTGTGAGCCACAGGCAGGGAACGGAAGAGAGCGAGGGGCCACCCATGCCCCAGGCCTCGGCGCCAGCTGGGAATCAGGGAGATCCATCCCGATGATCCCAGCAGGTGACCCAGCCTGCAGAGGTAGGGTCCCTGCCACCTGGACCATCCTTACAGCCAGTGGCAGAGGTGGGGATGGAACCTCGGAGTCCTGACTCCTTGTCCACTTTGCTCTGATCACGCTCCCCTCCTCTAGCTGGGAATAGAACCCAGGAGTCCTGACTCCCTGGCCTCCTCCTGCTCTAACCTCTAGGCTTCCCCTCTTATAAATAGATTCCAGGACTAAAGGTTTAACCCAGCACTTCAGGAGGCTCCAATCAATACTCCAGGGCAGATTCTCTCCCAGATGATTCCCTTTCGACTCACACTGAGTCGCCACATGTCAGAGCAGCCCCCAGGCTGCTCTATCCTGAGCAGGCAGCTGGTGCGGGAGCTACTGAGCAGCAGAGAAGAAACAGCAGCTGCTCCAGTGGGGAGTGTTGGGAGGTAGGTGGGGAGGTGGCGCCCCCTACAGCACACACCCCAGAGTGACAGGGCTGATTCAAACCCTGCAGTGTAAAAATCGCCGAGCACTTAATTCTCAGCTCCTAACAGCCTTGGCCTGCAGGCCTGGGAACCCTGGCTTGAACCTCTCCTGGGTGTGCGACAGGCCAGACAACACAGCAGAAGTGCCAGGCTCCCCCCCAACCCCGGCTCTCACCTCTACAGACACGGCCTTGTCCACGCTCCTCCTGCCGGGAGTCTCGGGGCCTGTCTGGGTCTTGGCCGGCACCATCTCCGGAGCTCGGGAGGGGTTATTGCTCTTAGGGAGTTGCGGGGGACCATGCCCGAAGCCCGGTGTGCCCAGGGTATCTGTGGAGGCGGTCAGGTCATGGAGGTTCATCGGGGGGCTGGTGGGGACCTCGAAATCCAGACCCTTGCTGAAATCGGTCTCTGGCGCCACCTTCTTCGGGGACTGGCTCAGGTTGTTGGACTGAGCCCACATGCTCTCATCCACTTGCCTGCCAATGGAACAGAGAGTTCAGAAGTCCCAGTGGGGGGCCGGGAGGTGGGGGGTTAGGGGGGGCAGCTGCGCAGCCAGGAAGTGCTGTAAGCTGTTGCCAAACACATTTTCAACCACATCGAACAGTTCAGTGTTGGTCGATACGTTTATCAACCACCACCAAATAATGGAACATTTTCAGTTTTCAAAACAAAATTTTGTTTTTTAACCGAAAAAGGTTTTTCAACCCCCTCCCCCCACCTGTTGGGTTTGGGGTTTGTTTTTGTTTTTGTCAAACGTACCCAAAAAATTTCACACTTGCAAACTCAATTGAAATTTCCCACCAGGACTAAATCGTCCTTTCCCAGACAGCACTAATGATAATTGTTTGTATTCCAGTAATTACTGGCGCACCTAGAGGCTGTAATGAGCACCATTGTGTTAGGCGCTGTACAAACCCAGAACAAAAAGGCAGCCCTTGCCCCAAGGAGCTCCCACTCGAAGACGAAAGACAACGGGTGGATAGAGACAGACAGACAGACGGGCAGCTCAAGGGACCTGTGAGATTAACCTGTGAGATTATTCTGATTGGTGCATGGAGAGACTCCAGGTGTTGAGGTGCCCAAATCCCTTGGAGGGTCTGAGCCCAGCTGCCCAAGCACCGTCAGGCGCAGGCCTCAGGGCAGAGGACGACAAGTGGCTGTGGGCATGGTTACAGGGAGCACCTCCCATGCCTGAGAGAGCAGGAAGCGGCTGGCTGGGAAATTTGACAAAGGGGTGACTAAGAATGGGATCATTGATGGAGCGGAGAGAGGAACCAGACCCCTCCCTCTGCCCCAGCAGGGATCAGGGCCCAGGGAGCCAGGACCCACCCTGGGGTGTGATGGAAGGGACTCCCCTGTGGATCCGGGCTGGGAGGACACACCAGGATCTGGGCCCAGGGAGCTGGGACCTACTCTGGGGGTGGGATAGCAGGATACCCCTGGGGATCTGGGCTGGAAGGGGCTCACCTGCGGATCTGGGTGAGGGTGTCTGTCACCGTCTTGCAGCGCTTCAGCAGGCCGTCCAGCCGGTGCGGCTCCTCCTTGAGGAACTTCACGGCCTCCACCTCTACCCGGAGCACCACCCGCATCTTGCTCTGCAGGCTGGGGAAGTGAGCTGGGGCGGGAGAGGCGCAGGGTCAGAGCAGGCCCAGGGAGGGCTGGGCAAGACCCTCCTCTCCCGGCTGCACAGGAATGCAAAGCCCTGCACCCAGAGACGCACCCGGCTCTGCCGTGCCCATGTCTGCCTGGCACAGCTGGGAGGAGGTGGCTGGGAGAACTTAGGGGAAAACCCTCCTCCACTTCCGTCCTAGGAGAAAAGCCCCCGTGATTGCAGAGGGGCAGCTCATGGGCACTCCCCGTGTAGGCAGACCCAGCCACAGCCCCTAACACAGGCACACCCGGCCAAAGCACCACACCACGCACTCGCAGGGCCGGAGCACCCTTTGCCTACTCACACAGGGTTTCTGTACGTCCGGGTTTCCCTGAACACGACCTCTTTTTTGGCCCTCCAATCTCCATCCGGGCAGATTTTTGACATAGAGACAAAGGTCCGTGGTTTTTCCTCACTCGTTCTTTTCCCTCGCCGATGGAGCTGGGCAGCTAGAGAGCAGCAGCTGCTGGCTGGGTGCCCAGCTCTGAAGGCCGCCCCGCCGCCTTGCAGCAACGCAGAAGTAAGGGGGGCCTGGTATGGTATTGCCATAGAAACTGTACCCCCCGCCTGCCCGTGGCAGCGTCCTCTCTTTGGGACCTTGAAATACGGTAACCTAGAGAGGTGAAAATACCCGTGCTTCTGGGTCTAGTGCTTCCTTGCTGCTTTCTCTCTCTGCTGCCCTGATCTTTCTCCTGCTTGCCACCCCCACACCCAGACCCTGCCAAACCCCCACCAGCCACACAGTTCAGATACTCGGGCAGCCTCCCACGGGCCTTTGTTATGGGTGGAGGCTCCTGTTTGTTCGTTCACCCTGAGCACAGGGCGGCTGTTACACCCGCTCTGCTCGCTGCGCTGTTTGTACACTCTCTTTCTCGCTCTTGCGGCCGGGCTGTTCAGGGCTGTCACTGCTTTCAGGGTGACGGGCGGAGCTAGTGTTAGGGGCTGGGTCAAACCTGGTTGAAAGTGGGCAACCGTAACTTGTTATCTGCACTTGAGGGAGAGGGGCACCTGCCATGGGCACGGGGAGCCTTGACCAAGGATGTGCAGCAAGTCGGTGGCAGGGCCAGGATTAGAACTCAGGGGGCTCCTGGCTCCCAGGCTTGTGCTCCCCGCATTTGCTCTGGCTGCTGGCCACGTTCAGCAACCGCGTGACAGGCTGGGGTGATGGGGAAGGGGCGCTCTCCCTGATTGATCTAAAGGCCAGGCCAAGCCCAGCCCCATGTCTGCTGTCTGTCCACATGTCCCTCCTCCGACTCCATCACCCCCATGCCCTCCGCAGCTCTTCACGCACCTACACGGAGCGTCTGGCTTGGCTCCCAGAAGCATAAACTCTGCCATGTTCTATGCTAAATGAGGGGAGGGGGACTCCAGCCCAGAGATGGGCCATGGTAGCGGGTGTGGAAGGCTGAGCGCAGCCCCCTGGGGGCGGGGGCGGCCGAGGCAGGGCCCCAAGCACCATGAGCTGTCAGATCCACTCAGGCAGCGTCTCCAGCACTCACTCTCTGACAGCTAGCAGAGCAAACAGGGACTCCGCCACGCAGGCAGTCATGTGGGAGAGCCGCAAACACACCGGCAGGCATGCATCCACGCAAACGCACAGCAACACACAATCCAGACACGTGCAACCAGCCCGCAGCCCAAATACACGCAAACATGCAACCCAGAGACGTGCAAACACGCAGGCAGCACATCACCCAAACATGCAGGCAACACGCCACCCAAACACAGGCCGGCAACATGCAACCTGAATACATACAAACACTTGCAAGAATGCAGGAAACTGCAACCTGCAAACTTGCAAGCATATGCAAACACACACACGCTCACGCAACCCAAATACATACAAACATATGATACAAGCACGTGAACACACCAACGCAGGGAGACACACACAAACCCAGACATGCAGATACACCTACAACCCAGACACATACCACTCCCAAATCCATGACTCACACAGCCAAACACTTACACACCTGGTTCACACATGGGACATATGCAAACTTCCACATGTGTGCAATTACAGGGTCATGTGTGCAATTACAGGGTCACGTCTGCCAGCTCCAAACCACAAGCCAACCCCACAATAAAATCAAAGGTCCCAACGCCTCAAGGGTGAAGCTCTGAAAGCTGCCTTAGGGGGTTGGATGGACGGTTCTCATTGACTCCACTGGGGACTGGGGATGCAAATTTCACCCTAAAAGCACACCGAGTGCATGTGGACACAGAAACACCTGTAACTGTCAGCACATATGCCCCTGGGCACACGCACGCGCTCACAGTAAAGCAGACATAGCGTCCTATATAAACTCAAACAACAAGTGTGCCTGCAAACTTACACACAAACCATCCTGAACACTGATCCCGGGCACACACAGGTCTCCAGGGCTGCCCTGCACCCACCGCCACACAAATCACAGAAATGGAGGACGGGAAGCCACCCAGCCCCCCTGGCGCTGAGGCAGGACCAAGCAAACCTAGGCCATCCCTGACGGGTGCAATTGAGTGCGCTTGGATAGCATTCAGGGGTGCAAGGTAATCCCTCCCATGATCCTACCAGCCCCCCAGACCTATGCACTCCTGGAGCCTCCCCCCCCCGCCACCGCCCTCTCCTCTTGCCGGCCCCCTCTCACCCTTCAGTTCTGTGAGCGTCTCCCCCAGCTGTTTCAGCACCACGGCCTTCTCCTCCAGCTCCTGCACAGGGACGAGCCGGTGATTGTCCTTCTGAATCTTCTCCACCGACTTCTCCAGGTCGCTGTAAGCACACCGTGCGAATGTCACTCCCCCATCCTCCGGGAAGGGTCCCAATGCTGGAGGGCAGGGGAGCAGCCGGTCTGGATCGGTGAGTGCGGGCAGGGCCCCCAGGGCACGCACGCAAGCCTAGCAGCTCAGGCCCCGGGCAGTTTTCCCCTTGGGCCGTTAGCAGCTCTGGTACCTATTCAGGATCATGCACCGGCAGGAAGGCCGACCAGGGGCCTCTCCAAACTGGCCCATTGGTGCTATGGCCAATTTATACCAGCTGTGGGGAGCTGGCCCAACAGACTTTAATTCCCAGAGCTATCCCCAGGCCCTCTTGGAGAAGGCAGAGAGCCACAGACAGAGCCAGGGACGGGCACTAGGCGCCCCGCCCCATCAGGGACGGACTGCAATCCCGCCCTCACTTTAACTGCTGGGTAATTAGCTCTTCCTCGTTCAGGTAGCGGAGCCGCTCCTCCTCCACCAGGCTGCGCTGGCGCTGCAGGGGGTCCTCCTGCTTGCGCATGGTGTCCATCACCCGCACGCTGATCTCCGTCTCCGTCCGCCGCAGCATCGTCTTCACTGTCTCCTGGTTCTGCAGCTGTGAGGCCAGAGAGGCGGGGGGGAGGGGGGACAGAGACGGGAGGGGAGGGCGTGAACTGGGGATACGTCAGGGAGCACGAGGAAACGGAAAAGCCGACCGATTCTGTCCCCCTCCCCTACGCAGATCCAAACACCCAGAAAGGCAATGCAGGGCAGGGGGAGCCGGACTCCTGGGTTCTATTCCCACTTCTAGCCGAGAGTGTGATCTAGTGGTTAGAGCAAGGGACTGGGAGCCAGGACCCCTAGGTTCTACTCCCAGTCTTTCCTAGTAGAACAGGAGACAGGGAGCGCCCATTTGCACATAGGAGGGTGAAGGGTCAGGGGGGATGCAAGGCTGGCTGGGAACCTGGGGGTCTGCCACCCAGCTGCCAAGTGCCCTGCCAGCACAAGCTGGGGATGAGGGGGATTCCCCGGGGCCATGTGTGTGAGGTGCTGACCCCAGCTCTGGGGATAACATGGGGCTGTCGCTCTCCGGGTGAGAATGTGGGGTGGTACTGGGGGGCACAAGTCGATTACACATTACCCCTCAGCACGACAGGTGGGTGCAGACATGGTGGGGGGCTCACCAGGGATCCCCTTTTCCTCTGTCCCACTGGAGAGCAACCAACCACCCTTCGTCACGACTACCAGGCTGGCTCCTGTGTCCACCCGTGGGTCAGCTTAAAAATCAAAAAGCTGGCAAAGATGGTTCCCCAACCCCACCACTCTGCGTGCTTTCCCCGGGCAAAGCCGCCGGGCTCCGCCCCTCTGGTTCGGCTGGCAATCCTGGCTGTGGCAGGGTCTGCCAAGGAGGGTCAGGGCGAGACAGATGCAGGGGCGGGTGTACGTGGCACAGGCTGGACTTGGAGCTCTGACATACATCCCCAGGAATCTGGCCGATTGACGGAAGGAGCCGGGCCTTGGGAGGGCATCAGCCATTCCCAGTCCACCTGTCTGGACCGCTTCCCCCTCCCCCATCTCCGCAGCGCCAGCCGGAACCACCACTCCCCCCAAATCTGTCACTGGTAATTAGCTTTGGAGCTAGGCAAGGCCAAGAAAAGCTGAACCTGGCCACCGAGATCCCTGGCTCCTGAAGGGGAGTTGCCATCTGCCTGGCCGTGCAGTGCCAGGGCGAGCACCACCCAGCAGGAAGGGTGGGATTCTGGTGCAAGCTGCGGGAGGGGGTACGAGCTAGCAGGGAGAGAGGAGGGGAACAGGGTGCAGGGGGGGCCCAGCTGTGGATGTTGGGGAACGCTGCTCTGCTACCCCAGATCTTAACCAACGCGCCTTTGCTTTGCTCCAGGCCAAGAAGCGGGGCTGAGTCCAAACCCTGACTGGTGAACGGGCTGCAGAGTCTTCTGCCCCCGCAGCTCCAGTTCTCATCCCGCCCAGCCCCGCCGGGGCTATTGCCACGGAACGGCTCTTTGGTGGCCTATGGGCGTTGGCGGGTCTCAGGCTGGTTCCCGTATCACCCGCACCGCAGGCGTAGAAGGTGGTTTCGGACAAGAGGCTGAGGATACAATGGGACGTGGAGGCCAAGCTGCCCCCTTAGGGTCTGTCTGCACTGTGACAAAGGGGTGCTCTTACCTCGGGTTCAAAGAGCAGAGAAGACACCGCAGCGTGAATGAGGGGGAGCCTGGGGTTAAAGCCAAGTGGCCGGATCGTCACTGCTATTTGAACCCGAGTTAAGACCACACCTTGTTTTGCAGCGTAGGCCTGACTTGGGGGGTCCGTTAGCCGACTGGGCTATTCCTGCCTGCGGGTGACCTTCCCCACACCCTGCCACCCGGCCAGTGGGGCCAGGAGCTCTGTGCTAGGAGGCGAGGCAGGACTCTGATGGCCCTGAGCCGCACATGCCCCGATGAGAGCCGGGAGGCTCGCTCCCGGATGGCTCCCCTCACCTGCAGCTTCTTCAGCTGCTGCAGCTGGTTGCGGAGGTCGCTGGCGTTCTGCTGCAGGTCGTGGAGGTGGAGCTGCATGTGCAGGCGGGTGATGGCCGTCGGCTGCCCGGCCGGGGTGCTGGTGGCGGAGGGGTGCGAGGGGGCAGGGATCGGCGTTCCCGAGCAGCTCCGGCTGGCGGCTGAGAGCATGAACAGAGCAGGACAGCCAATGAAGTGCTAAGTCCAGGGAAGGCTCCCATCCCTTCTCCCTCATTGTCTGCCCCCCTCTCCTCCCCAGCCTAGACATGCACGGTGCTTTTGATCCAGAGGGGAGGCCCTACAGAAATATAAGTCACCCCACCTTGATCTCCCTTTCAGAGCCCGGATCCCAGTGTGAGCTCATTCCCACCGGTCCCCTCCGGCAAGAGACACCCCAAGCCGTGGCTGGGTCTGCAAACCTGGTTCTCCCACCTTCCACAGAACCCACGTCCCCCTCCCGGCCCTGGGGCTAAACCCAGCCCCGTTGCTGCCTAAAGGCGGGTGGGTTTGGTGCTCAGAATTGTACCCTCAGACCAGGCAGCAGGAAGCCAACTGCCAAGGAGCCCCTAGAAACAGAATCACCCAAACACTCACCTGGGCGCTCCCAGTGCGGGCAAGGGGGTGATTGTAGAGCACCGAGCGAGGAAAGCACGGCTGTGCGTGGGGCCGGCCCCGTGGGGGAGGAGCTGCTGTGTGGGGGTGGGGCTGGGACAGTGGGGGAGGAGCTGCTGTGTGGAGGTGGGGCTGGGACAGTGGGGGAGGAGCTGCTGTGTGGGGGTGGGGCTGGGACAGTGGGGGGGGGGGGCGGAGGAGCTGCTGTGCATGGGGCCAGGCGGGTGGGGGAGAGGAGTGGCTGTGTGGGGCGGGGATGGGCCAGGCTTCCTGGGTCTTTCTGTGGAGCTGCTCAGTGGCTCCCTCAGAAGCCATGTTCCTCACTGCAGTGAGGGCAGGGGGCAGAGGGCAGAGACCCATCCTCGAGGGCTGATGCCACCTGCCCAGGAGGGGGAGCCCTGGAGGCCCCTCCCACATGCTCCTGGAGCCCAAAGTCCCACGCCAGCTACCCCAATGGCGGCTCCATGGCCCCGGGAGTGGGAGGACCCAGTGCACCAGCACCTCCTGCAGGCGGAGCTTGGGGCTGCGGCTCCCGTCGCTCCCACCCAATCACTTACGTGCTGACGGGGGTGTCCCTCCATTGGTGGCGTCCGTCTTCTCGCTGCATGGAGGGGAGGGCGGCGGGTGAGAGCAGGTTAAACAGTCCCAGCCCCGGCCCAGGAGAGCCGGCAAAGCGGGGAGGCCACCGAGCTAAGCCACGAGCAGGGGAGGAGGTGCCCGGAGAAGGACGTTAACTGAGACGCGTTGGGGTCATGCTGCCCCCTCCCAATCTCTCCCCTCGAACAGCCCCAAAGGGAGACCCCGCCTCTCCCTTCCCATGCTGAGTACGCTGGGGTTCCCCTGGGCCGTGAGGCCTTGAGTGGGGGGAGCCAGTGAGATTTGCAGCTGCTCCGAGGCCCCTTTGCACTGTTAGAACTTCCTGCACCGGCCCGAGTGTCCATGAGCACTGGGCCTGCTGGGCACCACGAGCTGGTGGAACTCACTGCCACAAGATAGCGGCCCAGAGCTTAGCAAGGATCGAGCGAGTCCAGGGAGAACAAGACTCTCCAGAGTCGGAGAAATACACAGTGAAAGGACAGGACCCCAAGTGCTTTGGAAGAGCCGTCGATGCTCCTGGCTCAGAGCGGGAGCCAGCCTCCAACAAACGGGGTGGTAGGAAGAGGCTGGCTGGGCCAAAGTTGCTCTGTAGGGGGAATCTGGAACCTTGCTCGGCAGTAGCTGGTGCTGGGCCACATAGGCCACGGGCGTGGTCCTTACTGCCATTCCTAAGAGCCTATCACAGGCCTGGTCCCCGGGCCCTGCTCTGCTGTCAGCACTGGCGAGCCCAGCGGGTGCGATTGGCAGCGATGGGGCTGCCCAGGGGAGCAGGGATCAGGGCCTCGTTTGCAGACAATCCATGTGTCTGGGGCGCTATCCCCACCGACCTGGAGAATTTGTTGGGGCCCGCCGGGGATGAGAGTGATGCTCCGCGCCCTTGGGTTTCCTCTCTGCAGCCGCATCACGGGGCGGGGCTTAAAGCCTCCAATCACCACGCGCTTCCATTGAACGACACCGCGTTCCCGTAAAATAGCCCCCGGCGCCCCCTACAGGACGTTGCGGGATGTAGCTCGCGGCCACTGGTGAGATCGCCAGGAAAGCCCGGGTCATGGCCAACCTGCCACCTGTCCCACGCCGAGGCAAGATGAGGGGCTTCCTGCCCCCCTTCCTTACCTGGGGGTCTCGCCCTCGGAGCCCCGGAGCAGCGCGCTCTGCACCAGCCCTGTCAGGCTGGCGATCTGCTTCTCCATGGCTTCCATCCGTTCCCTTTGGGGGGTAGGGAGGGAAAAGAGCTGTATTAGATCCAGGCTCCAGCAGACGGGACCCTCCAGGGCCTGGTATCTGCAGGGGAGGCCAAGGGCCTATGGACTTCAGGGTCCTGGCCTTGCCAGGAGGATGCCCCATCTGAATCCATACCCCCCTCAGCGTTTGAACCCTTTTGGGAGTCTCAGGGCCAGACCCTCGTCTAGCGTAGATCAGTGGAGCTCCCTTGAGGTCAATTCCCTCCTCGTGCCCATGTGCGCTGGCCAGGGATCCGATCCTCCATCTCTCTCTCTCTGCTCCAGCCTCCCACCACCATCCCTGGCAGTAGAGACCGGGCAATATTTAAAGAGGGATCTCACCCCTCAGGCTGTCCCTGAGGGCCTTTTCCTTCTTTGAGCCTCGTCCTCCCCTGTTGGGGCCCTGGGCGGCCTGTGAATAATGAGTCCATTTGAGGCCCGCAGCCGCTTGCCAGTACAGCGGCCCGTGACGGGACAGCACTGCTAATTCCATCGACCTTTGTTGTCCTCCTACATCCTCCCCCCCTCATTTCCTCCCACGTCTCTCTCCCCTTGGACAGCTCCCTAATGGCTCCCCCCACCCTCCCCTGACAGCCCAGCTCACGGCCCTGGAAACAACAAATGAGACCATCATTGCTTGGGAGATGAAGAGACAGGCACAGAGATGAAAGGCAAGATAATGGGTTATTTCCATACCAGCTACCTGCCTGTATGCAACTTTCCCTGCTGCACCGGCAGGGTTACAATGGGGGCTCTGGCTTTTTGTACATGGGCTGGGGAAGACAGAATCTCTCCCTTTTGTATGGGGCCCCTAGCCTCACAGTGCTTGATGAGCTGGAATAGGGACACATTGCCAGGGAAACCGAGGCACAGAGCGATGAGGGGCCAGGATTTCAAGGGGGTACATATACATGAACGTGGGAGCAGCCTCCTTCCCAGCCCGGTACACAGACTCATGCCAGCACGCTGCAAAGAGCTGTGTGGACATCCCGGCGGGACTGCCCGGCTTGCTCCCACCTCAGGCCCTGACTAAGCAGCTCCGTGGGTGCTGAGCTGTCTTGCAGACGTGGCCATCGGCGTCACAATGGGAGCTGAGGGGTAGCAAAGCTCCAGCTCAGAGTGACACAGGGTGCCCGTGAAAAGCCAGGCACTGGACTCAGGTCTCCTGAATCCCAGCCCAGTGCCTTATCCACAAGACCATCCTCCCTCCTTGTCATCCCACTGAAGTTTTTCTCTACAAAGTGGCAACAAGAGGTGACCCAGACCCCAGATTCCCCCACCTCCATAACCTGCCTGATGCAGTAGCCAAGGTCCAACAGCAGGAAAGACTCAAGAAAAAGAACCCAGGAGTCCTGAGGCCCAGTCCCCAGCTCAAACATCTCTATCGCTGGATCATACTCTACTGCTGACAGCCAATTACTGCATCTCAGGACTCCTGGGTTCTAATTCCCGTCTCTGCCACTGCTATGTGACTGTCACCTCTCTGTGACTCAGTTTCCCCACCTGGAAGAGGGGGATTTCAACCTGACCGACACGGCAAACCCAGGAGTCAGTCTACTCAACCCATTGTTGCTGGGAAGCTGCTGATCCAACCCCGGCTCCTTACCTTGTTTCCGTATCCTTGGCAGGCACAGGAGGGCTGAACCCTGACAGGGGTCGATCCCCAGGGCCTGGGAAGAGTTCGGGGGGGCCCGAGGAGCTGGGGTTCCGGGGCTTGCTGACGGGGCTCTCCATGAAGACTGAGGAGCAGGAGTCTTTGCGGAAGGACTGGCGGACGGGCGAGGACCTGCTGGACGGCCCCGAGTAGGGGCTGTGAGGGCTCTGCCCCTGCTGGACGTCCACCAGCCGGCCGTCGGCCATCTTCTGCGGCGAGGACGGGGGCATGCGGAAGCCGAGGCTGGGCCCGTAGGTGTCGCTGTAGATCTGGGCGTTGGGCTTGTACAGGCTGTCCTCCAGCTCCGTCTGCAGGGCAGCCGCCGAGTAGGTGCTGAGGGAGCGGACCGAGCCCCGTTTGTAGAGCCCCCCGGCGTAGGCAAAGGGGTCGCCCATGCCGGCCAGGGACTGCGTGGAGGTGATGCTGAGCCGGCCCTCGTGCACCATGCCATAGGGGTCAGCGTACAGCCCCTCGTTCTTCACCAGCACCATGTTCTTGCCAGCCAGGTCTTCGTCCGGCTTGACGTCCCGGCGCTCCAGGATGGCGCTGGGGCTGGGCGACACGCCCGGGGCGGGCGGCAGGTTGGAGAGGCGCTCGCCGTGGTGTACGGGGCTGCCGGCATAGGAGGGTGGGCGCCCGCCACTGTAGGACATGCGGGAGCGGGACGGGGAGGAAGACTGGAGCACAGGTGGAGGGGAGCCGGAGGGGAGGTGGGAAGCTGGGGACATGGTGTTCAGCCGGCGGGTGGGGGATGACTCCCTGGAGGTATAAACCATCTCCCGCTGCAGGGAAGAGAGAAGTGCCACCGAGGCTGTAAGCACTCACCCCTCTTGCGGGGCAAGCCCCAGGCCCACCATCTGGGGCAGCCTTGCCTGGGAGGAACCCTTCCAGAGCGGGGCCCGGAGATCCCCAAAAAGGGGTTGTTCGTCGGGTTGCTGAGACCAGCTGCCTTTGGGTGTGTGTTGCACATGCATGTGACAATACCTCTCTCCTCCCTGCAGAGGGAGCACCCCTGCTGTACCCCCATTCTCCCTGGTGACCCCCCTAGATGTGCTGGCGGTTCACATTTCACACACTGAGCTGCGGCAGGTGATGGTCACTTGCACATGGGGTGGTTTAGAAGGCAGATGGGACTGGGCAGACACAGGACAGGAGGGCGGGGATACCAACACTGCCTAGCTCCCTCCTCTCCGCCGCAGCCCATAGCACGGGGCCAAGTGCCAGGCGCACAGAAAGGGCCCGATCCTCTGTTGCCAGCCGCAGGATGGCCATGTCTTGTGCCCACTTTGCACCAGTGTCAAGGGCTGTGCAGGGGGCAGGGCAATGGAGAACCAGGCCTAGAGTCTGTAGTATGGGGGTGATCTTGCGTGTGCACACACACACACAGACTCTCACACACGTTGCTGCTTCTCGCATAAGCAACTGGGATTGGAGGCTGGGGGTTAAGGGAGGGGAGCCCTATGGGGCGTGAGCTGCTTGTTTGTAAACATCGATGCTTTCAAACACAAACACAGGTGCGTGCTGTCAGCAGAGCCAAATAATCACACCCCCTCACACACACACACACACACACCCATACACACATGCACTGTGAAATCAGGAGACGCTGCCACAGGGACTTAGAGCCCAGGGAAGATCACACAAAGTGGGGAGGGTCACTGGAGGCAGCAGTGGCCAGAAGGCAGATCCTGGAGTAAACCCAGAACCCCTCACCCACTCCTGGCAAGACCAGAACACCAGATCCCTGTGCAAGCCCAGCCTTCCCTCCCCACTCCTAGGATGAGACTGGAATGCCGGATCCCGGGGCAAACCCAACCCCTGAAGAACCAGCCCCCCCACCCCCGTTGACCTTCACCCTGATGCACCCCAGAAATGAAGATCAGCAGCATCCCACACCCCCGGGCAAATTGCAGCTCCCTCGCTCTCTCTCCAGGAGCACAACAATTTACTCTGATTAATACCCTAATCAGCATGTTTATGACTCCACTGCCATGGCTCAGACCATCCAATCTCCTAAAGCAACCCATAACAGCGCTGCAGCTGGGGCTGACAAACGGGAGCTCATAACTCCTTCCACAAATATACCCAGGCACCAGTGTCCCCCAGCCCCCCCCGCCCGGCTCTCACACAAGCAAGGTCTGTCTGTGTGTGCGCGTGAGCATTTGCTGGCACCATTCTTCCCTGGCCCCATGGAAATGGGGTACTTCTTCCCCCTCCCAGATGGAAAAGTTGGGACAGCCCCTCCCTGGGACAGCCCCCTTCATCTGCCCTCTCCTTACCCTCAGGTCCCCATTGGTGATGTGCGAGGCTGGGAAGGAGGCATAGAGGGGCTCTTTGCGGTAGATTTTGATGATGCTTCTGTCCTGGATGTCCCTGAAAGAGAAGGCAAAGCAGTGAGCTGGGCACCCCAATGGCCGTGCGGATTGCTAGCCCCTGGATAGCTCCAGCCCCTGGACCACCGGCAGCAGCCCTCTCGCTCCGTGCTAAATTGAGAGTAAACAAATCTCACGCATCAGGACGTCAGTCTGCTGCGGGATCAGGGAGGGATGGGCCACACTGGACGATCAGCCAGGGCATGTGCACAAAAGAGGAGTTCCCCTTGCATCTGGGAACTGGCCGAGGCGGATTCGCCCTGGCAAACACACTGGTGCTGTCACCATGCAGGGAGCAAATCTGAGTTGGAATTCTGAGCCCACCTGGAAGAGAATCTCTGTCTACCCCCCACCCCGGCCCCACTGAGCGCGCCTGCTGCCCCCACAACCCCAGGGGCCCTCACCTGACGTCCTCCAGCTCGTAGAAGACATTGCGCGACTCGTCCTTGATCAGGATGGCGGTGTTGGACGATTTCAGCATCCCCATGGTTAGCTTCTGGGGGAACATGTGGACGATGAGGGCGTGCAGTGTGTCCATGCTGCTGATCTCGTGGGTGATGTGGACACGCCTCGTCTCGTCCCCAAACTGCAGGAAAAGGACCCCTGGAAATGGAGACAGGAGAGAAGGGGAGAAAGGGGGGAAAACACAGCTCTGAGCAGGCACTGACTGACAGCACAGCAGCCCAATATGTCAGGCATGGGGCTAGGAATCAGGAGACCTAGGTGCTATTCCTGGCTCTGTGTCTCAGTTTCCCCATCTCCTTGGGGTCTATAGACCCCATATTATTGTTATTACTCTATATTCACGCCCAGCCCAGTGCCAGTAAAACCCTGCTCAAGCCAGGGAAGAGTGACATAAATTAAAGCCCAGTATCTCACCTAAAAACAAAGTGCTAGTGACCTGGGCTTAGCCGCAAACTTCCTACCCGGATCCATAGTTAAACCTTCACAAACCAGGGGGATCTTTGGCTCCAGGGCTGCGGCTGTACTTGACACCATTGGAATGCTGATTTCTAGCCCCGGCCAGTCCACAGGGACCATTCTGATCATCATCTTCCTTCCCCCTCCCCCACCCCACCCACTCTGCATCTCAACACTTCCCCAGCCACTCCCGAAAAGTAACAATGACCTCCAGCGCTTGTCATCTGGGAGATTCCAGCTGCTGCCACCCCAGGGGAAGGAACACTCATCTCACCGGCTCTGATAACTCGCTCCTGACAGCTGCAGGAGTTCTCGGGACGCTTAAAGGGGGAGCGGCTTGCATTTCTGGGCCCCAGCGGCCGGGGTTTGCCCAACTAGAGCCTTGTGCTGTTGGTGGGTATGCAGTGGAGCTGATGGGCCAGGGAACAATAAGTGACCAGCGTTTGCAGATCAGAAAAGTCAATGGCTGGCCTGACGAGCACCTGGCTAATGGGGGGCTTTAGGAAGAGGTTTCTCCTCCTACCAACAAAGTAACCCATACATGCCTTCAACAGGGTTTCTTGCACAATACTGACAACGGGCCCCTGGTCTGATCCAATCCAGTGTGGTCATTCCTAGGTACCCTACCATTGATCCCTGCCCCCCCGACACATACTTATGCCATGGGTCAAAGGCACAATCCCCTAGCGCTGGTGCAAAAGGAGTAACTCCCTCAGCTGTCAGTAAGTAGCAGGCTGTTGTAGTCCTTTAGAGGCAGCCACTAGAGGGAGACAGGAGCACACACAGTCAGCCCCCCTTCCCCCCTCTCACTGATGGACTCTGCCAGCCCCAGCTCCCGTGGCCCGTGTAGGTGGGGCGAAGGGTTAAAATGCCCCAGAGGGAGACCCAGTGGGGGCCGGCCTGCGGTACCTGGTGACCGGAGCTTGGTTTGGCTGGTGGAGCGGGACAAAGGCAAGCTTTGCCGGAACCGGTTCATCCTGTTGAATCCAATGGGCAGCTCGGCTTCAGACATGGTTTCCAGGGACTCCGCTGAGGCGAAGGAGAGTTTGGCTTGATCGGCCAGGGCGGGCTGGGAGCCCTGGGAGTGCCGCGAACTTCTTGTCTGGAACGGAAGAGATGAGCCGTCAGAGAGTACACCCTGCCCCGGACTACCTAGAGCTCACGGAGCGATGGGGTGCCTGGGGCAGCGTGTTCCATGCTACACCCCATGGGGCAAGAGCAGAGCACCTCCCCCGACTCCCCAGGCAGCACTGGCGAGCCGCGGGCTCGGTCTGACCCAAGGAGGCAGTGTCAGGGGCGTCTTTTGCTCTACACCCCATGCTGAACCAGTCCAGGGCCATGCTCCAGACTCTGCACTTCAGTGCAAGGCCACCCTGATCTCTTGTTTGAACCAGGTACGAGACTGACCATCTCGGCTCTCTCTCCGCTCTGTGCGAATGGGCAGTCTGCATTCTCAAGCCTCCGTAGCAGCTCCTTTGTTTTGCATGTGTGTTTCAGGGTGACACTGTGTTACCAGGGGTCTTGAAAATCACCCAGTTACCTGTTATGTAATTTACAGACAGTCTCTTTGCACTCCAAGCTCCTCTGGGTCCTTCTATCTCTCCGGTTACAATCAAGACGGGAATGGAACTGGGGGGCTTTGGAATAACTTTAGCCATTAAAGGAGGGTCGCCAAAGGAACTAGCTCCCAGGAAGCTTCAATGCCCAGGTTATTCTGGAAGCAAAGCACCGGCAAGGTTTATGGCTGCATGAGCAGGGCTGAAGTAATGGGACTGGGTTTACTGCAGTAAAAGTTTAATATGCCAGGAGTCCAATTTCACACAGCCAAACACATACCCCCAGTCGAAAGGCTCAGCCTGCGGGCAGGGGCTTTCTGCACAAACATCGGTAAACCCTGCATGCGATGTGCATATATACTTAATAGGAACAGAGCGTACCAGGTACATGCATCGTATAAGTCAATGCGTTTTGCACCCCACACTATCCCCAGGGAAAGAAATATACCCACACTGGGAATAAGCTGATCCCATCGGCACGAGGATCTGTATCGGAGCTGCTCTGCAGAGGCATTGAGCACCCACAGCTGTAGCTGAAGTCCTAGGGGGCTGCAGGTGCAGACCACCTCTGGTTAATCAGCCCTGGGGTGAATATAGGGGAAGCTTTTCCGCAAATGTCCATACAGATTTTGGAATGAATTCCCATTGCTAATGGGTTCCCTTTCTATGCACATTATAGGATTTGAATTACGGTAGTGCTGATAGACCCCAGCTGAGACCGGGGCCCCAGTGTGCCAGGCGCTGTATAGACCCTAACTGAAATCAGGGCCCTGTTGCGCCAGGTGTTGTACATACTCAGAGTCAGAGACAGTCCCCACCCCAGAGAGTTTATAAGCAGGTGTCTCAAATTGGACATCCAAAATGAGGGAGCGTGTGACACGCCCCGATGAGGAGTTGGTGTCAAAGCCGGGATTGGAACCCAGGAGTCCTGCTCCTATCGTCCCTGAAGACAGACACATGACATGCTGCCGAATCCTGCTGTGTCTTGCACCCACGGAAATGCTGGGATCTTGCCATGTGGCTATGACTCATAGAATCATAGAATCATAGAATATCAGGGTTGGAAGGGACCTCAGGAGGTCATCTAGTCCAACCCCCTGCTCAAAGCAGGACCAATCCCCAATTAAATCATCCCAGCCAGGGCTTTGTCAAGCCTGACCTTAAAAACTTCTAAGGAAGGAGATTCTACCACCTCCCTAGGTAACGCATTCCAGTGTTTCACCACCCTCCTAGTGAAAAAGTTTTTCCTAATATCCAACCTAATCCTCCCCCACTGCAACTTGAGACCATTACTCCTTGTCCTGTCCTCTTCTACCACTGAGAATAGCCTAGAACCATCCTCTTTGGAACCACCTCTCAGGTAGTTGAAAGCAGCTATCAAATCCCCCCTCATTCTTCTCTTCCGCAGACTAAACAATCCCAGCTCCCTCAGCCTCTCCTCATAAGTCATGTGTTCCAGACCCCTAATCATTTTTGTTGCCCTTCGCTGGACTCTCTCCAATTTATCCACATCCTTCTTGTAGCGCAGGGCCCAAAACTGGACACAGTACTCCAGATGAGGCCTCACCAATGTCAAATAGAGGGGAATGATCACGTCCCTCGATCTGCTGGCTATGCCCCTACTTATACATCCCAAAATGCCATTGGCCTTCTTGGCAACAAGGGCACATTGTTGACTCATATCCAGCTTCTCGTCCACTGTCACCCCTAGGTCCTTTTCCGCAGAACTGCTGCCTAGCCATTCGGTCCCTAGTCTGTAGCGGTGCATTGGGTTCTTCCGTCGTAAGTGCAGCACCCTGCACTTATCCTTGTTGAACCTCATCAGATTTCTTTTGGCCCAATCCTCCAATTTGTCTAGGTCCCTCTGTATCCTATCCCTGCCCTCCAGCGTATCTACCACTCCTCCTAGTTTAGTATCATCCGCAAACTTGCTGCAATCCACACCATCCTCCAGATCATTTATGAAGATATTGAACAAAACCGGCCCCAGGACCGACCCTTGGGGCACTCCACTTGATACCGGCTGCCAACTAGACATGGAGCCATTGATCACTACCCGTTGAGCCTGACAATCCAGCCAACTTTCTACCCACCTTATAGTGCATTCATCCAGCCCATACTTCTTTAACTTGCTGACAAGAATACTGTGGGAGACAGTGTCAAAAGCTTTGCTAAAGTCAAGGAAGAATACATCCACTGCTTTCAATATGGAAACCGGCTGGCTGTTGATCTCCAGGAATGCAAAGCTTGGTTTTAAACAGCAGACTCATCAAACACACAGAACAAACACCCCTGAGGTGCAGGAAAGGGGACGTAAAAGGGGCAACATCTCTATTTTAAGACCAACCCCTCCCCCCAGTATGAAATGGTAACAGCCATAATCGTCATTTAAATTAGGCATTAATTGGAAACTTTAATTAATCCTGGGGCATGAGGATGTTTTATGGGTTGAAAACATTCTCTCTGTAAATAACTGCCAGAAAATTAGATAAAGAAAAGGAGGACTTGTAGCACCTTAGAGACTAACAAATTTATTTGAGCATAAGCTTTCGTGAGCTACAGCTCACTTCATCGGATGCAACATTCATCCGATGAAGTGAGCTGTAGCTCACAAAAGCTTATGCTCAAATAAATTGGTTAGTCTCTAAGGTGCCACAAGTCCTCCTTTTCTTTTTGCGAATACAGACTAACACGGCTGCTATTCTGAAACCAGAAAATTGGATGTAATTTACACTGAGACAAAACAGTCGGCAAAACAGGCCTTTAAACTGCAAACGGCAAGAAAACGGTTTCTCACTTCGAAGGGCCTGATCCTGATGGCTGGGAGCAGGATCGGAGCCAATGGACCGGATCCAAAGCCTGAGAGGCTAATGGGAGTCTCTCATCTGGGCTTTGGTCCTGGCCCCAAGAGAGGTACGCCGGGGAGAGGGACAGGAGCTGGCTGCCGTGCTGGGCACGCTGGGATGGATTGTATCTGTGCTGCCCTGTGGCGTTTAGCGTGAGAGAGACATTCGGTACTCAGTGGGCAGCCGTATCTGGGCCAGGCTGGCTGCTGGGGCCACGCTGCACCTTTCAGCACAGCTGAGGGCTTACTGCGCCGTGTTTGTTAACTGCTCACGAGCACACGTACACAGGATGAGATCCAATCTGTGACCGGGGTGGGAGGCATGGGGCGACGGCCGGGACTGAGATTCCCATTGATCTTCACGAGAGAGACGGCGAATAACGCTCAAGAGGCCACGTCAGGAACAAGTTGTTGGTCTGTTCCTCCTGCCCCAAGACAAATATCGCTCGGGCCACAGTCAGAACTGAGTCTGCACAGGCCCATGCCCCATCTGCTCCTGCGGCAGGTGGGCCACCCTGGTTCAGCTGGAGGGCTTACAAGTGTCTCTCGTCATTTCTCTCCAAACCAGATGAATCCACAAGACTTCCCCCCGCCCTTTTCTCCAGCCCCACCCCTGGTGCAGTTCTTTACCCCAGGAAAAGGGGAGTGCAACCGGCATGGTAAATTGCCACCGCTCTCATTGAGTAGCATTTCACGCCCATGTCACGCCAGGGTACGTGATGCCACAAGACACAAGGCTGTGGAGAATCAGGCCTGGCTTTTTTCTGTTTGGAGGCCAATTCCATTTCAGAAGCAAGCCAACCAGCCCGCTTTTCTAGCTAAGCTGTAAATACCACCACTACTAAAGAGCTATGGAGGGTGTTCCAGTTATTAAGGCATGGACTGAGGAGATGGGTCTCAGTCCCTGGCTCTGCCACTGACTTTCTGTGTCTCCTTGGGCACTTCGAGCCAGGTCCTCAAAAGTAATTCAGCTCCTAACTCCCACTGGTTTCAACAGGAATTAGGCCCCTAAATACCTTTGGGGATCCAGACCTTAATCTTGGGATGTCTCTGTTTCCCATCTCTAAATTGGAGATAATTATGCTCCATTTCTGGCTTCCCTATTGAAATTTTAAGCTCTCTAGGCTAGTGGCTCTCAGCCTTTCCAGAGTACTGGCCCCCTTTGAGGAGTCTGATTTGTCTTGCCTACCCCCAAGTTTCACCTCACTTAAAAACTACTTGCTTACAAAATCAGACGTGTCACAGCCTACTTGTACTGAAAAGATGCTGACTTTCCCATTTTTACCATATAATTACAAAATAAATCAATTGGAATATAAATATTGTACTTACAGTTTGATGTGTAGTATATAGAGCAGTGGAAACAAGTCAATGTCTGCATGAAATTTTAGTTTGCACTGACTTCGCTAGTGCTTTTTATGTAGCCTGCTGTAAAACTAGGCAAATATCTAGACGAGCTGATGTATCCCCAGAAGACCTCTGCGTACCCCCAGTGGGTACGTGGACCCCGGGGTTGAGAACCACTGCTCTAGCGCAAAGACTGTCTCTCTCGGTATTGTACAGCGCCTGGCACAATGGGGCCCTGATCTCAGCTGGGGTCTCCAGACACCATTATAAAATACCAAGCACTTGTTGATTCTCCTCCCTAGATCTCAAGATGGTTCACGAAGGTAGGTGAGTTAGACTAGGGAGGAGGAAGGC